AATATATTCTGTCCTGTATCTGAAGGACCCAATGGAAAAAAATCAATCCTAGGACCACACTTGATGTGATGGTGGCAGTATGGGGTGTCATTTAAGGGGGTGAAACTTAATTGTTGCAGTTCTATATGTATTATTATTATTGATGTTATTACTATTATTATTTAGATTTCTTAACCTCCACCATGAAGCCACATAGTGACTGTTCTATGTGCTTTAAATATTTATTATTATTATTATTATTGATTTCTTAGCCTTCACCATGATGTTTGAGGGTGGGTAACAAAATATACCGTATTTTTCGCTCTATAAGACGCACCACACCATAAGACGCACCTAGTTTTTGGAGGAGGAAAACAAGAAAAAAAAATATTCTGAATGTCAGAAGCCAGAACAACAAGAGGGATCGCTGCGCAGTGAAAGCAGCGGTCCCTCTTGCTGTTCTGGCTTCTGGGATAGATGAGCAGCCTGCATTCGCTCCATAAGGCGCACACACATTTCCCCTTACTTTTTAGGAAGGAAAAAGTGAGTCTTATAGAGCAAAAAATACGGTAATTTTAAAAGCAGTTTAAACAAATCAGAGAATACTCAGTGTAACACGCCATCGAATCTAATGCCCACCCTAATTTTTGCAACATAATTTGACAAAAAAAGTATTATATTCGAGTAAATATGGTTGTTTGGGTTTAGTCACACAACAGCCTGAATCAGAGCTAGAGGAGGTTGGCGCCCACTTTTAACCACAAAAGGGAACATGAGTGAGAGTAATAGATGCTAACTTCCCTGCAATCTTTCACCCCAGTGCTTCCCTCCTCACGTGATTTTTGCCCAGCCACAGCCACTTCTGGTATCAGCAAAGCAGATTTATGTTTGGGTAGAGAAGCTGCCATGAAATAAGTCACAGGTGGGGGGAAAGTCAGTGCTCCTTAAACACACAACCGCCACCATCACATCTCGTTTGATTCTTAGACAGGGCTTCCACATATTTACCTTGATAATTTATTCACAGGAATCGCTTAGAAAGTACCTGCACATTTTGCCTTACGACTTTCTTCCTGGGACAGCTAGAGACTTCATTTTTTTTCAAAAAGTGAAAGTTCAGATTATGGGACACCTGCTCTGGGGCACCAGTGAAAACCTTTGTGGGCACCATTGCATTGGCTCCTGGTTTATTAAATTTTCTGAACCAGCCCAGTGACTTAACCACTCACAAACAAAGTTTAATCAACCTTGGTTTATGTTAGCCATAGCTTGTTACATGCAAAGCAGGCACAACATATTTCTACAAAGCAACTTTTACTTGTTTATTAAAAAAGCATGTTTGCTATCACACTTTAATAATACCTTTACTGTCATTGTACAACCTGTGTACAATGAAATTAAAAGAGCCACCCCCCCCAACACTCAATCTCTTATCGAACCACACACCACCTCACAAGTCAATTTCGCTATGTTATTTTCCGTTCAACAGCCTAACAGCCCACGTATAGAAGCTATTTTAAAGCCTGTTGGTAAAAAATACGATCTTCCAGATGCTCCATCCTCCAAATACATATACACATACAAATTTTAATTTTTTGGGGGGGAGGGAAGTCAAGCCTATTTCCTATATTAGAGAAAGCAGCTAAAAAACTGGCACCTTCAAAGCCAAAATTTCTACTTCACTCTGTGAAGCATAGGGATTAGAGGGTGAAATGGCTTCAGTTTTATTTTGGCTTAGAGCAGGCATAGGGAACCGAAGGACCTCCATGTGCCGTTGGTTCTATTATCAGCTCCAGGCAGCATGGCCAATGGACAGGGACGATGGGAATGGTATTCCAACAACGGCTGGAGAGTCTTAGGTTCCCAGTTCCTAACTCAGGTGCACTTATATGCATATTTATAAATATATATCTTTAGGCATTGTTTTAACTGCTTGCTGCAGCCTCTTTAAAACCAATTCATTCCTTTAGGCCCAATAGTCTGGTTACAGTTCAGAAGAGCGTGCATGGGAGGGAAGAGAGATGTCATTACATGGCTACCCCTGCAAACAATTAATCTTGCACAATAAATCACTATGGAAGGGCTTGGCAGAGTTTCTCAGAGCAGCACTGGGCGTTGTGCAGTGCAGCTTCCACTGCCATTCAAATAGGTGGTTTATTCACCCTCTGTTTAATAAATACCATATTTTTTGCTCTATAAGACTCACTTTTTCCCTCCTAAAAAGTAAGGGGAAATGTGTGTGCGTCTTATGGAGCGAATGCAGGCTGCGCAGCTATCCCAGAAGCCAGAACAGCAAGAGGGATTGCTGCTTTCACTGCACAGCGATCCCTCTTGCTGTTCTGGCTTCTGAGATTCAGAATATTTTTTTCTTGTTGTCCTCCTCCAAAAACTAGGTGTGTCTTGTGGTCTGGTGCGTCTTATAGAGCGGAAAATACGGTACATACACCCACTACTCAAATTTCATTTATTGTGTGTCATTTTGAGTTGTGTTTTATTGTTATTAGCCGACATCTGTTTTTGTTTTTTTCCGGGGGCAGAAGTAGGATGTGGCTGCTTTACATAAATAGGTAAATTATAATGCACAATGGCACTCTTGCATCAAGTGCACGGCTTCCGTTAACAGGGAAAAGCTGCATTTGTGATAAGCATGAGAATACTGTTTAAACTGGGCTCACTTTTATCTTTTTGTTGGTCTCTGAAAACCCAAGAAAAATATTTGCAAGCTACTGTGGTTTAGTAAGGATTAAGCTGTTGATAAAAGGACACAATCCGCTCTAGCGACTCCCTATAGGTGTGGGTAAGCTTTGGCAATCCACATGCTGTTGGAATACAACTCCCATCAGCCCAGAAAGTATGGTCAATGGTCAATGGAGAGGGACGATGGGAGGTGTAGTTCAGCAAACACCTGGAGGGTCAAAACTTCCCCACACCTGCCTTGCCAGAATACAGCTCTTTGTGAGTCAGGGAATAAAATGTATTTATTTAAAAAGGATTTACAGACCGCCTTTCTTAGTGCTATTCACTCAGCATGGCTTACACAATTCACACAATACACAGGGGTCAGCAAACTTTTTCAGCAGTGGGCCGGTCCACTGTCCCTCAGACCTTCTGGGGGGCCGGACTACATTTTTTGGGGAAAAAATGAACGAATTCCTATGCCCCACAAATAACCCAGAGATGCATTTTAAATAAAAGGACACATTCTACTCATGTAAAAACACGATGATTCCCAGACCGTCTGCGGGTCGGATTGAGAAGGCGATTGGGCTGAATCCGGCCCCTGGGCCTTAGTTTGCCTACCCATGGTACAGAACATAAAAACACAAACTAATTTCTACAGTCACCCCCCAATTAATAGCCTAGCAGTAATAAAAGCACACCCAGCCCATTATTATGAATTCAACAACAACAACAACAAAATCTGCCCTCCAGGTGAGACAAGTAGGCCTAAGGCAAGCAAAACGAGTGATGCACTCTTAAAATGCAAAAGGTGGGGAAAAATAAGCAAAAACAAATTCTGGAGGAATTTATATTTTTCTAAAAATACAAAACTCTTATGAATCTGAACCACTGGATACTCAAATCTCCACAGAGTTCCTAGAAAGGATTAAAATCCCAAAAATTAACCACTCACCAGGAATCTCTAGAATAAGTCAATCCAAAATGGGATCAAAAATATAAAAGTCCACCATAAAGCACTGTGATCCATGTGACGGTCACCTCCAGACTGGATTATTGTAACTCGCTCTACGTGGGGCTGCCCTTGAGACTGACCCAGAAACTCCAGCGGGTGCAGAATGCTGCAGCGAGACTCCTTACGGGGTCTTCGCTGCGAGATCACATTCATCCGGTGCTATACCAGCTGCACTGGCTCCCGGTGGAGTACAGGATCAGGTTTAAGGTGCTGGTTTTAACCTTTAAAGCCCTATACGGCCTAGGACCCTCGTACCTACGGGACCGCCTCTCCTGGTATGCCCCACAGAGAAACTTACGGTCTTCAAATAAAAACATCTTGAAGGTCCCAGGCCACAGAGAAGTTAGGCTGGCCTCAACTAGAGCCAGGGCTTTTTCGGCTGCGGCTCCAATCCGGTGGAACGCTCTGTCACAAGAGACCAGGGCCCTGCGGGACTTGACATCTTTCCGCAGGGCCTGCAAGACAGAGCTGTTCCACCAGGCCTTTGGCCAGGGCACAGCCTGACTCCCTCTCTCGGCAATCTTCGTGGAGCTCTGGTCCAATGGTTGCCAGTGGCTTGAATTAATTAATTTTATAATGAATGATTTTAGAGTGTTGTTTGTGCTGTACTTTTGTACTGTTTTATTGTTGTTAGCCGCCCTGAGCCCGGCTTCGGCTGGGGAGGGTGGGATATAAATAAAATTTATTATTATTATTATTATGGTCCCAACTGATTCATTAGTCTTTTTTTAATATAAAAAAATTCAGAATAAATCCCACCTTTTCTTCTGAAATTGTTTCTTGACATATAGAATAGAGGCCAAATTCCTGAAACTTGGCAGAGCTTGGTTATCACAGTTTGACCCAAACCACAGAAAGATCTTCAACGAGTTGAATCTTATAAACCCCTCTCACAAGATTGATATTATCTGTGCAAGATGGTTTGATTAGTAGTCAAACATGGGTGACTTACCTGCATGGCTTCCTGATGTTAATGGACTCCAGCTTCCACAACCCTTCATCACTGGCCATGTTGGCTGGAGCTGATGGGAGTCCACTAACACCTGGAGGGTCATATTAAAGGGGCAGACTAAAAATACCTTTTCAGTACAGTGTGATATTTAGTACTTGGGCTAATTACTTCCTTTCTCAACAGACAGTTGTGGTTTTAACACTGTTGGACTCCAACTCCCATTAGCCCCAGCAAGCAGGGCCAGTGGTCATGAATGATGGGAATTGTAGTCAAACACTTGGGAGAGTTACAGAACATGTAAGAACATTTAAATAGCGCCGCCTTGCTCAATCACACCAAAGAGCATCTCTGTTTCCAGTATCGTCAAAATACTCTGGGAGCTACTAACAGAGAATGATGCAGATAGCCACTGCAAGTTCATCAAAACATCTGATAAATAGGGTCAAATCAATGCCTTTTTAATCACATGATTCTAGTGGTTGCCCCACCCCCTTTTTGCAATGTAAATAAGTAGCTATGGAGAGGTCAGAGCAGCATCAGATTGTATGAGGGGAAGTTTAACCTCTGCAGCAGTCCTGATGAAGTCCACTCCCCAGTCAACTATTGGCACGAAGAAGCCACCATTTAAAACTCTACTGGTGCCCATGGTTTCAATTACGCAAATAGCAGTATGAAATTCAGAAGTGTAATGGGCAGAACTGGCATGTGTGCCCCCTACAGTTGTTCTTCTGACTACCCGGATAGAGTTTTTCTCAGTATTCATGATGTTTTCTGTGCTTGTGATTTTAGCAGCAATATTTTTTTTTTACACAAATCCATCTTCCTCTCTTGGGAAGCGGGTGGCGCTGTGGGTTAAACCACTGAGCCTAGGACTTGCCGATCAGAAGGTCAGCGGTTCGAATCCCCGCGACGGGGTGAGCTCCCGTTGCTCGGTCCCAGCTCCTGCCAACCTAGCAGTTCGAAAGCATGAAGTGCAAGTAGATAAATAGGTACCACTGCGGCAGGAAGGTAAACGGCGTTTCCGTGCGCTGCTCTGGTTCGCCAGAAGCGGCTTAGTCATGCTGGCCACATGACCTGGAAGCTGTACGCCGGCTCCCTCAGCCAATAAAGTGAGATGAGCGCTGCAAACCCAGCCGGCCACGACTGGACCTAACGGTCAGGGGTCCCTTTACCTTTATCTTCCTCTCTTACTTACCAAACTATAAAAAACAAGCTATTTCTGCAGTGCATTCAAAGATTTGAGTTTCCCTTTTCAGAAGAAGAAAAAGATGGGGTGATTTTAATAAAGAAACAAATGCGTGAAAATTTAATGCTACCCATATTCAAAGTCAGCATGGTGAATATTTTGAGGAGACACACAGAGAATGGCATTGCCTCTTGTCATCATCAACACCTCAGCTACTCTCACTTGACCCCAGTTTCTGCATATTATGTTCCTGACACTTTCCAATTTGGACTTCCCACTCAAGAGACTGGGTTTACATCAAAGCCGGAAATACAGAATTCCCTTTTAAAGACGAAATCCTGACTTTAAGAAGTAGAAGGAAGAAATTAACTGCTAAAGGCAGTCAGATATTCCTGCAATCGTAACAACTAATTTAGCTTGGCGAACGCTGTGCTAGCCCTGCTCTATACTGTGCAAATCTATGGAGACCATTTCCAAATGGTGCTTTTCCTAACTGATATAAAGCCTCTTTTCCTCTAACCCTACTATTCCCTTGTATTGAAAATTAGAACTTTATGTTTCCTTACTTTTCCTATCTTGCTTAAGCAGTTTCAGGCCTGGTCTACACATGAGCACAGGCCATGCTGGATCTTATCAAAGGCCTGTCTATGGGTCCTATATCAGCCCAAGGGTCATACTCTCCTATAGACAACCTTCTAGGAGGCTGTGTTCGTTTCCTGAACCAAAGGCTCTTCACTCTTGATATACCTAGTCCAGCATCCTTATTTCCCACATTGGTCCACTAGGTGGCTCTGGTAAGCTCACACACTAAACAATGAAGCCTTCTCTGGTTGCTCTGGCAACTGAGAACTCAGATATACAGGCCACATCCTCACTATGCATTTAAAGAACTACGATGCCACTTTTAACAGTCCTGGCTTCCCCAGGGGGAAAAAAATTAAATCCTTGGAGTTGCAGCTTTTTAAGAGTGCTGAGTTGTTAGAGGAGGACCCTGTTCTTGTCAAAAGAGCTACAATTCCCCAAATGGTTTGAAAATCAACCTGTCTTCCTGGAGGACTCAAGATAACTTAAAGCTGTGCGAGGCGAATAGGAGTCTCCTGTGCTGTAAGCCACCCAGCGTGGCTGGGGAAATCCATACAGTAATAATTATAATTATTGACGAAGTACAGTTACCAGGATTCTTAGGTGAAAGCCATGACTGTCAAAAGTGGCACTACAGTGCTTTAAATGCAGTGAAGATGCTCCACCTTTCACCCCCTAGAGGATGCTTATCACCTAGGGGCTCAACAGTCTCTCACACTGGGTACCCTAAAGACTGCAATTAGTCCTGTGGGTTAAACCACAGAGCCTAGGACTTGCTGATCAGAAGGTCGGTGGTTCGGGGTGAGCTCCTGTTGCTCGGTCCCTGCTCCCGCCAACCTAGCAGTTCCAAAGCACGTCAAAGTGCAAGTAGATAAATAGGTACCATTCTGGCGGGAAGGTAAACGGCATTTCCGTGCACTGCTCTGGTTTGCCAGAAGTGGCTTAGTCATGCTGGCCACATGACCCAGAAGCTGTACGCCGGCTCCCTCGGCCAATAAAGCGAGATGAGCCATGAGTCGGCCATGACTGGACCTAATGGTCAGGGGTCCCTTTACCTTTACAGTCAAACAAGCCCACATGCATCTGTCCCACTTCCCAATCCCATGCAACAATATGACGCCAGCAATATTTTAGCGAAAAAGAGAAGAGAGTAAAGGGTGGAGCCCTCCCCTTCATTCCATCCCAGTGGGGTTGGCCTGCCAGCAGCAGCCCAGCTGGCTACAGTTGTTGTTCCTTTGGCTGTAGGGGCTGTCAGCCCGTCAACTGGCTGCTGTAGATGTGACTGTTGCTTTAAGGACCTCTATCAGAGAATATTGGGTCAGATGGCTAGAGCCTGGGAAGTTACTTCAATGCAGCCTGGGTGAGCCCTGTTGACCCTGGCTAGGCAGTTATTGATTAAAACAACATAAATGTTGTTCACCTTATCACTTCTGCAATTGTTTCCTGACCTGAAAGATACTACAGTGGCTGCTCAGCCACAGGTGTAACAAAGTCATAAATCAAAACTGCTGCTTTTGCCTCAATCTCTGGCAGTCTCAGGGGAAGTTCAGCTAGATGGTAGAGTCAAGCAAAAGGCTTTGCTGGTGGGGAATCAGGATGGGGGTTGTTGGGTGGGGAGGCAGGTGTTTCCAACTTCCCACCCTCCCACTGGCAGACACAGAAGTCCCACAACAGTGCTCTTGAATAAGCAGCAACTTAAAAAAAACCTGCAATGTGATCTAGGCCCCATGCACCATAACGGTATTAAAAAAAAAGGGCTTAGAACATTTTATTTTTCAGCTCTCTCAAGGTGATTTTTTTCATAGCACAAATAACAGAACAAAAGCAAGAACCTAGAAGAGCATCTTTTTCCTTTTCTTATTTCACATTATACTTAGTAAATAGGGATACTCGGGAAAAAGAGCTTAGTCCAACTTCAGCTCCCGTGAGCCCCAACATCTTGAGGGGTTCAGGTTCCCCATCACTGGCAAATGTAGTTGCTGCTTCCATTGAAGTGAATGGGAGAGATGCATGGTAGTGGGTTATGAATTTGGGAAGAAGGACAAGACTCACAAAGAGGTTGTAGCTTGTATTAAAATGCATGATGATAGCAAGTGCAATCTCAGCGGAGAGAAAGTAAAGAGAGAGAGAGAGAGAAAAGTAATCAATTCCCATATCAAGTGTGTTAGAGTTTAATTCAAGTTTACGTATACAGTTGAGGTGTCATTTTCATTTTTCAGCCCACATAGTATTTTTGTTAACTTTAAACCTTACCTTTGTGCCTGCCTTCAAGTGAATCTATAATAACTTATCTGTGTTCTAAGTGAATAGTATTTTTTAAATATATATATATATGAAGAGAGACTTTTCATATTATATATATCTATATATAATCTGAAATGAGAAAAATAGGAATTTCACATGTACTTCAATGAATATATTACAGGTGAATTACTATGTTGTCCCACTAGTCAACAAAAAGACATATCATATGAAAGAAATTTTTAATTTTTATTTTACATATTTATACATAAAACTTTCAAGGTAACTCTTTCAACTCAACTGCATGTTAATAGCACATCTAAAAATGAATGTCAGGTAGTCAACATTCACAAAATGTTGAAAACTGATTAAAATATACATATTACTGAAAGCTACAACTTCACTACGAGGCAGGCATGTATGTTTTCTCTCTCACTTGTATAGCACCGTCAAAATTACAGTCTCATTTGTTTAAAACTACGCTGAAAAACAATAAAAAGTAGCCAATGGTAAAATACTGCTTTAACTTAAAGGTCTCTCTAAATAAACAAAAATAAAAGTTAAAACTACCCTCTCTCTCCTTTTTTCCTCTTCATGTTTGCAATGTTTATAAGTACTGTACATTTTGTTCTACAATAAGATTATTGAACTGTCCGATATTTAGTGGCACAAGTAAAAAATAAAATAAACCCAACAGCAAATAAATTAAAAAGCATAGGCCAACCACTGGACATAAAGCTTCAGACACTGGGAACAATTCGCCAAGCACAGTCGCTGTGCATCCACCATTAGCTTCAAGGAAGGGTTCGTGTGTGGGGTTCCTGGTGCTTGGCAGATTGCGCCCGGAATCAATGACTAACACTGATTTTTCTTGTGTGCCACCCGTGGAGCATCAGCGTTCGTACAACCACAGAAGCAAAACGTTTTAGCTTGTTTCTTCAGTCTGATGGCTTCTGGTTTTATTTTGCTGGCATCTTCTCTGCCATGTGCTTCTGCTGACTTTCAGCGTGTCTGAAGGGAAATGGGGAAAAAGGAACGATATTACGTAGATGCAATAAATGAAGATTTTTAAAAAAATTTTACTGGCAAAACTTAAAGGCTGCAGAGAAGGAAGGAAGCACAGCGATTGCTGAAAAGATTGCTTGAAGAGATGCGTTAACTTTTGCTGCAATTATCTAGCCGGCTTAAATAGTCCTTTTCTTCAGGACTCCTCTAGACTGCAGAAATCCAGCACAGGAAGGAAAATAACAACCACAGTCTTCAGGAGGTAAAATCAAGAAGAGCACAGGGGGGCAGGGAGGGTTTCAAGGAAATTGCTTTGGAATTGAAACTGTAGGTTGCAATAACATTGAAAGGAAGTTTTATTTGGGGAGCAAGGGGAAAAGGAGGAGCGTTTCACCTCCTTCCCATGGATAGGAAACTTATTTGTCTTAACACAATCCAAGGATGTAACAAGATGACCCCTAGGTCCCTATTGTAGCAACATTTCAAAATATAAAGAACTAAAAACAACTCGCCTCTCACCAACTGCCAACCATGTGGCCCACACAGAGGGCATCTGAATTAAATATATAATTGATTCCAGTAACGAGAAACACAAACTGCTTCCCACATGAGAAAGTAGTTTTGTAACACCCTTCCCCAACCAGGTGCCCTCCAGAAGTTTTGGATTACGACTTCCATAAGCCCCAGACAGTCCCTACAGGTGCACACTGTGGACCCAATAGAAGCCAGAGGCCATGCTTTCTATTCATTAAAACAGACCTGTACTTCAAAATTTCTGGGCACCAAGTTGGCAGTAGGCTGTTTTAGAAGAACAAGGGAAAGAAAAGAGTGCCAGGGTCACGTAGCAGAGAGTCAGACCAGGAAGATACAAGTTTAGATAGACATACATCCACAAAGCTCATTGGGTGATGCTGGGGAAAGTCACCATCTTTCAGCTTAACCAACTGGTCAGAGGTGCTGAGATGGTAAAATTGAGGTGGGGGAGACATAAACGTCATGCACCCTGAACTCAAACTCTTGATTATTTTCATCTGCAATTTGATATTCAAATTAGAGACCATCCACGAATATACAGAACCATCTCTCTGTAGATTTAGCAGGAACTGTTCAGTCTTTGTATCCATAAAACATAAAACACCCATAAAACATCTCTCTCTCTCTTTTTAGTTTCTTCTGCTTAAACAGTTCACACTTCAGCTATGCAATGAGGCATTGTATCTACACTTCCTGTTGCTGATCTCTTTTCACCCAGAGACAAGCAGTTAGGGGAAAAAACATCCCATCACTGGCACACATTCCTTGAACTTTCGCTTGCTGCCTTCGTGTTTGTCCCTTCTCCTCCCCGCACTAACAATAGTTCATAAAGCAGCAAGTGAAAAGCACCAGCATTGTGTATGGTAGTGGCAGCATCTTCTTTTTTTGCAAGGCACAGGCGGTCTCAAATCTGAGCCACCTGTTGGCTCACGGGAGAAAAAACGCCAACAACCTTCCTTTTCTCTGGAGGGGAGCAACAGGCAGAGTATGGGCATTGCTGTACAATCATACCTCATGTTACGTCCGCTTTATGTTATGTTCTTTCAGGATACGTCCCGCGGCAATCCGGAAGTACTGGAAACAGTTACTTCCGGGTTTCGCCGCTCGCGCATGCGCAGACACGCAAAATGACGTCACGCGCATGCGCAGAAGCGTCGAATCGCAACCTGCGTGTGTGCAGACGTGCCACTGCGGGTTGCGCTCTTTTCATGTTGCGAACGGGCCTCCGGAACGGATCCCGTTCGCAACCAGAGGTACCACTGTATTACAAGGTGAAGAAGCAAAACCACTCCACTGTCTGTGATTTGCAGCAGCAGATTTCTGCAAGAACATACTATAGTGAGCACACCGACCTTTTCCTCTATGCAGAAGTCCTCTGGTAGATGTCAATGACGACTTGCTCACCAGATTATAGTGGGGGAGGGTAGTGGGGAAGGATAATGCCATGCCGAAAGACAGACACATAATGGCATGCAGAAAACACACACACACACTAACCCTTCCCTGGTCTTTGTGTAAAGCGGATGAGATTCTGCCTCTCTTCAAAGTTTTTTAAGCTACAAAAGCAGAGAAAATTCAACGAAGTCAAGTGCTGAGGGTGTGTGTGTGTGCATGAGAGAAACAGAGTGCTAGGGGTGTGCAATTATTATTATCATTATTTGCTGTGGACTGACACACTCTAATATTTCCAAACTTGCTTGCAGATCAGAATGCAACTCCCATTTGGATTACTCAAGTCTCCAGATTTTGGAAGGTACCCTGAGGATCATCTCATCCAACCCCTGCAATGCATGAATATGCAGCTGTCCCATATGGGGATCAAACCCGCAACCTTGGCATCATCAGCACCACGCTCTAACCAACTGAGCTATCCAGATATATGCATGCTCCCTGGAGTTGCAGAGGTTTCAGTGCAGTGGAATAGTTGGCAAATACCACAAAGCAGGAAGCTGTAAGAGAGCTGATTTAGCATTTTTGGCTGCTGAGTTACTACTCAACCTTCTTTAACCAGCCAATCTGAGAAACGTGAAAATAACCTGGAACAGAGGGTGACAGAGGATAGATAGAAGGGGAGAACATAAAAGGTTTGTACTGAATAAGAAAAGGCCTGGATTAAAGGGATCTGGGAAAGTTGAGGCGTTACTGTATTTTACCTTGTTGGCAGCAATGGTGCTAAATTACCATGGTACTGATAGGGGGCCGCACTGTAAAAGAAATATTACAGAAAAAAGAAAAGAATAGTTGGGTTTGCTTTGGTTCAATTAAGTCTCATCTCTGTCTGCAGGTGGCAAACAGGTTTCTTCCCTTTAAGATTAAAAACCAGCACAGGATTTGACTGAAAGGGTACAGCAAGAGCACAAGTAGCTATACAGTATATTCAGACTGTTGGTAAACCAGAGAAGAGTAACTTCATCCACCTGATAAGACTACATGCCTGCTTTCACTACAAAGGATGCAGCTGTGAACTGCACCTATTTTTTGCAACAGGCTCCATTCTTCGACAAGACAATTGAAACCACTTCTGGACAAAATGAAAGCATGGTTGCTAGCCATTGACACTATTATTGGCCTTTTCCTTGGAACTGCCAGGACCTAAGGTCAATGCACACCCAGATTTTGCCTTTTGGAGTCTTCCCAGGTCTTGAAATCATGTCTAAAGTCACTCTGATTGATTCTGCCTGCTACAGGGCTTGGTAGCTGGACTGAATATGTAAGGACAACTTTTAGTACAGAGCGGCAAGCTGTTAATAGGGCACATTGTCTACCCAGTAAAGTAAGGAGTGAGAAAGGATCATTGCAAGATCATTAAGAAAAGATAATTTAGGAAGGGAAGGGAAAGTTAAGAATAGATGGCAGCTACATTATCAAATGGAGAAAACAGAAGCTGGGATTTCTAACTGAGAGGAGGCATCACAAAGGCAGATTCCAGAATAAAGGAAGCTTTTGTCTCTATCTTTAGGACCACTCTCTTTGTCTGCCCAGACAAATTTACCAAGTTTCACATTTCCTAGCAGCAATAATTTCCCAAAATTAAAGGGCTCAGCACCATGTTGCTGCAAGCAACTAGAAAAAGTTATTAGGCACTGGATGTTAGATTATAAATTGATTCAATGGCCAAAGAAGTTTCACTTATAATCTGATAGAGAGCGTGGATCACAAAGAAATAGCATACTGTCCAAATCTGCCATTTGTCATACCCCAAACAGTCATGGCAACAGGTGCTTAGAAAAACAGCAGCAAAAACAGTTGCTTCGGTGCAAACAACACTAATAGTGGTAGATTTATGTTACTGAACCAGGTGCACTTTTTATGACCTAAGCTTTCACTGGAGCTGTAGGTGGAACTTTTATGTAGTTCCACGATTGCTTCTTTTGGTCTAGTAGTTCTGGGTGTATGCAGCAATGTATGGCACCTTGCAAGATTAATCTAATAATGCCTGCATTCTGTCTTATAAACTGCAGATTCTGGGGCGGCAGCACTATGATCAGCTTTTTGCCCCCAACCACTTTTGTGTCTGATGAAGTTTTCTGAGTTCGTTCATGAGCTTGTAACATTGTGGTTGCTCCAAATAAAGACATTATCATAATGTGGCTTTAGGGTATAATCTTAAAAGGCATTGATCAGAAAACAGCATTACAATGTCCTGATACGAGGACAATTCACCTTGTATCAGTAATATATCATAATTCCTTCTCAGTGTTCCACTTTTAAAAGAAGTGCCTTCTCTGTGATGGTGCCTCAACTGTAGGAAGCCATTCTGAGTATGGTATGCCAGGCACAGGCATACATTCTTTGTGGCATCAGGTTAAAATCATTTAATTTCCTCAGGCATTTTTGATTATATTTTTGGCTGGTTGAATGGTTTTGCTCCTTTTAATTTTAAGTATTTATTAATTAATTAATTCATTCATTCATACACATATACCCTAGCTTTCCCTCTGACAGTTCTTATGTTTCTGTAATTTTGAAATTACTTTGACCCTGAAATCTTTGGATGAAGGACATTTTATACATCAATTAAAATAAAATATATCATCACAACAAAACGGTCTAAAGAGAGACCTTTGCAACAGGACGTATCTGAAAAAGGTTACCAACCTGGTCAAATCCTCAATGTCTACCAGCATAGCATCCTGTTCTGTGTGCAATTCATCCCGAATTAGCAGCAGTTGCACCAATTCTTCATTCAAGCCTGACAGCAGAAAAGAGAAAAAGAGTGTTTAAGCTCATTTAGCCACAGTTCTCCCCATGTCTAACACTTTGGAATCTGTTAGTCACCATGGTACATGGCTCTCACTCCAAGAAACAGAAGGGCATTTGGCTTGGCATATAAATAAGGGAGGCGATGAAGTAATGGAACAAGAACAATGGCCGGTATTGTTAAAAACAAACGTTAGTAAAAAAAATATCAACATGACACTACTGTAGATCTCATGAGAGAACCAAGGATGACTTCCCAAAGCAGAATGCACTCTTTAAACTCTTTAACTTAGGAACTAACCCATGGAACTTCTGGCATTTTTATGGTTGTGGTTGGTGATGGAAAATCCTCAAAACTGGGTGTGATCTACCAAGGCTGAACTTGCATCAACACATTGGCAGGGAAATAAGCTTGACTGTCTATGATGTCAGCCTGTTTCTACAGAGGCAAGAAAGCAGTAGGTGCTCCAACTGCAACAGCTACCAATGGTGCCAGGAACTGCCATTGTGTTGTGCGCCCATTCAACACCAGAGAAACCCCTGCTTTCTGCGCTGTCATTAGTAATGGTGAGGTTGGAGGGTACCAGGGACAGGGACTTTTTAATGGCAGCCCCACAATGGTGCAATTCACCTCCCTGGTACTCCACTAAATCCTCATTCTGCTAGTCTTTCAACTTGGGTCATAGGACTTTTATTTATTTATCCCACAATCCTTTTCAGTATTGATTTTAGGATGGTTGTTTTATATTGCAAACAAATTATTTGCATTTTTAGCGTACAGTTGTATATCACTTTGGGAGGATTTTTGTTCTGAAAGGCAGGTGATATATAAGCAAACAAGCAGATTTTTAAAATACAAACACAAACTCGAGAATCAAAACTCATGAAATGCATGTCACTTACCCAATGCTCTCCTTAAAAAATTAAACTAAGCCAAGTCATGGTAGAACTGATTTATCGGTATTTTCTAGCAGGTCCACTGATTTTCTAACATCCTAGCAGCAATTCCAAAGTAGCAGACAGCACTAACAGACTTCAGGGGAGAATTATTCACATTTGGCTGAGCATAGCTCACAGGTGCCTAGGCAAAGAGCCACACTGCAGCTGCTTTGACTAATTTGATTAATAAGCACACATTGACATGGGCCATGGAGTCATGTGCTAATTTCTTTTTATTTAGAGCCTCTTCTGTCTGTAATGAATTAATTCGTATCACTGAAAAGCATAGCAGTACTTTGGCTCTAAAAAGACAACAACAACAAAAAAGAGTCCAGTGGAAGGACTGCAAACAGGCACAAAAGCTTTAAAGGTAAAGGTACCCTTGACCGTTAGGTCCAGTTGTGGACGACTCGGGTTGCGTGCTCATCTCGCTCTATAGGCCAAGGGAGCCAGTGTTTGTCCGCAGACAGCTTCCAGGTCATGTGGCCAGAATGACTAAGCCGTTTCTGGAGAACCAGAGCAGTGCATGGAAACCCAGTTTACCTTCCCGCTGGAGCGGTACCTATTTATCTACTTGCACTTGACATGCTTTCAAACTGCTAGGTGGGCAGGAGCTGGGACCGAACAACAGGAGCTCACCGCATCGTGGGGATTCGAACTGCCGACCTTCCAATCGGCAAGTCCTAGGCTCTGTGGTTTAGACCACAGCAGCACCCGCGTCCCTTATAAAAGCTTTAGTATGGCCTAAATATTGCAAAGGGCTAAAGTTGTCTACTTGTGCCTTTGCACAAGATGTAATGAAAGAGAGCTGGAAACATGCTTCCTCTTCTCTACACAGTTCCAGGTATCATGCAAAGCTGGAAGAAACCTACAACCAACCATGGTGTGGAAGAGGCATCTACTGCTCTTTTTTGTGCAAGATCTCCACAAATGCATGGCTTCCTAGCCCCCCATTTAGCCCCCCACTTCTGCATCTCATGCAAAAGCACTCTAAATAGTAAAACTATAGGGAACTCATATTCGAATGCTATTGTTTCAAGAATTGCTGAAAAGAGAGGGACGTGCAGAGGGCCTCCTTCTTCCTCAGTTGGCATTAGATTACTGAATAATTGCCATTCCTGACCTAAAGTTTGAAGGTCAAAAGTCACTTCCAGATCTGTGATTTCTCTTCTCCATATCTAAGACGAAAAGTACAAGAAATATAACATGCCATGAGCTAGCATGGAATAAAAAGCAAGTTTTGATTTAAAACTTGCTTTGGGGGCAATGGCCCCCAATGTTATCTGAAGAGAAGATGTTGGCATTGAAGATATTTCCCTCTAGTACAGTGGTACCTTGGTTTTAGAACAGCTCAGTTTATGAACAACTTGGATTAAGAACGCTGCAAACCCGGAAGTAGGTGTTTTGGTTTGTGAACTTTGACTTGGAAGCAGAATGTTCCGCTTCCAGTTGAGTGTGTTCCATTTGTAAATTGAGTCCCCTGCTGCTATGGAAAAGCACACCTTGGTTTAAGAACGCTTTGGTTTAAGAAAGGACTTCCAGAACGGATTAAGTTCGTAAACCAAGGTACCATTGTATTGGAGATGCCATAATCCTAGGAGGACACAGATCACTGATCCATCTAGGTCCATATTCTCCACACTGACCAGCAGTGGTTCACCAGGATTTCTGACAGGGGGTCTCTTCCAACCCTACCTAGAGATACCAGGGGCCTTCTGCATGCAAAGCAGATGTTCTACCACTGAACTACAGTCCTTCCTTGGTTCAATGTTGGTGTCAGCTCTCACATGCAACAGAACAGTTTCTATACTCTTAAGTCGAGGTGCCACGAATAGCGAAAGGACATAATACCAAGGGAGAAGACTTACTTTCTATCTGTGAATGTAGATCATTGACTATCACCTGTAGCTGCCCAATCGTCATATCTCTCAGATCTGTGGGCTTTAAGCTTCTTTTCATCAAGCATTCACTTATATGAGGCATATGTGGCAGCTAAAAAGAACGACAACAACACTTTAGGCCACTGTCATGGCCAGCAACAATGACAAAAAAGAACTTCTGCCAGCATATTTTCTAATGTATTAGCAATAATAGCTAATGATGGTAACCTACTATATGTTAAGCACCCTGAGTATTAGTCATTAGGTACTGAATGCATAAAATTTATCAAGTTTAGATACCACATACTGTACTAAGATTTTATAAATACTATACTCTATCTAACAAAGGGGGAAAAAACTTTATTTTCCTTGCTTGTTCTGAATCAAATATATTAAATAAATATGCTCCACTTTTAAAACTCATTTTTTACATCTCAGATGGAGCTATAAGCTTTCCCAAATTCCAAAAAGCTTTATTGCAACTGGGGCAACTTCCATGGCTAGAAACAACTGGCAGGCATTGATCTCCTACGAGATACTTACAAGGTCAGCTACGGGAGATTTTTTCCTGTTTTGCTTTTCCACCTCTACTTGCATTTTGGCCATTGGTTTTGCCATTGCTAAGGCCATTTTGGCTTCAGCTTGAAGTTTCTTTTGCCTTGAGAGAAAATCCATGTCATCTAGGGATTCAGATTCCTCTTCAGTAGTGTCTCTGTCAGAATAGGAAGAGCTCTGCTTGCTCTAGAAAAAAAGACACAAGATATATATACAATCAGGCTTGTCTAATTCAGCAGCAAGCAATTTAATCACTGTATTAAAACAATAAACATTAGCTCTAGCCTTAATGTGAATGACATGAACCAGAAGAAAACTAGCCCTCTGCCAGAATTGTGCTTAGATTCTAGGGTTAAACCTTTGGCACCCCTGGTTTAAAGGACACCAGATGTCTGAGCTGGGAAAGAATTATGCCTGAGACATTAGAGAACTGCTACAAGTCTAAGCAGATGGTAAAGATCTGAAAGGATCCCTGTGATGCCACACAAAATACCTCTATATCCTCATACTGCGACTGACACCACTCTTCACCTGCTGATGGAAGGTGAAGTTCAACCATACCTGGAGGGCACTAGGTAAGCTATCCCTGGTCTAAGAACTATACCCACTTGCCTAATTGACTGGCCAATGCTAAAAGCAGCCACTTGTCCCATAATACTTTAGGGTTGCCATTTTGAAGGGCAAAAAAAGAGGACACTTTTGCCGACTTCTGTGGATTACTATGACAGCTCTACCCATGAAAAAGAGGATGTGTCCTGGAAAAAGAGGACACATGGCAACCAATGTTCTTAGGGCACACAACCCAGGCAACCCATAAAATGGCGGTGAGGGATCTGGGCTTGGGGAGCAACATCATCCCTTGCCATACATATAACCGGCAATACAAACTGAGGCCTACGCTTCTTATTATAAGTTACGCACATAAATAGCCTATGCTCCAAGCTCTTGTGAAAGACCAGTCCTTCTTTTTAACAAGCGGGGAATAAACAAGTGTGACACAATGTCACGATATCAGAATTACTTACCAGAAATACTTTTTATTTACGCTATTTATATATTGTATTTCTTTCTTAGTAATGTTTTGGCTGCCAATATTACGTTGCGTCAGTTTGTTTCTTTGAAGTGTATAATATTGTTTTGACAGTTGTAGTATTTCATTCTTTTTCTTTTTATGTGTTAAAATTTAATAAAGGTTAAATTAAAAAAAAAAAGAAAACCTGGAATTTGGTGCACATTTATTGACATTTTTCAAGGGATCAAGACCTTCTGTAAGACTGAAACTCACCATGGGAGACAAAGGTGTATCCAAACTTGTTTCGGTCTTGCTGTCGTCAGCATCACTATCTTTGTCACTTCCACTGTCATTTACAAAACAAATCTGTAAATTCATCCCACTTTGTAACCTTGAACAGAGAAAAAAAGAGGGAGAGGGGAAGAGAGATTGGATTATCACTACCTGCAACGATACAAAATGTAGTTTGGCTCTTGGTTTCTTATTCTTTTAGAAACTTTTGCCATTTCTGCATACTCCATCAATGTTAATTGCCAGTCCTCCTTCGTTGGAATTGTTTCTTCTTTCTGTCTCTGAGCGTAAATCATTCGGGCAGCTGTAGTAGCGTACATAAATATTTTTTTGTGCTCTTTGGGTACGTCTCTGCCAATTATACCTAAAAGAAAAGCTTCTGGTTTTCTTAACAAAAGTTATCTTCAACATTTTTTTCAACTTATTATAAATCATTTCCCAGAAAACTTTTGCTACCTTACATGACTACTACACATGGAAAAAGGTACCCTCCTTCTCTTTACATTTCCAACAGGTATCTGATTCTGACTTATACACTTACTGGGAGTTCGATATCATCCCCTATGTTTCCTTTTCTCTGCTGGTCTCTAGAAACCAGTTTACATGCTTGAGTAACTTGTTTACCATCGCTTGAGCTTTATTTAAAGTACAGTTGAACAAGCTACAAAGAAAAAAGTTGGGTTATGTATGAGAGTTTATCATTACGACATATTGAGATGATCCAAATTTAGCAAAGCTTAGCAAATACATTTCCCAGCTGTAACTGTGCTAGATTTGAAAGCGGGGGGGGGGGGGGGAGCAAGCATTCTGAGAAACTTAATTTTTTTAAAAAAAACAATTACACATGTAAATAATGGAGATTCTCACTCTGAAAACAGTTAACGTGTCTGAATAATAAAATACAACATTGCATTTAGAACTCAGATATCCCAATTTGTTTTTACTGTTGGATTTACAGTTGCCCGCAAAAGACAAGTACAGATTTGCTATTTCTACCTGAGTGGGTAGATAGGCTTCAGGCTTGCTACTTCTACTTTATATATATTTTTTACTAGATCTCCAAGAACTACCACCCAGAGTCAGGTGCAAAATGCAGTTAGAATGAAAGGGCAGGGGGTACCTGAGCCCATTATGTGTACCAGAACTGAACTGACTCACAGTGTTTTTCGCATAAAAATCCACTCCTGGTTAGCTTTCTCCATTTCAGCAGCCTAATTTAGATGGGAAAAGCCATTTTATTGTTCCCATTGCTAAACAACTCAGTTGTAAACCCTTGCCAAACTATTGCAAGCCACCCAGGGATCTTGACCTACCTTCTGCCTAATGCTGTTTTACATTATTTTAGAGAAATGCAATCAGCTGCCGTTGCCTGTGTCCAAAACAGTAATTTCCTGTTCACCTGATTAGCTCTGAGTGCTCTTGTGCAGAATGGCTGCAATCAAATTCAAAAGGGCGTTCTTTGCACCCAGAGAACTTACCATTTTTTTGTACACTGTTGAGGAAAAAAAATCACAAAATCTCTTGTGCATGACTAGCCATGAATGGCCTCCCCAATTAAAAAGAAGAAGAAGAAGCTGAAGCATTTAAAAACCACTCAGAAGATATTTTCTAGAACTCCGTGCCTAATAGCATTATTGGTTATCAATACCTGCTTAAAATGTTGATCTAGGCAAGCCTACCCAGACATGCCATTATTATGTACAGGTACATTATTATTTGTTTTTAAAATGCGTTGGTTTTTATCTACTGTTTAGCAATCCTATTATGTCTGTTTTATTGCTTAAAAAAAAAAGAATACTTTATACCAGGGGTGTCCAGCTTCTTCCAAGAGACTGCGATCTATTCTTCCCACTATAAATAAACTGGCAGTGATTTTTAGGGAGCCAGAGTTGTTAATCAGTAGTTAGCAATTGACGTGTTCAACAGCCCTGCTTTATACCATTTCACATAAACCATTCAGATTTTAATTATTTATTAAGAAGAATATAAATCTTGACATCAAACGTACATACTGTACATACATATCACCTGTAAAGTTGGATCTAAATAAATGAATAAAATCAGAATACCTGGAAAATCAGTTCTATACATATATGCCACCTAGCTTCAACCAGTATTCATTTAGAAGACACCGGCCTTCTGGCACATAAGGAAGGCTTCTGTGGAGCAACTTCTGCTCCTTGGATCTGAATATCATCTTGGCATTCATTCAACTTTTCCCTCCTCATTCAAATACCCTCAAGATCTCCCAAAGTGTGTCAATCAAAAGGCTTTAGAAAAAGCACATGCCATAAATCTGCCCACACACCCTCTTTAAAAACCCCACCACAATAATTATATGCTCCTCACCACATGGCCTTTCCTTGCCATCTCATTGTTTTAATTGACAACCTTCTTCTCCCCCTGCCCTACTGGCCATATATTCTTTGACTGAAAGCTTTGGGAGCTGGGGAATCCACCCTCTATACAAATGTATGCTAGACACCCATGTGGACCACGTCTGAGCGCTGCAGAAACCTCATGACATAAGTCATCTGAATGCAATTCATTTTAAGAACAGAACGGTTGGTTGTAATTTAGGAGAACTTCAAATAGCCTGCAAAAACCAGCAGCATCCTGTGCTGTGTATGTTTCTTCTTTCTAAAGTTTGTTCTTATGTTTGTGGAGGATTGCTAGGAACAGCATTTTGCCATAATGACTGAATACCGAGGGAGGCAATATCTCTTCCCAATCCAGCTCATACATGTGGGGAGGAATGAGGCCACACTTGCACGCGCACCAAACCAATGCATCTGCCCTGTTTCTGATGCTCCTGCAGGTCGATGTAGGGCTAGCACATCCGAGGCTTATTAGGAAGTGGAATTGTCCAGTCTGGCCCACAAGTGACTTTATGGGTCCCAATGATAAAGCAAATGTTGAGTGTTACAGAAAGACTGCTCTGAGCATTGTTCGGAGATGAAACTTTTCAGTTAACATTGTTTCATGATAGTTTCAAAATTGTTTCAAAAACCATTTATTGCACTAGTACTGTACAGTGGTACCTCGGTTTAAGTACTTAATTCGTTCCAGAGATCAGTTCTTAACCTGAAACTGTACTTAACCTGAAGCACCACTTTGGCTAATGGGGTCTCCCGCTACTGCTGCGCCGCCAGAGCACGATTTCTGTTCTCATCCTGAAGCAAAATTCTTAACCTGAGGTACTATTTCTGGGTTAGTGGAGTCTGTAACCTGAAGCGTATGTAACCTGAGGTACCACTGTACTGCCAATTTTAATTGCTGTACATTGAGTACTATTTTAGGCAAAGGCAGGATAGGCATTTCCTTAAGGGAAGACCAAGAAACAGTCCTACTCAATAGCCCTATCCCCCAAAGAACCAGGGCTTTAGGCTGTGTTATTTGAACTTAGTAGAACTAAACACACCTATTATTTAAAGCATTTAAAACCCTGTTCTTCAGCCAAAAAAGGGTTATAAAGATCAGTAATAAGACAGTCCCGGTCTTCAGCTTTACAGCCTAAAAGATATGACACAAAAGAGAAAGAGATCAGGAGGAAGAAAGCAAACTCAGGCACTATTTCTTAGTCGCATAGTGCTAATTAAGATATGTAAGATATTAATTTTAGTCAATTAAACAACCAATTAAATTTGTGTAGAATTGCCTACAGGTAAAACAGTATATCTGAAGTAAGAAGGAACTTTTCTGATGATATACACAAGGTACTGGCCCTGTGTGTGAATGAAAGTGTTTCTTGTAAGATGGTTGCCACCTGCAGTTTTTATAAGCATTAAAAAAAAAGAAAGATTAATCTAGCTGAAGAATCCGTTAACCACTGTAACTCTGTTTTTTCTTTAAATCACCATTTATAAATAGGACCATTGCCTGATTAAAAAAATCTTAAAGTCATATGAGTTTTAGTCAATTAAACCTGCATAAATGTGCAGGTGAGAAAAACAGAACTCCAGATGATTCGTGAATGCATTAGGGCAGACATCATAGGCTGTTTAGTATCTTTAATACAAGTGTGTGTGTCTGTGCGTCTGTGTCTGTCTCCAGATGTCAAGAAGAGCAATTCCTTCCTGTCTAAAAAGGGGGAATGTCTCTTCAAAGATGATTCAAGAAGCTGAGCAAGGATGCAGGGTGTGTGTGTGTGTGTGTGTCATGGTTCCAGGATGTTTTTCAGAACAGAAGCAACAATATGATCTGCCAGAGCACCAGGACACTCTTTGCTCTGGCAAGTGAATGAGGTGATAAAGAGATTTTCAAGTTTGTTTGGGACAGATTAAGTCAGGAAGTTGAGACAAACCTCCCTAGACCCATGGAAACATCTGGAGAGACTGACTGGATCAGAGTTTTCAATACACATTTTAAACTGATTCTAAGTCGTGGTTCTGTATGGAAGTGAGAACTGGACCATAAAGAAGGCTGATCGCCGAAGAATTGATGCTTTTGAATTATGGTGCTGGAGGAGACTCTTGAGAGTCCCATGGACTGCAAGAAGATCAAACCTATCCATTCTTAAGGAAATCAGCCCTGAGTGCTCACTGGAAGGACAGATCCTGAAGCTGAGGCTCCAATACTTTGGCCTGATGTTGGGAAAGATGGAGGGCACAAGGAGAAGGGGACGACAGAGGACGAGATGGTTGGACAGTGTTCTCGAAGCTACCAGCATGAGTCTGACCAAACTGCGGGAGGCAGTGGAAGACAGGAGTGCCTGGCGTGCTCTGGTCCATGGGGTAATGAAGAGTCGGACACGACTAAACGACTAAACAACAATAACAACAACAAAGTCGTGGTTCTAGTTTTAAGCTGCTGTTACGCCTTTTCCCAAGAAATGACAGACAAGCTGACATGGTTGGTGTTTACTGTGTTTTTAAATTGTGTTTATTATATGTTAAAAAGCAATAAAATGCTTTATAAAGAAAGGAAGAAAAACAACAACAGAAACCACCCAGCGCCAGTGGATTGTCCAAAGCTGAATAGCAGTGTCTTTGGCCCTCTGTGCTCGCTTAAATCAGCAGGCAATACTTTAACAACCTATTTACTGGTATAATGTACATAATGGTTCCTTTATTCCAAAATCGAACATGATCTCAGCCACAAGGTGGCCTGTAGCACTTTCTTGCAACTTTAGGCATCCTTTTATCATAAATAAGGAATGGGTTGTAATGGAAGCCACATGCACATTAAAGGATTAAATTTAAAATTCACCAATCATCCAGTTATTTGTGCATACAGAGAGCACCTGCTAAAGTATTATATTAACTTGTACACAAGGCAGGGAGAAGAGATTATTTTTTAAAGCGTTCTTTCGATGATGCATTCGGCTGGTCTCTCTAGTCAGAAACAATTCTTCCATAAAGGTGTTTATTGTGATTGTGGTGATGTTATGCTTCTGGCCATCTGGACTTCTATTCAGCCATCTCCCTTGACAAAATTCCTAAGCTGTGTAATGTCAAGCCATAAAAATGCTAACTGTGATTTATAGCCACCGAGACTCTGTAGACAATACAGAAGCATACGGGTTTTTCCCTCCTCTGGACAGATATGGAATATCCATACAGCGACTGCGATTCACAGAAGAACCATTTCTAATTTGTTATTTCATTAAGAACTTGAAATATGATGGTAAACAAAACATATCACCTGGCAGACAAGACATGTGTAACTAATAAACATGGGCTTTGATTCATGCTATGCCTCCTTTGTGCCCCCATCCCCAGGAGAGTTAATCTTGTATTACTCTTCAGTGGAAATGGACAGTAAAATATTATTTTCCATTTACTTTAATGGCTCTTTGGATGCATTATTAATATGCAATATATAATGAATAATTGCATACTTACATTTTTACGCCATGTCTTTTTCTGCTGCACAAGACATTCAATGGGCTTTAGGCCTGAAGCATAAATTATAGCTACCCGGGGAAGGGTGTGATAACATATACTGTTCCTTTGCTTTATTCTAGCATTGTTTGCAAAGGGAAATAGATTAACTCCTTACTCCTTTGTGAGTCATAACCTCTGTTCTTAATACCAGCACACACGTTATAGGGAAAATGTTGAGGAGTTCAGAGAGAGAAAACTAGGAGACAAACGCTGCAGTCCTAGAGAGACTTGCCTGAGAGAAAGTACCACTGAACTCAATAGGATTTTTTCCTGAGTAGCCATGCATAGGAGTATGCTGTAAGTTCCCATCCCATGCACATCAACTAGGCAGTGAGTTTGTTTAATATGGTAGGACTTATGTCCCAGTAGCCATACATATGATCAGAATCCGGGCCAGTCCTGAATATCTATCAGGCTATGTATATTGACTTGTATGCTTAAACTGAGATGGAGGTACCGATGGCTACTGTACTATTAATATGACTGAAGTTTTCTTTTTTTCCTTTTCCTTCCTGACTCTTGTTGTTAAATTTTCTATTAAAAGGTAGCCAGAGTAAGAACCAGGCCTTCTTGTTCTTTGTTTTCCAAAGAACCTTGAAAATCAGAGGAAGAAAAACAACAGATGACTTTCAATCAGTGCTAGGGTAGGAAGTCCACACTTGGCTGCCCTTGCCTCCTCAAGGAAATTTGACTTTTGGGTTCCTGTGCGTGAAAAACAGACCCTTCCTGGGAACTCTGAAAGTGCCAGGCTGTGCCATTCGGAGACTATTTTGCCTGAACCCGTACCCTTGCAGGGGATCAATGAATGTGGCTTTGGGGTGCAAAGAAAAGCCTAATCAGTGAAGCAGTCAGGACATTTGCATGTGTGAACTTGTGTCTGCTTGCATGAGACATCCACGTGCCATATGTTTCCTGCTCTACCATGAACCTGCGCCACAGAAGAGGAAGTGGTCCCAAGGGGTCCCTAACAGAGCAGTATTTGACCATGTTCAAGCTTGTGGAGTGGGACAAATCTGGCCTGGCACATAATAATAATAATAAATTTTTTTATTTATACCCCGCCCTTCCCAGTTCAGAAAACCGGGCTCAGGGCAGCTAACAACAAATTTAAAACACTTAATTGATGCAACAAAAAACAGCGTAAAATACAGTATAAAACGTGAATAACAAAAAATTCAGAATTCAAAAAACAAATTAGGGGGAAAATCCATCCAATAAACATTAGATTATCACCAGGGCTAGCTAGCTAAATTAGTCCTATTTGGGCCAGCGAGGAGGCCAGGGAAGAATTAGCTGTGGGATCCCAGAGTGGGTAATCTTCATAAAAAGGGGAGGGGGAGGGAAGGAAGGGGAATAAAAGATCAGGCTAAGTTCAAATTGAAAGCCAGGTGGAATAGCTCTATCTTACAGGCCCTGCGGAAGGAAGATAAATCCTGCAGGGCCCTGGTCTCATGGGACAGAGCATTCCACCAGGTTGGAGCCATCACTGAGAAGGCCCTGGCCCTGGTGGAGGATAATCTGACTTCCTTAGGGCCCTGGACCTCTAAACTGTGATTATTCATGGACCTTAAGCTCCTCTGTGGGGCATACCAGGAGAGGCGGTCCCGTAAATACGATATACCTTTGTTAGGTAGGGCAGGCTTAGGGAGTGACAGGCCCAAAGTCACCCAGGAATCATCATGACTGAACATAGATATGAACAGGGGTCTCCCCAGCCTGTGATTTTGGAGTGCCCTTGGAAGGTGTGGCTTCAAGGGTAGGCAGGGCTGTCACGGTGAGTTCCTATGCTTCAAAAATTTACCACTATACCACCGTTGAGGAGCTATTACAACTGCTACTACTGGAAGGTAACAAAATTAGGTGCTTGAAACATGAAGTTTTTCTGCAATGGTTGTGGCCATATGCAACGTGGTGGGTGATTAATACAATTTTTACCCCCCAAAGTGCCACTTTAACTCAGGTTGTGTCCTCAAAGAAAAGTAGAGAGCTGAGCACCAAATATTTGGTGTGGGGAGGCACCCTTAGTCCAATTCTTATTATTGTCAACAAAGGATCATGGTCTCTTGTTTGGGCCTCAAAATGGAGAATGGGATGTTGAAAGAACACTTGTCCTTTATCCTTCCAGATAATGCATTGCTTGTTTAAATAACCAGGAGCCACAAAATCCTTTTCCAGTGATAAACTGGAGAATGTATATTTTGATGAGTCTCCCACAGGCAATAACAGCTCACCACTGCATGCACAAATGCTCTTTGGTTTCTACATTTATGTTGAAAATAAATTTTCATCAGGACTGACCATTCACACACTTTTATTTATCATGCCTATATAAAAGTTTGGTTACCATTAAAGCATTTACAGCTGCTGTGGCATTTGTCCGTGTTAAGCGTGCAGTATTCAGAATTTTACGACAGAGGCAAGAGACTGGATTTCTTACAAAGTATAAAGGGCCTTCTCAAAGAATATACAATTATATGACAGTGTAAGACTGGGGGTTTGGGTGGCTGTACTCAAATTTATATCCTTGAGTTCAGATGTCTGAAGGGAGGCAGTGCTGCTTCATAAAATTATTTGTATTTCTTTGTAATACATTTGAAATCTCCCACTAAATCCAAACCTTTATTGCTTAGCCCAGGCATAGGCAAACTCAGCCCTCCTGATGTTTTGGGACTACAACTCCCATCATCCCTAGCTAACAGGACCAGTGGTCAGGGATGATGGGAGTTGTAGTCCCTAAACATCTGGAGGGCCGAGTTTGCCTACACCTGGCTTAGCCAAAGGCAAACAATCATACATAGTACAAAAAGCGAGACGTCACTAAATATATGACTTTAACAAATGAAAAGCGTCATGACTAGCCACTGGAATAGCCAGATAAACTCAGTTAAGTGCAGTGTGTAACTCAGTGTAGACTTCAAAAGGCTTTTAAGTAACACTGATAATTCAAACAGTATCCAGACTTAATGTGCTGAGCACTTTTAAAATCTTTAAAGCAGCTGAAGAAATTATTCATTACAGATGTTATTGATGTTTCTTTAAATATTTATATCCTCACCTCTGCTGAGTTTGAGATGGCTTATGGAATAGTATATTAAACCATACCTTTCACCAACATGTTTGAAAGGCACACAGAATGAAGTTCTGGGAAAATGACTGACAGTCACAGAAATGGAAGCAAGCATGACATTCACACACAACATTGGAAATGCACGGTACTGTTGGGCAAACAGATGCCGGAGGGGGGGAGACAGAAGATGAGAAGCTTAGAAGCTCAGACAGTGGAGGGGTTTCTCTTTGTAGTTAAATCATGGACGGACAGAACACTGAAGATAATGTCACAGTCTCAAAAGCCTGGACTTTATGATATTATGCCACGCGGCATAACTCTATGATATTATGCCACATGGAAGCTATTAAAATGATAAATGTTCACCGTGCCATTTTCACTCACCGAGAAGAAAGGCTTGGCTTCCCACTTTTACTACAGCTGGTATAAATTCCTGGGCCATCATCAAAGAAACTTCCAAGCGCCAGTTTTTGCCTGATAGACTCCCTCTCATTTTTTTGAGCCTGAAAAAAACACACAACTAGAACAATTATCATCAAACCGCTGACAGCAGACCACATTCCTGTAAACAGAACTTTAAAGTTAATCCAACATTTTCAGCACTCAGTGCTATAATTTGAGACAAGGAGATAAAGCGCCAATGATATTATGTACCCTCTTGATTTGTTTCAAATAGAGAATACATGTTGAATATTGTCTCAGACTAGTCACTAGGTGATCCTGACACAAGTGTTATTTCAGTTCATTTTTGCCTTTAATTTGTCTACTGCCTTTCTACACTGCTATACACAAGGCAGTGTATGAGCCACAGAGGCAACAGAATACACGACAAACACCACACATCTTATAACAATCTGACTCAATGCAAGAAGTCATCATTTGTTCCAAGTTCTTGAGTCCAGGAAGTGGGAAGATGGCTTGCTATGGATGGGGTTACACTACTCTGGAAGGAGCAGGTCATAGCTTGAGATTACTCCTGGATCCAACTGTCATTTGAGGCCCATCTCTAGCTGGTTCACCAGCTATGGCCCCTTTGGGAGAGAGATAACTTGACCACGGCACTCCATGCTGTACTTCCAGATTGGACAATTCTTGCCTAAGCCAACCACAGTTCTGAATTTTATGATAAATAATAATAATAATAATAATTTATTTGTACGCCACCCATCTGGCTGGGTTTCCCCAGCCACTCTGGGCGGCTTCCAACAAAGATTAAAAATACATTAAAATGTCACACATAAAAACCGTCCCTGAACAGGGCTGCGTTCAGATGTCTTCTAAATGTCAGGTAGATGTTTATCTCTTTGACATGTGATGGGAGGGCGTTCCACAGGGCAGGCGCCACTACCAAGAAGGCCCTCTGCGTGGTTCCCTATAGCTTTGCTTCTCGCAATGAGGGAACCACCAGAAGGCCCTCAGTGCTGGACCTCAGCGTCCGGGCAGAACGATGGGGGTGGAGACGCTGCTTCAGGTATACTTGGCCGAGGCCGTTTAGGGCTTTAAAGGTCAACACCAACACTTTGAATTGTGCTCGGAAACATACTGGGAGCCAGTGTAGGTCTTTCAAAACCGGTGTTATGTGGTCTTGGCGGCCCCCCCAGTCACCAGTCTAGATGCCGCATTCTGGATTAGTTGTAGTTTTGAACTCCAGGGTTTGCAACCTGTGGTCCTTGGCCAAATTTCATTGAATGGAGAGAGCTTAGAAGGGCTAAAAAGCCAAGACGGATGGGTGTGTGTGTGTGTTGAGGGGTGGAAAGCCCTCTGTAAGCAAACTGTTCAGATCTCTGGCAAGACCTGGCAGTTTGCAGTGCAGGAGGTAAGAGTGTAAAAGAGAAAAGGGGGGCATCAGAAAGTGAGAAAAGTGGCTGCCCACCCACTCTTGGCCATGCCCCACTCATCACTAGCATATGGCCCCCATCAGCTTACCCCAGAGTCCCATGGACTGCTTGTGGTTTTCCCACAGGTATCTGGTTGGCCACTCTAAGAATAGGATCATAGAATCATACATATGTAGAGAGTTGGAAGGGATCCCAAGGGTCATCTAGTCCAACCCCCTACAATGCAGGAAACTTTTGCCCAAGTTGGGGCTTGAACCCACAACCCTGAGATTAAGAATATCATGCTCTACCTACTGAGCTATGTTGGACTAGATGGGCCTTTGGCCTGATCCATTCAACAAACAAACAAACAAACAAACAAACAAACAAACAAACTGCAAATTCCCAATTCCCTCTACGGATTCAACCTAAGCAACAATAGGTTTTAATTCATACTTTTGTTTATTAGAGTTGGAACCTGGTGCCACGCTGTCTAATCTGAAGCAATTACAGCCTAGTGATTTTCAGGAGCATCACCATTAGCAGAATTCATTAGCGATTGCCCATAGATACGACTGCTAACTGAATGCTTCCAAGAACCATCCTTTGAAACGTATGGCGCACTATGCATCTGGTATATAGCTTTTCTGTCTCAAAAAAAGTGCAGCGGCAAACAAACTGCAACATGAGGGAAAAATCAATAACTTTAAGAGCACAGTGGCTGAACTTAATAAGCTGGTATATTCATTTTCACTTTGCCACAAGTGCTGCTATAACAGAAAAGGAACCTCAGGGGGCTCTCTCATTAGATTTTGTTTTTCATCCAATCTATTACATGCTACTGAAGATGCTTCCATCTGCACTGCTGTTTTATGAAGCTGTTTTCCTGCAGTGGGGGGAGAATTCAGAGAAAGATGTGGAGACAGTTGTGTAAGGATAATCTTGGACACTGTCAAAATAAAACATAAATCTAGATGTAGCAACATCCAGTCGCTTAGAGGCTAAACCACTACAGAAGGAAGCAAAAGAAGAGGCATCATAAAAGAACAATATGCAAAACAAAAATACAATTAAAATAATAAAAACCAAGAAATACCAGTCAAGCATTTAAAAAATCTGTAAGATTTGACAGTGGCAGACATCAATAGCCAACAAAAACTGTGGTGAACAGAATATTTTCAGCCAGAATGGCATGCTTGGTGCATATCATAAAATCATAGAGTTGGAAGAAACCCTGAGGATCACTCTTTGAATTAGCAGGAATATGCAGCTGCCCCATGCAAGGATTGAACCTGCAACCTTGGCATTATCAGCACCACACTCTAACCAATGGAGCTATCCATGAAGCTTTCACATGGAAGTTTCTACATTACTCCCAACAGCAGTCCATGCTCACAGTAGCCACAAATCACTCCCAAAGCCCAAAATGAATTTGTCAACTGCCGACCACCGGAAGTCCCCTCCTTCTTTATCAAGCTGGCATTGATAGAAAGAAGACACTCGCCATTTCTCATGTTAGTAAGAACGAGTGGGACCTGCAACAAAAGGTGGTCCCTGTTTTCCCCCATTCTTTTACCCCCACCCTCAGTTCTATGCAGCCACTAACATGCCCAATCCTCACATGCTGCTTTTGCCCACTCCCAACCCTTCAAAGTTTCTTTCTAAATATTATTTGTACTTCTAAAAACCTTAAGGTTTCTCTAAACTGACAGCATCACCCTTCTGGTGTGTGAGCACTGTGGTTGTGTCTATGGAAGGAATGAAATGCATAGGCTAAAGGCAGAACAAGGACCATCACCCAGCACAACATCCTACAAGTAAAGTCCTCAACAAATCAATTTCCTTCATCTTCCAAGTTTGCTGCAGGAGCTAATTTCACCATCTGGGCATTGCACTGGCCAGTTTTTGTTTAAAACAAACTTTTTTTTCAAATACACATTTGTATGTTAAAAAGCAACACCACATAACATGTTATCCATCCGTCGGTGAGTCAAGTGTTACTTCACAGAGCCTGATACCTGTGCAAGTCTCAGTGTAAAATCTACAGAGTTCCTACACACTGCATGCAGCAGTTTAAAGGGCAAATATTGACTAAGGTTGCATGGCAAAATCCAGATCTATGGCTCTCAAGCTAGGGATGCTTTAGTCTGGAACACATTTTTAAAAGCAAACTGAGCTGATTCACATTTCCTGGATTAAATACCTAAATTGGAATGCACGTTCAGTTTCCAGGATTTTTAGAACTTTGCGATAACAGTCCCTGGCTCATAAAACATGCCAAAAATGCATATGAAATTGCATACATTGGGATAAAAAGCATATAAATACATTTATTTTAAATGCATGTTATGTAAAAAGATACAGAAAATAAGGTGTTGCGTGTGTCTGTGTTGTATCCAACACTGTTATTCCACTTGTGCAACAGAATTCCCGCCTCCCTTCCCCTGTCACCCCCCTTTTTTTGTTTATTCAACACAATATATACACACCACTTGATTGTACCAAAACCTCTAAGCAGTTTACAAGAAATATTATGACTATCAATAAAAACTTAAGAACAAGTAGTTAAAAACATTTAAAAAATAAAAGCAGCAGTAAATGAAAAAGAGATTAAACATGTCAACATCTGTGTGTCAGGATAGGCTTGCCTAAACAAAAAATGTTTTAAGCAGATGCTGAAAGGAATAGATGTGAAGGGACCTGCCTGATGTCAATGACAGGGAGTTCCAAAGTGTAGATGAAACTGAAAGAATGATTTCTTACAAGTGCGGAGCAAATATTGGGTGGCACCTATAACCGCGCCACTGCTGGAGATTGAAGCAGTTGAGTGGGCACATATGAGGTTAGACATTGGGGGACCCTCTGAAGTTGATTTTTGGGGTGCATGAGGGAAGGAGAGACAACTCCGTGGTTTTAAATTGCAGATCAATGTGTGACAGAAACCAGAAACAGACTGATCTATCTGCCCCTATCTGAGGCCATCACACTTGCATCAGTTTGTAGAGATTAAAAGAGAGTGTGCCATTTTCAGCTCAAGTGCTGCACGTAGTGATTTGCAAGTACTTGTGCATCAGTGCAATTGATCTGTTGGTTGCATCACATCTATGCATAAGATCTGCGGCCGTAATACTTAAGTTACTCATGTTTTACCTACAATTAGAGTGGCTCATGGGAGGACACGGGGAGAATAAAAAGACTAATTAAATTGTGAGGATGATGCAAGTGCAAGCAGTAGACCCAGGGGTGCCCAAACTTTTTTCAAAGAGGGCCGGATTTGATGAAGTGAACATACGTGAGGGCTGACCAAAGTTGCTGACCTTTTTTTAGGATTGAAGTTGTTGACCTTTTCTTAGGATTGAAGCTTTGTTTGTTTGGCCCCAGTAAATGAACTGCCACAGGGGCTGGATAAAACCGGCCAAAGGGCCGGTTTAGGCCCCCAAAACGGACTTTGGACATGCCTGTGCAGGTGGAGCAATGACACAGTTAGCACAGTAACTAATGAGAGCACGGAAACTGGCATAATTAGCATCATCATAAAATGGCAGGCAGAAAAGGAGCCTTATGGCTGCAGCAAAAGTCCACAGCAGACCACCAGTGGGTTACTAGAAAATTGTTTTATGCATTTTTTAAATATCTTTTTTTTAAAAAAGGAAGTGTACACACACTTATGGCCCAACAATGTTGGTTTTATTTTTCACTGTGTGGTAGCAGGGGTCATGGGGTCTTTCCAATCCATTAAAAAGCCAAATGTTGCACCTGCATATTGGAAGCTTGGGGTTTACGCTATGAACTTTGGCAGCTAAACAACAGTTGAGGAAGCTGGCCAACTCATCTAAAGACAAGTTAGCGCTAGCTATTATAACAGGTTTACAAGTCTACTGGCCAAATATTTATATGTTTATACACTGCAAGGTTGTTTCACAGGCCATTGATCTACTTTTTAATAATTCTCCTCTCCTCCTAAACATTTGCAAGTTCAGTCTCTAAAAACCCAGCAGCCTTCCTATTGAAATAGTCCAGCTCATGGAAAGCTGGGTTTTTTTATTTTAGACTGACTATTGGGCTGTATTCAATGCTAGAGACCCACTGAAGGCAATGGACATTGTTAACTTAGGTTCACTGATTTCACTGAGTCGACTCTGAGTAGAACTTAGGCAGTAACATACCACTTTAAACAGAATCCTTGGAAGCACAGTTTGTTAAGGATGCTGAGGATGGAAAGGAGACCCCTTGCTTCTTTAAAGGTAAAGGGACCCCTGACTCTTAGGTCCAGTCGTGACTGACCCTGGGGTTATGGTGCTCATCTCGCTTTATTGGCCGAGGGAGCGAGCGTACAGCTTCCAAGGTCATGTGGCTAGCATGACCAAGCCGCTTCTGGCGAACCAGAGCAGCGCACGGAAACGCCGTTTACCTTCTCGCCGGAGCGGTACCTATTTATCTACTTGCACTTTGACCTGCTTTTGAACTGCTAGGTTGGCAGGAGCAGGGACTGAGCAACAGGAGCTCACCCTGTTTCGGGGATTCGAACCACCAACCTTCTGATCGGCAAGTCCTAGGCTCTGTGGTTTAACCCAGAGCGCCACCCGCGTCTTTACATAGCTCCAATTCCCCAAATGGTTTAACAGTCAATCCCTCACCTCAGGGAACTCTGCAAATTGTAGTTAGGTGTCCTCTAACAACTCTCAGCTAGAATGCAAAGATCTAGCACAGCCACCATAAAACTCAAGATTCATGTTTGGTGCAATCTGGTTCCATTAACATGAATGGTTGTTTTGATACATGCTTCAGTAAAACCTGGGTAATACCTATCATGTGATCTGCACCAAACAAGGAGCTGCACAGATATAACATCAAGAGATACTGAGATGTAACTCTCTGGGGATGCCTCCTAAAGCTTTAAGAACTTACAGGTCCTTCACATAATAGCATGAATTACATTTTGTTCTGTAATGCAAGCTTAATCTGTATGAAAGCGGGGGAAAGTAGTATAAACCACCACACACACAATGCAGTTGGTTTCACCACTGCCATACCATCAAGGGTAGCCAGTGTGGTGTTCAGAGGCTGTGTCAAGTGTCAGCATCAGCTGACACCCTGGGAGGGGGTCAGGAACACTGCCAAAAGCCCACTTGACCTACTGCAGCGAGGAGACAAAATCACACAGGGAGGACACATGGAGAGTGTCTTGCCCAAGGAACCTACAAAATCTGGATCCAACACAGGTGGCATCCTCCAGTGCCCACGTCCTATTATTTCACAAAATGCTCATATTTTTATGCAGCTTTCATGTCATTATTTTACCAGGATATATTCTATTTTCCTGGATGGTTTCAATATGGTAGCTATATCTTCAAAACCATTTACATGGCCAACCCAGTTCTACTTAGTTATGTCCTACTAGCTCAGATGATTAACACTGCCACTTCCTTTCAGTCCATTCTGTTCTCTCAGCAGGTGTGGTGAAGAACTGTTGTCTTCAGCACAGTTTGGAAAGAACCAATTTAGCCAACAAGATTTGCTGCAAATATGTAGAAAATCACCCGGGGCTGAAGTAACTCGGGATACAGGAAATCTCCAGATGTAGCACTTTATTTCCAAGAGTATTTCTCGATCTGGCCCAAATTGGTGTGCTTCAAACAAAACTTCACTGGATAAGCTTTGCGGCCCCTCTGTTTTATTGATGCTTTTTATGGTGCTTCAGAAATGCTGCCGACTTACTCCTATCATTTTGTCTGAATTGTTAAAGGAGAGCCTGAGTCTCACAAAAGCTAGCAGGATCATTAGCTGATTGCTCAACCGGCAGCAATAACACGTCAGAGGATAATTTTATTGACCCTTTTAAAGGACACTTTATTCCAGATATTACCAATAAATGAGTTTTATGTGTTAATGGTGTACATTCACGGTGAGCTTTACATTGCATACATGCACAATGAGAACAGTATGTCAACATTTATATGAAACTGACAGGTCTCTTATTAGGTATCATTGCCCCTTTCCTCTCACAATACAAGGCCTTTCGTATTAAGAGGATATGTTCATGTGCATATTTTCTAGAACACTTTACCAACGTGGCATTTATAGCAATAGAAATATGGCTGCAAGAAGGGTAGACAGCCAGAAATGCAAGCCGTGAAGAGTTCAGAACAAGTCAAATTGTTACTTCCATTGTTCCATCTCATTTACTGCATATAGTTTACTAAGTTTTCTAGAAACACAAACAAAACACTATAATTAGAATGTTTATTTAGTCCGATAGTAACATAAAGGCAATTCAAAGATGGCAGAATCCAAAATTAACTTGTATTTCAAATATCTAGGCTTCAAAAGAGCCAGAAACAAATATTTGAGGTACCAGCCAAGGAGCGAGATGGAAAAAAGATAATATTCTCGGACACTAGTATCAGAGTTTCTGACCATTATGGGATTTTTTTTATAGCAAATTTATAAAGCTAGTGTGTTGGAAGTTCTCCAACTATGAACATATAAAGCTTCCTTATAGTTAGCCAGACTGCAAGTCACATTCTGACTATTTCATGCTACAGGAGATTCCACTAAAGGGAGATGTCGAGGGCTGAACTTTTGGGACCTTCTGCGTGCAAACTGCATGCTATGCTTGGAATTACGGCCTCCCCCAGCTGGTACAACAGCCTCCATGTCCCACAAGGTAGGTGTCATTAGCTTTCCAAAATTAATACATACAGTTGCAGAATTAAATAAATCACAAAACGTATTTGTAGGCAACAAAGTAGGTATCACTAAACTTTCCATTAAGCCAAAGTGACGGTAAAATGTGTCAAATTCCATACATAAAGGAAATCTGTGCATTCAGAAACCCATCAACAGATTCTTAAGGCAACAAGTTCTGGCCAGAAGAAGACAAATACAGAAAGAGTGGAACTTTTGGGCACTCTTAGGCTAAGAACTGGCATATTCTTGTAATTTGATGTCAAGACCTCAGCCATGCAGCTAAAGTTATTTTTAAGTATGTCTGTTATTACCAGACATAGACAATTACTATATTTAAAGTTCCATACTGCAGCTGGCATGCTTTTTAAAGACATGCCAATGCAGCAGTTTATATAAACTCTCCACACCCTGGGTAAACTCACTATACTGTTCAATTTAAAAAGTTTCTATTCAATGGGTTGGTGGTAGGAGAAGTGAGAAAGAGAGAGAAAAGAAAAAAAAAGACCATTCAAGTTTCAAACATTAATCAAAACTGGATTGCCTAACTTACTACAACATACTACATCAATACACTCCTAGCACCTGATTTCCATCGATCTGCAATGCTGACAGTTAAAATGTTTTATATAGCCAAACCAAAAAGTATGTAGAATGCAATATTCTGAACTAAAGCTTAACAGAAAGTTGGTGAAAACATTCATTATGACAACAAATGTCATTATATAGCGAACTAAAGAGACACTGTCATGAACATGTACATTTATTTCTGTTTTTGCATCCTTGAAGGATGTTTTGTGAATGCTTTTTCTTTCTTTCTTTTTTGCAACTGCACAGGCCCGGATTTGTTTCTCTCCTGCAAACAGCAGCAATTGTTCCCAGACAAAAGAGCCCTTTTGTGTCTCTTACCTTTTTATAATTCCCCTCCACATCCAATGTGGATACTTCAGTGATGATGTCATCCATTCCATCACTATCCAAATGCATTCCTTTAACCCTTAAAAAACCCCTAGGAAAACAAACTGGTCACTTTCTCTTCTGCCCGCAACTTATTCTGCGCTTCAAGTCTCCTTTCCCGAAGCCCATTCATTAAAACTGCAGTTTCAGGTGACAGCTTAAAGCCGGACCAGTAGTTTCAGTCTTCTTTTTCGTGCCATGAGAAGGTCCATTCCCGGCTGTTAAAAGTCTCTTGTCCTCAGACACTGGGACCTGTCAGGAGCCTGATCTTCTCGCCAGCTGCTATCACCTACCTCTGAAGCATGCAGCTACAATCCACTCCAAAGTACGCTGCTTTTTCTTCTTCTCCAAATAAAGTAAAGGCTGGCTTTGAGCTGAAGCCAGCTGATTACACTTCTTCGCCAGTTACACAAGGAAAGCAACAATCTTCCTCTAGTCACTGGTAGTGCAGGTTAAAAATAGATGGAAAGGCCTGCCTAGCAGAGTACACCAGAGCAAAACACACACACACCCCTGCTACGTACAAAGCAGAATGATATAAAAAGCCAAGGCCACATGGCCCGCAGCCATAAGCAGCAGGCCAAAGGGCCCAGAAGCACACAGTCGTCCCATCTATTAAAAGGAGCCCCTCTATCCCAGGTTGTCCAGACCTGGAGCAACTCCAGCCTCCAATGCAGTCTAACACACTGCAAAAAGGGGGGGGGGATAGCAGAGGAGCAGGGGACAAGGACAACCTGCATTCAGCCTTTCTCAACCTGTGGGTCCCCAAATGTTGTTGAACTACAACTCCCATCACCCCTAGCTAGCAAGGCCAGAGCTCAGGGATGATGGGAGTCATAGTCCAACAACATCTGGGGACCCACAGGTTGAGAACAGCTGTTTGACTTCTTTTCTTTTTCCTCTTTCTTTCAAATTGATAAGTAGGTTTCCTCAATCTAGCTAATTAACGAAAGCAAAGAAAAAAACACTAAGTAGATAGTTACAGAGCATGTCCAGTATCACTTCAATTTACAGACATTTCTTTGGATGCGCATTACTTACACATGCGTCCCCTGAATCCTCTCTTGGGCAATTTTTCTGCTTCAGGGACTCGCTAAGAAAAAAACAGGAGTACTGAAAATAACTGGGCTGTAGCCAACAGTGTTACTTAGCTGACTGTAGGGCTTTTCCACAGTGAAACGGGGAGGGAAGTGGTTCTTAGAAATTCCCTCTCCTCCCTGCAAGCTCCCTCCTCACTAGGAGACCCCCCCTCCAGAGCAGATTTAAGAGGGCTGATGTGGTGGTAAGTGAATTACTGAAAATTCCTTCCTTCCCTGCTCTCCTGACAGAACCTTTACCATCAGCTGACTGATGCCAGTGGATACAGTTCAATATTTTTACCATATACAGTGGTACCTCCGGTTGCGAACTTAATTTGTTCTGGAGGTCCGTTCTTAACCCGAAACTGTTCTTAACATGAGGTGTGGTTTCGCCAATGGGGCCTCTTGCCACCACCGTGCGACTTCTGCTTGCATCCTGGGGCAAAGTTTGCAACCAGAAGCATCTACTTCCGGGTTAGCGGAGCTCGTTACCCAAACAGTAAAGGTAAAGGTAAAGGTACTCCTGACTGTTAGGTCCAGTTGCAGACGACTCTGGGGTTGTGGCGCTCATCTCACTCTATAGGCGTTTGTCCGCAGACAGCTTCGGGGTCATGTGGCCAGCATGGCGAACCAGAGCAGCGCACAGAAACGCCGTTGACCTTCCCGCCAGAGTGGTACCTATTTATCTACTTGCACTTTGACGTGCTTTCGAACTGCTAGCAGGGACCAAACAATGGGAGCTCACCCCGTTGTGGGGATTCGAACCGCCGACCTTCTGATCGGCAAGCCCTAGGCTCTGCGGTTTAGACCACAGCGCCACCCGCGTCCTGAGGTTCCACTGTAGTAGTTTACAGTAAAGGCATTTCTGAAGTTCAAGCTGCAGCCTGGAAGGTTGGCTGCCAACCGCAACGTTATGAGATCAGCTTGGGGATGCAAAATGCACGTGCTTAGAACACTTCGCCTCTCAGATTGAGACAAAGCCCCACTGACAGGTGCACATCTCAGGAACGCTCGGAGCTTAGTGACACTGCATGAGCGCACGCTTTGGAGATGAAACCCCACACATTCCCCGCTGCCTCTCACGCTGTGCATCTGGAGTCCACGCTGCTTTTCCATAAAAGCCAACCAGCTACTTTGGGGTCATGTCATTCATTAATCTTGTAATAGCAGATAACTGACACCATTCTGCCTTGTCTCTCTTGATTTTGTGAAGTCTCTTGTTCTTTATGAAACTTCAGAACAGTAGGATGATTATAGCACATGTTTCATGTTAATGGAAGCAGGAAACCACCCCGCCCTCCCAAAGTAATTCAGTGAAGGAGTTATCATCAGGAGAATTTCCTGGAAGCACAAGGGATGGGGGCAGGGGGAGGACCTAAGCCATCTTGAGATTAATTCAGGTGTTAGTTGGTTAGGCCTTACGGCTTATTACAGAGCCCCTGTGGACTTTTCATGTTGTGGTTTCATGACTCATCTTTTAGGGTCCAAAACAGTGAGCTAGCTACACATTTAGATCACAATACACCCAATTCAGCACTAGTAGCTGAATTTTGTTCTTGGACCCAATTTAAGGTGCTGGTATTAGTCTACAATGAAGTGTTTCTTGACGGAGGGTCATATGATGGTCTTGGGGATGGGGTTCAAAAAATATGTGCAACATAAACAGAACATTAGAACCTGCTTGAAAATTCCAATATAAACCCACTTGAAAATTCCAATATAATAATTAGAGGACCCATGCTCGAAAGGTCTCTGTGTGGGATTTTTATGTTAGCTAAAAGGGGCATGGGTTAAAAGAGATTGAGAAATACCGTTTTCAAAGCCCTAAATGAGGAAGGACCATAGCTTAGCGGCAGAGCATCTACTTTGTAAGGCCCTGGGTTCAATCCCTGGCATGTCCAGACAGGGTTTGGAGAGGTTACTGCCAGTCTATGAGTGGTGTTCCACAAAGCTTTGCCTTGGGCAGACCCACTGAAATTAATGAACATGATGAAGACAGGTGTATTAATCTAAGGCTTGCCTTAGGGTTGCATGTTCTCCCTCAGGAGCAAGCTGCTACAGAAAATTTCCTTTCCTTTTTTTTTTTATTGACTGCAGTTTAAACAAAGTTTAGGTTTCAGGTAATGATGTTAATCTTAACTGTGGTTGGTTAAGATTTGTTAAGTTTTACGACCCATTATAAGACGTTGTCTGTTTCAAACTATGGTATAGTTAAAATGAAACACAGCTGACTGTGGTCAGATGAAACTACAAGTTGAAGCTAATAAAAAACGTAGTGGTTTTGTATCTCAGAAATGCCCTCTGCACACAAAAATGTGTATTCCACACACCACCACCACCACTTCTGCTATCCTTCAGAAAATGCAGGTTGTTTTTTTCCTGGTCTGCAATCAGGAGCTTTTGTGGTTGTTTGAAAATAACTGTTTAAACATTGTTTTTGCTGTTATTTCAAATCTTGGAAATTTCATTTTGTACTGTATTGGTTTGATGTAATGCACCTTGGGAGGGTAAATACCCTAAAAAGTAGGTTAGAAAGCCATTATGGGGGAAAACCCCAGACCCAAACTCAGCTTTGTGGCTGCAGGGATGGGAAGTAAACGAACCCAAGGTGTGCCATTGTCTCACTATGTTGCTGGCATTTAATCAGTCAAACCTGCATATCCAACAAAGGAAAAGCTTCTAAAATACCGTTTTTTTTGCTCTATAAGACTCACTTTTTCCCTCCTAAAAAGGAAGGGGAAATGTGTGTGCGTCTTACGGAGCGAATGCAGGCTGCACAGCTATCCCAGAAGCTAGAACAGCGAGAGGGATCGCTGCGCAGTGCTCCCTCTTGTTGTTCTAGCTTCTGGGATTCAGAATATATTTTTTTTCTTGTTTTCCTCCTCCAAAAACTAGGTGCGTCTTATGGTCTGGTGCGTCTTATAGAACAAAAAATACGGTAATACGGAATACGTGTGTAACCAATGAAGGAAAATGCTTCTATCTCTGGATTTTCTGACTCTTAAGGTCCTACTACAGCAGCGTCCAACACGTGGGTAGAAGCCATGAGCGCTGGCTCCTCGAGAGAAAGGACTGGTTTGGGTGTGAGAGAGAGAGAGATGGTGCTGGACATTCCAGGAGCCAGCCCTGAGGAGAGGACTGCCTTGCCCCCTCCCCTCCATGCTGGCTGTAAACAGACCACTGGGGCTTTACTCCCAAGTAAACACGCACGAGGGAGTGGGGGACCCTTCCTAGCGGCTGCCATCCTACCCATGTGGGGAGTGGTGTGTGTGTGTACAGTCCTGCGCACTGGCTCCTCAGAAAGAGAAAGGGCTGGTTTACGTTTACTCAAAAGGAAGGGGTGGGTTGGATCCAGGGGAAAGGGCTTCTACAGGTTTCATCCAGTTCTAAGGTGGTGCTTGAAGGCTGTCAACTCTGCAGTTCAGTTTACACAATTTCTGTTTTGAACTATTGGGGACGCTGCTGTGGTTGACAAGTGCTCATGACTCATTTGAAAAACAGCAAGAGTCCTGGGGTACTTTAAAGACATAACACATTTGTTATGGCACGAGCTTTTGTGAACAACAATCCGTGCATCATGTTCTGATTATGTAGGACCCTGTCCTCAATGTTATTTTATTATGCTATTACAAGTATACAAAGTATGTATTTTTTAAAATATATTGATTTATGATGAACTTTTCAGGTTTTATTGAAGCGATTATAATTTGTTATTATTTTTATCATAAGCTCAGCCAAATATAATGTGTTTAAGCTGAAGAATGACAATGGGAGAGTGTGGTTGATCACTGCCAGTTTTTTATTTTGGATGGTAGATCTCAGGCTACTTGTGGTTGGACTTGCCTGTACTACAACAGCAGAGATTTAAGGTATTACAACCTGCAGTTGTTGATGGCTACATCACTGTATCAATAGTATTTTCAGCAACAAGGTGAATCATCTTTTTTGTCTGGACTCCATAATGACATCAGAACTTCCCAAGGCCTTTTCGCAAATGTAGGCTATTACATTTCACTTTCCTCCCACAAAAGCACTTAGGATGATGAGACTACTCGTATCTACGTGTAAGTGCTTTGGAATTGGATAAGTGCCTAAATTTCTGAGGGAGGAAGCATTAAGGAAGACAATTTGGGTGACCCACCCCAATGAAACAAGAACTGGTGTGAAATGTATACTATAAGATTATGAGATTATAGAACTGCCTTTAAAATCCTCCCTCTAAATCTCCCATAAAATACCCATAAAAGATTTGACCCTACAACACATTTACTAGCAACTCTAAAAAGGGAAGACTATTTAAAAGATCTCTCTAATACGCACTATTCAAAAGTTTAACAGAAGGCATGCATTAATATATTGGGCCAGCTAAATTCAATTATTTTCCTAGTAGGCTTCTATGTAATTACTTTTCTGCACGTAGGAATTATGTTAATATGCTTTACTTTTTTATGGCTCCCATCCTCACAGCTGACTCAGCATGTCATTTCCTAGTGTTGCTAAAATTAATTCTTCCTTCCCCCCATTCTATCTCCCTTCCCCATAACATTGACTTATACCTATAAGCCAATTATCAGTTGAACAAAAGAAAAACCCATTCATTTTCAGGGGTGCAGATTTACAAGGCAGGTTTGTTAGTTTTACTGCTGTGAACTTTAAATTGCAACAAAATGTTCACACGTCATTCACAGCTTTTCAAAATACTCACATGCTCCCTTTTCCTGAACGCCACAATGGCACTGTTAGTGGGATGCAAGCTTTTTTTCCATTTCTCCGTGGGAGTGAAAAATGAGTCAGAATTAAATATGCCCGCATTACAAGCAAATTCATCTTTTATGTATGTGCTGCTGACAACTTAGTAAGGACATTAAAACCATCTTGCACAACCACAGAAAAATACTGTACTGCTCGCTAATGCTACATGTTCCCTGACTACAGTAAGTACAGGAGAAGCAGCAAGACCCTTACGAAGTAAATGTAAAATAGTACAGATTATAGTTGGGAATCTAAGGATCCTCCTATACATATTCCTCATAACCCATGAGATCAGAGGGAGAATGAAGAAATTAAGATGCATGTGATAAATGAACATAGTAGTAGTAATAATAATTTATTGCTTGCATCCCACCCATCTGACTGGGTTGCCCCAGCCACTCTGGGCGGCTTCCAACAAAATATAAAGGAACACACCCAAACATGAGACATTAAAAGCTTCCTGAAATAGGGCCGCCTTCAGATGTCTGTGAAAAATCATATGATTGTTTATCTCTTTGACATCTGATGGGAAGGCATTCCACTACCAAGAAGGCCCTCTGCCTGGTTCCCTGCAACTTCACTTCTCACAATGAGAGGACTGCCAGAAGGCCCTCAGAGCTGGACAACGGGGGTGGAGATGCTCCTTCAGGTATATAGGACCGAAGCAGTAAAGGTCAACAACGCTCTGAATTGTGCTCAGAAAAGTAAAGGTAAAGGGACCCCTGACCATTAGGTCCAGTCGTGACCGACTCTGGGGTTGCGGCGCTCATCTTGCTTTATTGACCAAGGGAGCGGGCGTACAGCTTCCAGGTCATGTGGCCAGCATGACTAAGCCGCTTCTGGCGAACCAGAGCAGCGCATGGAAACGCTGTTTACCTTCCCGCCGGAGCGGTACCTATTTATCTACTTGCACTTTGACGTGCTTTCGAACTGCTAGGTTGGCAGGAGCAGGGACCGAGCAATGGGAGCTCACCCCGTAGCGGGGATTCCAACCGCTGACCTTCTGATCGGCAAGTCCTAGGCTCTGTGGTTTAACCCACAGCGGTCACCTGAATCCCTCACCCACTCAGAAAAGTACTGGTAGTCAATCTAGGTCTTTCAGGACCAGTGGGCAGGCACACATATCGCCTGGTTGTAGTCTTCCCCACTCTTGATGAGGGGTAGCACAGTTGGCAGAGCATGAGACTCTTAATCTCAGGTTCATGGGTTTGAGCCCCACGTTAGGTGAAAGGTTCCTGCATTACTGAGGACTGGACTATACATGATCCTCGTGGTCCCTTCCAATGGTGACCTGTATTGTATTTCTTTTTAAAATATAGCAACTATTCCCCTGTCTGCATGTATATGTATAAATTCACATATGCTGCTTTCAAGTCACTTTCATCCTTTTCCTTCTTCTTCTTCTTCTTTTTTTTTGGGGGGGGGTACTCTGAAAATAGCACATGTAATTTTAGCCTGTGAAAACAGCTTGTTGGTGAGAATTTTCTGGGTCTTTTTTCTAAAAAACTTGTTGAACATATTTCCTTTAACACATGGGTTGCACTCTCCCAGACGGTTACTCCCCACCCCCCGCCCCAAGCACCTGTCTTGGAAAAGAACTGAAACACTTTTTCAAGCCTAAATGCTAGCTAGGAAAGGGTGGGGAAGAGTGTGCATGCCTGCTTCGACCGATGCTTATATCATACTGCCTGGTCACACCAGGTGTCTAAAATGTTATGATGGCAACAATGAATTGGGCAAATATTTTTCCTGCACAGATTATGCATGGAAATCTATAAACCAGGCATAGGCAAACTCGGTCCTCCAGATGTTTTGGGACTACATCTCCCACCATCCCTGATCACTGGTCCTGTTAGCTAGGGATGATTGGAGTTGTAGTCCCAAAACATCTGGAGGGCTGAGCTTGCCTATGCTATAAACCTACTGAATGTTTTAAAAAAGGCATTTGCCTAAGCCAAAATCATGGCTTCCTGACAGTAGCTTTGGACATTTTAAAAGAAAGAGTAGGAAAGAAAGAGTAGGAAAACTTTAAAAACTTGCATAGGAGAGGTAGAATGCAGGAGCCCTGGACACAGGAACAACTTTTCCCCACCCAAATGACATCCTGGAAATTCAGTTCACTTGTCCAAAGGTATTTGAGTAATCAAAATAGCCTGAAACCTCCTGCTGTGCTACTGTAACTACTGGACAGCCAGATCAACAAAAGATTTGGCTAACACAGCCCCAAACCTTAGACCTGCTATGGAGCTTGATCTGCCTCTGGCTGAGCAAACATTTTTTTGGAGAAGTGGCTATTTTCCTAGAGGAGTCGAAACAATACACCTTCTGTGTTTTGACGTGCTTTGTGCATATTATTGCCAGATCTATAGGTAAACATAGTTGTGGAACTCCTAGAGGCTTCTAGGGAAACTTCCAATTTATCCCAGATGTTATTTTGTTTTTGGAAAAACAATATGTTAAGCTCTAAAATCAGCACGGATATGAAACTTATATGTAACACCATCAGCTTCCCCTCCAAAGCAAAGGGAGCATTTCAGGTTGTTTCTGGAACTGACAAGGCAACCCATTTGTGAAGCTCTGACAGTCCGAAGCCAGTTATTTGTGAGCAAGTCATTCTGACTCTCACAACTGCAGAATCACGCTTCAGATAAATGATGCATCTGTGCTGGTAACCACCATCTAAGCAGTTCAGAGTTAGAAGTGGGAGATAATAATTAGGAGCCATATTAAGAGTTCATTTAGCGTGGATTAATGTATAGAAAATGCACCCAGTAATTTTAAACAGAGAACCAGGGACCCAGTAGGATATTCTGCATTAATAAATGTGTGGAGGTTATGAAAATTCTTTATTAATAATGATCTAATTTTGTGTGTCACCATTGATCTGGGAAGAGATTCAAACTGATGACCTAAATAATACGAAAGACTTTCCTCCCCCAGAACAGTTCTGCAATAGTAGATATATAAACCTTTTAGTGTTTCCTTTAGCCATTAATGGCTTCTAATACATTGTATTCAGAAATGAACATAACATAAACCTATGGTCTTTGGCAAGGGTAGATACAGTGTTCATTTAAAATGTTCACATTCATGGGAAGTTGCCCCGAGTCAAATGAAAGTGGAAGAATCCTGGTCATTAGGATGAGTGAGATTTGTGTGGGAAGGCAGAACCTGTAGATTTCAGGGAACGGTGACAGCGTCTGTGTTCAGAGCACTCATAGGTCCAACCCCAAAGGGACTCCTATTGGTGGAAATATGGGCCACCCAGAACCTGGCTTCCAGGCTTTGCAGAACTGCCCTCAAGACCAGGGCTCTCAAAAAGCTTTGGATGAATTGCTTCACCGAAGTCTCCTGATTAAACTCCTGTGATAGCCAACCTGTTGCCCTCTAGCTGTGCTGGCTGAGGCTGATGGGAGTTGTAGTCCAAAACTGGCAGAGGGCATCAGGCTGGTGAATACCTATGGCATCCAGCGTTCATGCTTATGCAATTAGCATTGTGTTAGGGGGATAAATGGACTGTGACTACTGGGTCTTCAGAAGAGATCTTCAGAGGGCAGTCTTCTCTACAAATGTAGATCCCTGACATGATTTAGCGGCCTGATCATGAAGAGCCTGGGCATGTAAAGATAGCTCCCCTCTTCCCTAAAACATGAGGACGGCAGGGGATACAATTTGAGAGGTGGCAAAAAAGCACATCTCCCCCTTATTATGGGGTGGTAATTGTGCAATTATGATGAATGCCTGAATAGAGCTCTGTTCAAAATCACATATATACTGATGGGTTCTGAATTGGTTGTGACTACCCAAGAAATAGTAAAACCTTTTATTTTTTTTAGGGGGAAACCAAAACCTCCCCACTTGAACAATTGGACTTCTTGTTCTTCTCCCTTGGCCACATGCCCTCCAAATCCTCTGGCCCTCTCAACCCCCTGGTGCTGGTTTTCAGTGTGTGCTTGGAGGGGGGCCCCGGAGGGGTTGCATGCATGGAAGTCAGTAGCGCAGGAATATTTGCAGCATCAAATACAGCCCCAACAGTACCTGAATTCAACAACAACAACATTTTTATTATTTATATCCCATCCATCTCACCGGCCACAAGCCACAGCACCCCTCAAATCAAAACACATGCTTAAAAAACAAGAGGCCCAGACTGCATAAATCATTTAAAAGGCCCAGTTTGCTTGCTGCTGAAAAGACCACACAGATGGTGCCAGACGAACATCCCTGAAAGGGATGCTCCTTAAAATTAAGGAAGGTATACGGTTAGGCATTGGAATAATGTGTTGTGGTGTGTCGAAGGGCTGGGTGTGGCCATCGCCTATGCCTTCAATTTTTGGGTATTCCGTTAAAGGAATCTGGCGGTCGTGTACTCTGTCCGATGCCTGCTTGGCGGGAGGCCATGGCACGACCCCCGGTGACATCAGGGGAGAGCCTATAGTTGGATTAGCATCAACAGGCTCCACCTACTGGTGAATAAACCCCCTTGTTTTAGACATCCAATGCCTAAGCCAATACCTTTTCACTGCTGTAATCAATAAAGTTGTGGCCTTTTCTTGCCCATTAACCTTATATCACGTGTCCTTGTGTATTTATTTCACATCGCGGGGGTCGGGTCCTCGAACCACAACAACAACATTTTTATTATTTGTATCCCATCCATCTGACCGGCCACAAGCCACAGCACCCCTCAAATCAAAACACATGCTTCAAAAACAAGAGGCCCAGACTGCATAAATCATGTAAAAGGCCCAGTTTGCTTGCTGCTGAAAAGACCACACAGATGGTGCCAGACGAACATCCCTGAAAGGGATGCTCCTTAAAATTAAGGAAGGTATAGATAAAGAGGAGAAACAATTAGGAGTCACCCACTGAAACTGATCGGTAGTAGACTGAGGACAGAGGAAAGAAAGTGCTTCTTCACACTGCACGTAATTAAGTTATAGAATTCACCACCATATGATGAGATGGTGGCAGGTGGCTTGGATGGTTATAAAAAGGATTAAACAAATTCACAGATGACCGGCCTGTCAATTAAAATGGAATCTCTCGGCTGACAACCTCTGGGACACACCAGGCGAAGGCTGGTGCCTTCAAGTCCTGCTTCTGGGCTCCCCAGAGGCATCTGCCGGGTCACTGCTGGAAACACGAAGCTGGACTTTGATCTCTTTGATCTGATCTGGCTCTTCTTTTTTCCTCCCCCAGAGAAGTAAGCAAATAATCCCTAGGCACAATCAGGAGACACATGATGCAGCCACTATGCTGAAACTAAGCAGGCCTCCTGGGTTGGATTACTGCCTGGATGGAAAAGCATCTGGGGACACTATGGACCTTTGTTCTCAGTTCCATCAAGACAGAAAAGCAGGATATAAATCTAACAAAGGATTATGTTCAGGAAATCACCAGGCTGTGAATGCTGCCTCTGGCGACCCCATTATCCAGGGCAAGGAACCAGTCTTGCTCCCAGTGTATCCCAAATGCAGCCCATGGAGCCAGGGATAATTGAGCTAGTCTTTACCTTCCAACCTCTTCCTCAGGGTCCATTCTGTAAGTTGTCCAAGCTAAGATGCTAGTGGGGCTTTAAAAAATGTAACTACATGGTTTATTATCAATAGCTAGAATCTGAATAGTGCACAAAATTCACATTTGTAGCCAGAATTTGTGTTTATTTTTTAATACATTGATGTCCTACATTTCCTCCAATGAACTGTGGGTGGTTTTGCCTCGTGGTTGCATGGGGATATGAACCCTGGGCTCTCCTAGGCCATAGTCCAACGCTTTAACTACTACACCACACTGGTCTCACATTCAGTGGCAACAAAACCATGCCTATTCACTCACCTTACACATACAAAACTGTCTCTATTTTTTAAAAGCTGCTTCTACACCTAAGAAGGATCCTCTATGCCCATTAAACACATTCTGTTTGCCCTGATCTGCCAACAGTTTTGCTTGGAGACCATTAGTTCCAGTATCCTCTCCCAACTGTTCATAATTTTGTGAATATTTCATATCACCTTTCAATCTCAGGGTCAGTCACTCATTACGGGTTGTTTCTTAAAGCTTGCACCCAACTAAGGCTTCATACACATGATACCTTTAAAGCACCTTTGTAGCACATTTCACCCCCTCAAAGAATTGTGGGCACTGCCGTTTACCCCTCACTGAGTTACAATTTCAGCAACCCTTAAACTACGGTGCCCATAATTCTTTGAGGGGATGAACTGTGCTTCCAATGTACATGAAAGTTATAGAGCCAGATTCAAGTAAGCTGTGGCACTAGTGGAAGTCAGAGCAATAAGTCTTGATAGCTCAAGAGGACTTCCCCTTGTTTCTTCCTCAGTTCTGCTCAGGAAGGTTGGAAGGTCCCCCAGAATAGCACATGGGGGGGGGAGGAGAGGTTGTTCCATTAGTGCAAACATTTCTGCTTGCCAGATGGAACTATCTCCTTGGCACGATGGTATCACCCATGATGTGTACGCAGCCTATGACATCAGAATAGGCCCAATGAAATCGACAGATTTAGGTTAGTCATGGTTGTCTAAAGCCCACCAATTTCAATGCATCTGCTCAAAGTATGTCTTAGTCAGACACTACTCATAGCAAGGCACATAAAAGATCAAGCATGTTAGTAACAGTACCATACAGGTATGCTCAGAGAGCCAGGATTGGCTGCAGTTCCTTGTCAAGTATATACTCAGCAGCAAGCACAACATTAGGTAGCATATGATATTATGTAGGAAGGCCCTTATTAATCTTTTCTTCTAAATTAAAGGAGAAAGGGGCTCCAATATTTAAACAGCATATCTCTGAAAAGTAGAGTGTGTTACACTTTAACAGGATACAGATATTCTCTGCTAAGGGCAATAGGGAAAAAAGCTCTAATCTGGTTTACAGTATGATGCAAAACAAGGCATTTATTATTTAACCACAGATGGCACTTGTGACAGCGGCAGCGGCAGCTCCTGACATTTTCCCATCCCCCGCTGAGAGAAGCTGCCCTTATGGCCAGGCCTGCTGAAATCTAATCATTTATAGCTTCCAGTGTGATGCTAAAACCCTGGATTCCACATCACAGATGGATTAAAAATGCAACCTCCAGGTTAATGGGTTTGTTGCTTTTGGGTTTTTTTTTGCTTTTGGTGAACTGTGTCACCCTAACAAGGTGTTTTACACAAGACACCTTCCCTGCCCCACTTTTCTTTTAAAGGCAACAATTTTGTTTTGCAAAGATTTCCCAGGTTCATATGCAGAACTCAGCAAGTGCCACCACAGCGGAGATGGGTTATGATCAAACACATACATAAAATGCACAAATGTGTCAAAGAGCAGGCCATCCCAATATCAGAAGCCGTTCTTGATGGTGTTCAGTGTACCCTTCTCTTAATCACGGTTGCCAAAGAAGCGACTTCCATTTCAAAGGGAACAATGGGCAACCTTTGACTCCTACCAGATTACAAAATGTGGCTGTGGGGCATTCTTTGTGACACAGCAACTGGGCTATTTATTAAAATGCCAGGAGGTGTCAAGCCAAAGTGGTGCTATTGACTAAGCAGAACATGGGCTAAAATGTGCAGAAATCCAAAAATGGGAGAAAATGCAAGTGGAAAGATTTTTTGGGGGGGCAGTTATCCTAAAACTATTTAAACAGAATTTTAAAAAGCTACAGCTGCACATTACTTGGTTCCTATTTTTGCACTTCTACCTTCATTATGTGTAGGAACACAGAGACTAAACATGCTGTTCCCTACAGAGACTTTCCCTCTCCATCTTGGTTAATCCCTTTCCCTACAACACTTGCACTTTTCTGTAAACAACTTGCAAATTCAGTATATTTGGCTCCTCTACACCTTTATTTTATTCCTGATTACGTGCTGTGCAAAAAATAAAATAGGCTGAATCCAGACTAAGTTAGTCACGCTCTAGCCCCAGTGTAATCAATAGGAATTAGGTTCTCCACGACCCTGTTGATTTCAATGGGACAAAAGCGTGACTAATTTAGTCTGGATCAAGTTCAATAAATTTTAGAAGGTGGGAGTTGAAATATACGTGCTAAAGACTGGAGTTGAGCCTATGAAAAGGACTTCGTTCTAAGCATAGACTGGGTTAGCACCGACACCAGTGCAACTTTATGTGTTTCGTTTGGCATTAAATATTCTTTTAACTGTAGATTTAAAATGGTATATCCCCACTCATGCACCACCAACCACAGCAATCAAGCCAGAATCTAAAAGAATCACTTCTACTGGGATAGGAAACCAGTCCTGTAAAGGTGGCGTGCGAAGATATAAGATGGGAGAAATCCATTTCTCAAAGCAGCTTGAAATCTACACAACTAATATTTTGCTTCTCGGCGTGTCCATGCATACAATAAACGTAAAGCATTTGAAAAACAAATCCCTCCAAAAAGAAGCACCTTTCAGGAAACAAGGAAGCAATATTTCCAGAGGTAGCATGCTAAATTATGTGCTGTCTACAAAACATAGTATCTGGAGTCTTTGAGACTACAAACAACAAACATAGACTGAGCTACATGCATCAGACATGTAAATTCTTACACCTCATCACAGTCAAAACATGCCCACACCAATTGTGCTCACAAGTAGAATTTAACATTCAGACTACATTCAGATTACTACACGTATTTTAATGACAATTATTCAGTTAACCATCTTTCCCTAACATCCTCCTCACAGTATCATCATCCACTAAATGGCACAAACCAAAACCTATACTGGTTTTGTTTTTTTTAAAGAATCTGTATAATGCTGATAAAATGCTGTTTTTGAAGTGGAGCCTTATCATTTGATATACGGAGCTGCTTTCCTTCCCTGTAAAAACAGGCACACACAGAGACTTGGCAATAGCTGCTTAACAACCTGCTATCTTAAAAGCAAAGTAAGGATTATTTGTCGGCTTTCCTCATTGTGCCCCTTAATAGTAGCCCTGAAAAGAGAACACCAACAAAACAGCAGCCCAGAAATCCTTCCATTTAGAAAGGTGACCCAATTTTACATAAGCTGAAAGGAAGCAACCTGCTGCATCGAAATAAAAAACAAGTAAAAAAAGGCAGGCCTCTTCCCTCCTCTCTTCTAAAAGGGATGATGCCGATTATGGCAGAAGAGCTTTAATTCTTACCTGATACGAACAGTTTTCCTGGTGTACCATCTCAGTGCATCATACAGAAACCAGACACCGAGAGCCAAGAATGTTTACAGAAGCTGCACAGTTAATTTTTACAGCATCTGAAGGAGAAAAGAACGCCCTTGTAAACCGAGAGGCTTCCCGCAGATTAAAATGGATGCTGTTTCTGCCGTTTCAACCTGCGCAATGGCACTGGCTTTGCTAGCGAGGAGCGCAGCAGAGCTGTTCTCCTCAGGGAACGAGCAATGAGGTTTAATAACATGTAGCCAAGACTGCTCTGGGGGAATTGCGGGGGGTGGGGGTGGGGGGGGGAGGCGAGCTCACTCATCACCAGCACAATCAGCCAATTATATTATAGACACAAAGAAAAAAAGACGAGTGTGATGCTGGTGTGACCTTCTGGTGCTTTATGGAGGCGGTTAACTGATGTGGAAACATTCTAGTCCTCATTAAAGAGAAAAGGGAATGCAGAAAGATAGATCAATAGATTGCCTTGAACCGCCAGCCCTGTTCTCCGTGCAGTCATTTTTCTGACAGAGCACATAAGACAATATTTGACTCTGTACTAGGAGCTTAAAGAGAAAGTAACATTTTTTAAATAAAACATCAAAATACATAACCCTATCTTTAAAAATAAATACGCAGATAAAAGGACACATTCAGACAAATATTATGATAATGAACAACCTTTCCAGATGCAAAACAAAACCTCCTGGTATTTCTCTCTGCAGAATGATCATGTATTTTACTAAGAAATATCCAAGATATTAAATCACTCAGTAAGACATAGTAGTATGTGCTGGGGTGGGGGTGGGCTTATTGCCAATATCTGAAAAACTTGGTTGAATTTTTGACAACCTCTTTTCTTGTCTGACCTGCAGCAATTATAGGGTGCAATGCTATTAATTCAGTTAAGCATGCAGTTTCAAATTCATCCTTAAATTTCATATCCTTGTTGGTGTCATTTTGTTAGCTTTAATGCAAAATTAATGTTGACTCCTAAAAAAAGAACAAAGGAGCTATCTCTTGTCCCAATTATATTTTGTTTGCTCAGAAAAGACTGGCTACACATGTGTGTTCAAAAAGAGAAAAAGAAAAAAACAGAAGTACCTTGACCCAGAGATCAGAATGGACCCAGATGTCTCTGCAGCGCACACAGTCCACCAAATAAACTTCAACACAATGGGTCAACAGAGAAGTAGGAACCAGGCATTACCAAGCTCACAGGACCAGTTTGGAAGTAAATTTAAACCACGTGTAAACTCTATGCGCATGTGCTTCTGTGGGCTTCATATAGTCCTCTGCTCCCGCTTTTCTGGCATAACCACAGGGAAAGTAGAAGCTTTAGCTTCTGCTCCCAAACTAACCAGTGTTTCTTGTTACATCCAAACTCAGAGAACTCTGGTTGACTTGAACTCTGGTTTGTTCAAACAATCAAACCAGAGTTCAACTGCGTTCAGGCATAAACAAAGTGGTTAGTTTAAAAGCAAGTGTTAAAGCTTCCAATCCCCCACGCCACACCTCTTTGGTTGTGCCAAAGGAGGTGAGAGTGCATGGGCATGAGGTTTGTTGCTGCTCATACATACAATGCTAAACCAGGGATGACTAACCTGTGGAACTTCAGATGTTGCTGGGCCATGTATTGATACTAGTTTGAGGGCCAGGGCACAATGGTGTCTTCACCTGGTGGTATATCGCAGGTGAAACCGCAGCCACCACTCCTGACTCAGGAGTGGCAGTGGTTTCACCTGCAATATACTGCTTGGGTGAAGACGCCATTGTGCTCTGGCCCTCAAACCGAGGGAAGAACGAGCCAGTAGGTGCCAGAAATGATGGAGCTTATCCCTCCCTCAGCATGCTGGGTGCTGGTGGCAGAGAGACTCCCTCCACCGCCGCGCCTGGAGGAATGAGTTGGATTGGGCCTGGGCCTTCAAGACACCATGGTGAAACTGCCAGCCCAATGCAGCTTGTTTCTCCCTCTGCTTTTCAACATCGCAATGTATCACTATATTGCTATGTTTGGCTGGTGATACATTACTTTGTTGAAAAGCTAATACAGTCGTACCTCTGTACCTCTACAGTGGTACCTCGGGATGCGAACAGGATCCGTTCCGGAGCCCTGTTCGCATCCCGAAGCGAACATAACCCATGTCCATGTGTGGGTCATGTTTCGGCACTTCTGCGCATGATGTCATTTTGATGGTCTGCAAATGCGGGCGTGGCGAAACCCGGAAGTAACGTGCTCCGTTACTTCCAGGTCGCCGCGGAGCGCAACCAGAAAATGCTTAACCCGAAGCGGTGCCTCTGGATACGGACTTTTCAGGTTGCGGATGGATTCCTGGAATGAATTAAGTTCGTATCCAGAGGGTCTACTGTATTGCCCAGCACTGCTGGCCTCCATCCCTGACTGCTGGTCGTGCTTGCTGGGGCAGATGCAAACTGCTGCCCAACAACATCCAGAGTGCCCCAGGTTAGCCACCAGGGTGCTAAACCATAGTTTAGTGTTACATCCTAAATGGGCCTCTCTGCTGTTGCTCCATGTAGCCTCTTGGACACCTTTCCCCATTTCCCTCAAGCAAGGCAACGGCTATTTGGCAAGGGCAAAGGGGAGACAGATTACTCGTCAGTAATGAAGCATGGGTGCTTTGCTTTAACCATTCTTTGCATTCTGGTCAGTGCACCTAAGCATGCTAAACCGAGAGCAGCAGTCCACCCCAAATTCTACTAGAACTGAGTTCATCTGAAATCTGTGGGACTGGTACACATAAGAAGATAAGGAGAGCTTGCAGGATCCTCTCTTTGCAGGATGACCCTGGAAAGCCCACAAGTGGTAAACTGAGGTTCTGTCTGTAAAGCAATCTGCAGGATTATGTATTTGCTTCCCAGGTGTTTCTGCTCCTCTCCCTTAAAGCCGAAGACCTCACAAATGGTTCCTCTCTTAACTGCCCATTAAGCAGAAGCTGTGCAGTGCAGTTAGAAGAGAAGAGGTCATGCCAGTGGAATCCAGGCCTTGGTCTCTGAAAGCAGCCTGAGATTATATATTAAAAACAGAACTGCCCAAGGAAGGGAGACTGTTTCCCAGGAAAGGAAATTGCCTGAAGCAGGTAAAGTATCTTGTTTGGTTTGGAGAAACAGGAAGCAAAAATGGCAGGAAAGTTTTCCATATTTATTTTGTTGACAAACTCTTTTTCTTTCAACTGTGCATGAGAAGGCTTGTTTTATTTACAAGAGAAAGATCTAATTTGTTCTTTAACTATACTTAATTTCTGCTATATCACTGTTAAACTGCCTTCACCAACCTGCTGCCCTCCATATGCAGTGGCACCTTGGTTCTCAAACGCCTTGGTACTCAAACAACTTGGAACCCAAACACTACAAACCCGGATGTTTGAGAGCTTTCTTTGGAAGCCGAACGTGCTCCGTTTTGAGTGCCACAGTTCCGTTTTGAGTGTTACGCTGAGGTCTGTCTGTTTTTGCTATTTATTTTGCGTTTTTGTTTTTGCGGTTTTTTAGTATTGTTTTTAGGGATGCAGGTGGCACTGTGGGTTAAACCACAGAGCCTAGGACTTGCCAGTCAGAAGGTTGGCAGTTCAAATCCCCGCGATGGGGTGAGCTCCCGTTGCTCGGTCCCTGCTCCTGCCCACCTAGCAGTTCAAAAGCACGTCAAAGTGCAAGTAGATAAATAGGTACTGCTCCGGTGGGAAGGTAAATGGCGTTTCCATGCTCTGCTCTGGTTCACCAGAAGCGGCTTAGTCATGCTGGCCACATGACCCAGAAGCTGTCTGTGGACAAATGCTGGCTCCCTCGGCCTATAGAGTGAGATGAGCGCCGCAACCCCAGAGGCGTCCATGACTGGACCTAACGGTTAGGGGTACTTTTCCCTTTACCTAGTTTTGTTTTGTTTTTATGACTGTGTGGAGCCCAGTACATTGTTTATTGCTTTCATTTTATGGATCAACGGTCTTGTTAGATAGTAAAATTCATGTTTAACTGCTGTTTTAGGGGTTGTTTTTAAAAGTCTGGAACAGATTAATCCATTTTGCATTACTTTCTATGGAAAAGCGTGCCTTGGTTTTGGAACGCTTTGGTTTTGGAATGCATTTCTGGAATGGATTAAGTTTGAGAACCAAGGTACCACTGTATTTTGGACTAAAACTTCCATCCGCCCAAGCAAAGGCTGAGGTAAAAATCTATTAAAAACAAGGCAGAAGATCACAGTGTGAGAATAACCTCTCCAGTGCTTTTTCTTCAGGCTCATATTACGTAATGCTTTCATGCCAAATATAGGTACTTTTTGTTTTTTGTTTTTTTAAAATCATGATAGAATTTCTCACTTCTTACATCGCTGGCTCATCAACAACTGAAGTGACAGTGACTCAGAGCTGTTTCACACCTAACAAATTTCTGACAAGTGTTACTTTTATCTTTGCAGGATACAGCAATGGTGTGGCAAGGTGCAAAGTAGGAAAGACAGCCATTCACATAACAGCTAATTTCTTTTCTGGCGATCCCTGCAGGATGGGGTTTTCTTCCTATATCATGCCACAGAAGAATGCGGCAAGCCAGTTTAAATGGGTTGCACACAGGACCCAATCCAGCAGTGAACTGTATAAACATCCACTTGCATTCAGATCTTAAAGGGAGACCATGGCTGAGTCTCAAAGCTTATGAAGCAAAGGCTTCTGATACAAATGAACAGTCTCCATCTGGGGTCCAGTCTACCAGTACACCTAGAAATCTAAGGAACTGGCTTGGGCAACACAAGATACTGATTTTACAGAAGAAAACAACATTGTGCTCAGAAATGGCGAATCCTCGTGTTCTTGGCTGACCGCGAAACCCTGCCAGCTAGTGGCTAATGAAAACAAAACAAGTTTCTTGTACTTTTCTTGCCTTCAAGATGGCAGTTTTGAAGTGTGAAGCCACAGTACCACTGTACTGGAACAGAGACCAGCCGGATAGTCACTGGCTCAGTCCCAATTTATGACAAAATTATCTCTCTGCTGATTAGTCAGCAGCCTTCTTGAAAATTTAGTGCATCCCTTGAGGAACCTGCCTCTAAGCTCCTCCATTCATCCCAGTGTCTGTTATTGCAAGAGGGAGAAGGAAAGATAGAGCAGGCTTCTTCAGTACACTCATGGTCCAGGTAAGGAAAAAGTAAGTTCCACCTCCGCCCCTTGGGGGAGGATGAAGCCAATGGGGAAATTAGTTGGGGAAAACCTGGATGTGACACATATCAATAGGGCAGGCAATGCATTAAATGGGTAGGCATGGGCTTGAGAATTTTTCAGTGGGGGTTGTTCCAAAACACTAAGATGGGGAGTGGGCTAGTCATGAGAATACAGTAAGTCATAGGAAGGGCCAGAGTTGGGGCAGAGTTGGGAAACCCTCAAGCACAAGAGCACACCTCCCCCTGGTGGTTTCCAGCAACCAGTATTCATAAGCTGACCTCTAACCTTGGACACAGACCACAGTCAACCTGGCTAATAGCAAGGGATAACCCTATTCTCCAAAGTCAAGTAGGACATACAGTGGTACCTCGGGTTACATACGCTTCAGGTTACATACGCTTCAGGTTACAGACTCCGCTAACCCAGAAATATTACCTTGGGTTAAGAACTTTGCTTCAGAATGAGAACAGAAATCGTGCTCCGGCGGCGCGGCAGCAGCAGGAGGTCCCATTAGCTAAAGTGGTACTTCAGGTTAAGAACAGTTTAGGTTAAGAACGGACCTCCAGAACGAATTAAGTACTTAACCCGAGGTACCACTGTATGGTCATCCTAATCACTAGTTTCAGAGCATCCACTTGGATTACTGTCTGTTGTATGGCATTGACCTTCATTTTTAGGAAGTCTTGTGCTAGACTTCTTCATTGTCTTATTTGGCCTTTGGTTCGCTTCAGTTATGAGGATTTATTTGTTGCTTCCAGTTTACTGCCTTTGCTTTAATTGCTGCTCTCTTTTACTAGCATTTAATTCATGCGTTATACTGCCATGTTTAACTCTTGCCTTTTAGTAAACATTCCTAGCTGTTTGTAGGGACGTGGGTGGCGCTGTGGTCTAAACCACAGAGCCCAGGGCTTGCCGATCAGAAGGTCGGCGGTTCGAATCCCTGCGACAGGGTGAGCTCCCGTTGTTTGGTCCCAGCTCCTGCCCACCTAGCAGTTCGAAAGCATGTCAAATGCAAGTAGATAAATAGGTACCACTCCGGCGGGAAGGTAAAGGGTGTTTCCGTGGGCTGCTCTGGTTTGCCAGAAGTGGCTTAGTCATGCTGCCACATGACCCGGAAGCTGTCTGCGGACAAACACCGGCTCTCTTGGCCTACAGAGTGAGATGAGCGTGCAACCCCAGAGTTGTCTGCGACTGGACCTAACGGTCAGGGGTACCTTTACCTTTATCTTTCCTAGCTGTTTTCTTTTCTTTTTCCCAGTTACCATGTCCTTTTACGGTAAGGTGGGATATAAACGCTTTAAAGGAAAAGAAGATTGCGAACTCAAGCCAACCTTCCTTAAAAACCTCCACTAATATATTCTTATCTCTTCCTCCCTGAGCCAGGATGTGCTGAGAGCAAAAACAAACACTCTCTCATTGCTTAAATTCACACATGCTTTGAATTCACCAAGCCTGCTGGAATGTTTCACAGCCCTGCAGGCTCTGTTACACCCTATCCTGGTATTTCAGGTATTTCTATGGCTTGGAAACTCTTAATCCTCTAAGCAGCTGAGAGGGGAAAGAAGGGATATGGCTTTAGTGAATGCAGCTAACATGCAGCAATTATTAAATGCCTGTAGGAATAACTCCACACAAGGGAGGCCTCTAGAGAAATTAGTTCCCTTTAAAATATTATCTAGGTAGCAGTGGCATAACACATGCAGCATATCGGAACTTAACCTTCCATTACTGTGGAATGAAATCCAGTGGAGACTCGCTTGGAAACTGAAGGCCTGTGACCTACGCATCAGGATCACTTTCCCACTGCAACTAATTAGGAATACCTGAGTGAAAAAGATATGTCTACCAAGGCACAAATCAGGAAATTAATAACGGGTTCATCCGTTTGAGCACAAAAGTTACTGATAAATGCAGCTACAGTAATGCAATTTCAGATGTCTTCTACCTTTGTTTAGTACCAGAAACATTCATTTAATTTTTGTTGGCATAAGTAGCCAGGAGAGGTAGCAGATTATATAGAGACCAGCACACCCTCCAACATTTCTCTAATGAAAATAGGAATGTCCTATTCAATTAATAATAATAATAATAATAATTTATTTATTTATACCATACCCATCTGCCTGGGATGCCCAATCAATTCTGGGCGGGTTCCAATATATATAAAAACATAATGAAACATTAAACATTTCAAAACTTCCCTACACAGGGCTGCGTTCAAATGCCTTCCAAGAGTTGTATAGCTACTTATCTCCTCAGCTTGAGGGTCACATAACTCCGTACCCTCCATTTATCCAATGAAAATAGGGGCATCCTAAGGAGAAGCAGGACATTCTGGGATCAAATCAGAAACTGGGATGGCTTCTGTAAATCCAGGACTGTCCCCGGAAAAGAGGGACACTTGGAGGGTTTGGACCAGGGTTGGCGAACCTCAGGCCTGGGGGCCCAATGTGGGTCTCCATGCCTCTCCAACTGCCCCATGGGACTCTCCCCAGGCCACATGTCCTCCCCAGCCCCATTATCTTTCCCCAGGCCCACACTGGCCCTGTGTCACATTCTTTAGTGGTTTTGCCTGGCTGGAATGTGTCATTGAACTCTGAACATAAATCTTGCTTGCCCGGATAGAGGATATTGAGGGGTGTTTATAAACTAGCCTACTGCAAAAATGTAGAATTTATGTGCATTACCTCACCTCCTTTTGCCTCAGGCCCCATCCATCGCATTGCCCGGAAGGGAAGGCAGCCTTGGGGTTAAAAACATTTCACTGCTGTATCGAAGGAACACTCTGCTCCCTTGTTCTGATGTCAGGAACCAGTGCTGAGACACCAGCAATCGTGGAAGTTCCTTGGCCTAGTACATTGCATTAAGTAATATTTATATTTATGGACATATTGATTCCATATCTAAAAGACAAACAGTGACCACACTGGTGGATAATGCATAGCATTGCTGTATTTTTTCTCCAGGGCCTAGCAAACATGTAATTCCAGGTGTATGTGCTCCTGTTAACTTAGGACCCTTGTACTGCACATTCTACTCCGGACGTCATGCTTTAAAATTCAGTACAGCTTGTAGTATGGAGACTCTTCCCTTATGAAGCAGTAACTGCTCCATTGGCTCAGACCATCCATCATCAGCCTTTCCATCTGATGGCATCGGAGAGAAAAAAGCGAGGTTGTGAGGCCCTCTCCAACAACTTGACTGGGACAAACCCCCATTTGGTTCCTCCGCTCCACAAACGTATTCCAGCTGTTTTATTACATAACTCTGTAGATAACTTAAGACACACCTCTTTACCTGGGTATTCTATTGAACTCTTGACCTGAACCTCCTGCTTTAAATGTTTTTTATACTTTTAAAACTGCTTAGAAGCCTATTTTGGCATTAAGAGATATAACAACAACAACAACAACAACAACAACAATTACTACTACTGCTGCTGTGGTCTAAACCACTGAGCCTCTTGGGCTCGCTGATCAGAAGGTCGGCGGTTTCAATCCGCGTGCCGGGGTGAGACCCCGTTGCTCTGTCCCAGCTCCTGCCAACCTAGCAGTTTGAAAGCACACTAGTGCAAGTAGATAAATAGGTACTGCTGTGGCAGGAAGGTAAACGGCATTTCTGTGCGCTCTGGCTTCCGTCACGGTGTTCCATTGTGCCAGAAGCGGTGTAGTCATGCTGGCCACATGACCCGGAAAGCTGTCTGTGGACAAACACTGGCTCCCTCGGCCTGAAAGTGAGATGAGTGCCACAACCCCATAGTTGCCTTTGACTGGACTTAACCGTCCAGGGGTCCTTTACCTTTATCTTTATTGTTGTTGTTATTAGTGGACGAGACACATATTGGGTTCAAAGGTCAATAAGGTAGTTTCTGCACATGCTATAAAGGGAAGTGAGGGGCAGATGGGCTCATCAATATGGGAAGGTAGCCCATCTAGGAAAAGGAAAACTCTGATCCTAAACCTCCACTGCCTTGTGGGATATCTTCAGGAGAAGAAAAGGCTAAGGCAGGCATAGGCAAACTCAGCCCTCCAGATGTTTTGAGACTACAGTTCCCATCATCCCTGACCACTGGTCCTGTTAGCTAGGGATGGTGGGAGTTGTAGTCCCAAAACATCTAGAGGGCCGAGTTTGCCTGTGCCTGGGCTAGGGTGTAAACCCTACACAAATCCAGAGTGGAGTCTCTGAGACAGCTGGATGACGTCTTGTACACCTCCTTCTGGCAACTCATGCAGTCAGGCTAGTGCCAAACGTACTTCTCTGCTTTCCTTTGGACTACATCAGCAAGGGCATGAGGGGGTCTTGTCATCTGGGCACCCAGGACCTCCATACACCCTGCCCAGGCTTGTGGCAAGGGAAGGTCACTTGAGTGCTGCTAATGCAGTGGTTTGACTTCGACCCCGCAGTCCCGCTCTTGAGACAGATGGATGCCTACAACAGTAATGTGAGCTGGCACCTTAATTTTGCTTATTCTTCTTTCCTCCCCCTTGTACGTGTATCTTGTACGCAATTTTAAACTGCCAACTGCCTTGGGTGCTCAGGTAGGAAGGTGGTATATACATGAAGCAAGCACATAAATCAATCACATGAGAGAGATACTGTGGCCAGGTTTCCTGCTGAGAAGGCATGGCACTACAAGAATATTGATCCGAGGTTCCACACACCCTTTAGAAGCTCACAGATATTCTTCAAGCTTATAATCATTATGTGCTTAAGCTCAATGTGGTTGGCACCGTTCTGCAACTGGCCTCAGGCCATTTTACCACACACCCACATTTCATTCCAGGAATGGGGAGCCTCTAAATGCTCTCAGACTGCAACTCCCATCATCTCTGACCATTGAGCGTACTGGCTGGGGCTGATAAGAGTGGGAGTCCTCCATCAGCTGGAGGGCCACAGGCTCCCAGTTGCAGCTTTATTTTCTGATTAAAGCAGAAATCTACACTCCAATCTCTCTTATATTGTAATAACAAGTAATAGAGATTAGTCACTGGCTGGCCATTTATGAGACAGTTATATCCACCCAGCCCTTACTCACACAAATGACATATTACATTTTGCTATGCATACCTGCCCATAATTAGTCATACTTTTTTTCACTGCCAGAGGCTAGAGTTTGCACAAACGCCAGGGGAAAGCTATTTAAAGAAGAGGCAGTGCTAGCTTTCAAGGAACTTGGAAATGTATGTAGAGAACAGTAAGGGGGAAAAATACTGTTCTTTTACTCATGCTTTAGTCATAAGGCTGACGGTCAAAGTATATCTTCATATTGGTTTTTTTTAAATAATGCTGAAGTATTTTAAAGTGTTTTGAGTGTAACCACTGCTGGAACACCTCCCTCTTTCTCTTAGAATGGCAATGGTGCCAACCTAGGAGGTGCCAGAACTCACATGAGAGTTTGGGTGTGTTCCAGCTGAAAAAAAAAGCCCTGCATGTTCCTGGTAATGCTTTAGCATTAAAATTGGTAACCTTTAGCCAATGGCTAGCCCACAGCCTAATTTTCCTTACAGAAATGTTGTGAGACCCAAATGAGATGTTGAACATGAAACCCTGACTTTGAAGGAAGGGTAGAACTAAAACAAAACTGAACAAGTTTTTTCCCCCTGTGCCAGACTGAGAATTAGAAACCTGTCATTTAAAAAAATATGAAACAAAGACCATGCAATTGAATGTGACCTGCAGGTCATTTATTATCTGCCCATATTCTGGGCAAAATAAATATAAAATGTATTCTGTAAGGAACAACAAAACATGAATCTTGACGGATAACAGTCTTGTTCTCCTAACTAGAAGTATATGAATCACTAAGGTATTAGATACTTATCCAAGGGGTTTACCGTAATCCACATAAAGCTGTTTTGAATGCCTGGAAAAATCACTATCTTGTCTGCAAAACAAAAATAAGTAGATTGCTTCAAGGATTTACACAAGCGTGAACCTGACAACAAATGACATTCCAGTGTGGAGCATAACATGTTTTCTCATTTCATTCCCTTGTTGCCAACCTTGCATGCTTCTAACTACAGCATTCCCCTGACGAAGCCCCAAACACACTGGGCTTGTTATTGAATATATTTGTCTCCGCTCCCTTCTATGAACTTCTTTTGTCTGCTGTTTATTTGGGGAACCATCTGAAATAAATAAATCAAGGTCATATATATATATATATATATATATATATATATATATATATATATTAAAGGTTCATAAATGCACCAAGCAAACACATGCACAAATATATAAACCACATGTCTGAAGCAGCACAGGAAAACAGCCATGAAGCTATTTTGGCTCCCAAACTGACCAAATGTTTTCTCTGCAAAGTCAAAAGAAAATGGAAAAGCCTCCCCATTGTCTTTTCCTTCACAAATCCTGTCTTAAGGGTACATCTGTGTATGAATAGGGTGAGCCCATGACCTGGCTCAGGAACTAAGTATTTATTATTACAAAAGACTGGCCAGGCTCCCCAGGGTATCCAATCAAATAAGCATTAACAGGTAACCTGCCAGACAGGAGATAAACAACACACTCAGATTTCTGCTGTAGACTGCCCTTTCAGTGATGTAGGTATGAAGCGTCTGGGGATGGTCTTGAGCTACACCCCTTCTGCGACGTATGTATGATTTTTCTGGGGGTGGACTCCAGGGGGAGCAATTTAAAATGTCTATATAAGGGCAGGCACACCTGGGTTCTGGGTGCTCCTCCTTCTCCTGCGTGTGAAGGGGGCACCCTGTTGCAACAGTTCAATAAAGATCAGGCTTACTAGCTGCTTTGCTTTTCAATATTCTCTGGTTGACCTCTGTTCTTTTCTCCAACCGATGGAGAACCCACAAAGGACTCTATAAGGGCTCTTGTGTCCCCCATAAGGGAATAAAGGCAGATTTTCGTTTATTACACATCATTTGGTAGAACCCAGTAAATGTTTCTCATTGCACTCAAGAGATGCAGGTAGTGTTTGCAGAAGTCTCAAAGTGCTGTTTTATCTGCTTCATTTCCATAACAGAAGCTGCCAAATACTGCTTCTACATTTTACATGCTCCTTCTGTGTCTGTGCTAAAACTCCAGCAATGGTGGAGCAGAAGTTGTTCTCCAACACCACTGCACCATTATTCTGGAGAGGAACCACATGGAACAAGAATGATGATGATTTATTTATATGCTGCCCATCTGACTGGGTTACCCCAGCCACTCTGGAAAGCTTCCAACTAATTAAAACACAGTAAGACATCAAACATTAACAACTTCTCTATACAAGGTACCCACTTAAGATCAGACAAGGTACCCATTGATGGCAGGGAAACGGTAGCTCTTAGACTCTTGGCCTCTCCCCCCCCCCGCCCTGCCCCGCCCCGGAACATCGTAAAACCTGCAAAGGTGAGCATGTTATTTGAAAAGCAAGTGTAAAACAATTTGAGTCAACATTTCCAAGAATGCTAATTTGCCTCTTCCGAAGCAAGCTTCTGTTTGAGTCACATCAGCTAAAGCACCAGATCTCCTGCCTACAGCCTTGAGTAATTCACTGCCTCTGTGTCAGTTCCCTTGTGGGAAATGAGTAAACCCAAAGGCCAAGATCACAGAGTTGTTGGATGGCTATCCTGAGACGAGGACATGCTTTTCACCCTCAGTTTTAGAGAGACTAGACTAAACCTACACCAAACCATGACAACATGTTAAGTCATCGCTATAAGCCTTCATTAATGATCCATATATTGTGCAACACCTATCCATGGACAAGAGGAAGCAGGTCTGCACCAATGGCTGCACCATAGCTGTCAACCTTCCCCTTTTCTTGCAGGGAATCCTATTCGGAATAAGGGAATTTCCCTTTAAAAAAGGGAAACGTTGACAGCTATGGGCCATACCTCCTGATCCACCGGCATTGCAACTAACATTTGTGCATTTACGCAAAACATTTTCACAGGGGCATATATGCAGGAGGGGCTAAATATGCAGTCCGTGATCGAGATCCCAAGCTCATGTCCATTGCAAACACAAGACTGTAGGGAGAGTGTGCAATGGTGAGGACAGGGCCAGCAGGTTGCCAAAGATTCAATTATTCAGGCATAGGTTCTATAGTAGAGACTTAATTACCCTCGCTTCTGCAAGCATACACAGTCCTACTTTTGTAGAGGGTATGGGGTCATATATGTAGCCTTGCCCCCAACAACATGCCACCCCCATATTCTCTACCCCAATCTTTGCACATTGAGCATGAAGGCCTGAATGGAGAGATTCCAAGCACAATCAGACAAATGTTCTTGGAATTCTGCCTCAGACCTTCCTGCTCAAAGTGGGAAGGTCAGATTGGAGGGAGCCTTGGGCTGTGTGTGGCCTTGGGCTGATGTGGTTCTTCTCAATGTTCCTCTCCTCTACATAGAAGTGAATGCAGGATCTAAGCATGAAGTGTGAAGGGGAGGGAAGGAGAGATACATACATATATGAAGTGTTGGTATGTTGTAGCAGATCCTCCTGCTCCGGACCAGGTGTGCTGCAAACCATGCTTCTGCTGCCACTTCTGGCACACATGCTGCAGACTGTCTGCCTGTGAGCCATACAATCATCTTGTTTTGAGTTTGTGGGTGCCAGACGCCCTAAATTACTGGGTTTAGTAAGTGTTAGAATTTAATTAAGGCTTATGTGTTAAAACTGGCTGCTAGAACCATGTGTGTATTTGAGATGTGCACTAGATGCTTCTAACCCTCTGGAATCAACATTTGTCAAAAGCTAATTAAACCAGGACTAGCTTGGCTTAGGCTGGCTGGCGGTAAAGACTCTCCTCCCTGGAAGAGAGGGGAGTGGTTGTGGGTGGGAGCCCGAGCACCGCCCCTAGCAGGGGGCGGTTGCCCCCTGCCTCCACCTCACCTGGCTGGCGCCCACGCCCCCTCTGCAGGCATCCAACCAGGTGCCTCGGAGGGGGCGTGTTCAGCAGCCTTATGCTGCGGTGCCAGCCTCTCCCTGGCCTCATTCTTCGCCGTCGTCTCGTCGCGAGTCACCCACCCTCCACTCCCTTAGAGTTAGGGCTTAGGTCATTGGCCTTGCTATGGACCTTAGGTTGGTCGCCCTGGTTGTCCAGGGGGCCTGGTAGGAGTTTTTCCATTTGGCTCGCCTACCTCGTAGCAATCGTCACAACTTTTGGGGTATTGGTGGGTAGGTTAGGCATTGGAATAATGTGTTGTGGTGTGTCGAAGGGCTAGGTGTGGCCATCGCCTATGCCTTCAATTTTGGGTATTCCATTAAAGGAATCTGGCGGTCGTGTGTTCTGTCCGATGCCTGCTTGGCGGGAGGCCATGGCACGACCCTCGGTGACATCAGGGGGGAGCCTATAGTTGGATTAGCATCAACAGGCTCCACCTACTGGTGAATAAACCCACGTGTTTTAGAGATCCAATGCCTAAGCCAATACCTTTTCACTGCTGTAATCAATAAAGTTGTGGCCTTTCCATGCCCATTAACCTTATATCACGTGTCCTTGTGTATTCATTTCACATCGCGGGGGTCGGGTCCTCGAACCACAACAAGTGATTAGGATGACAAAGGATCAAACGTGTGGGCTCCCTTCCTCCCTCCCTCAACTGAGAGGTAGTTTAAAAGACCATGCCAGCGTTTTAGATTATGATTTTTAGGAATGGAGTTATGCAATGGAGGTAGAAAGCTGCAGGCTAGAGAGAAGAGTCAGAGAGCAATGTTTGAGAGCAGGGGTTGAGGTCTGCTTAAGTCCATGTCTGCTGTGTCTATGTGAGAAGCCAGAATCTCTTGGGGGTGTGAATGCTGTGAACCCCTCCAGTGTAGGCTCAGGTTGTATATATGTGTAAATAAGTCATGTATCATAAAGACACCACAGTCTCCGCCGTGCCTCATTGTCCAAAAGGAAACTCAAACTCTGTGTGTGCACCTGGAATCTCGCATTGCTATGGAGATTGGGGTGACGTGTAACAGTCACCCCAATGACTGTTCACCCCAATCCCAATTAAAAGAAAAGGCAATCAAAGTACATGTACAGTGCCTAAAGTAAGGAAGGGCACCAGCATGCTGAGTGTACTCCTGCTGACTACTCAACATCTATGAGTCTCCATGGGAAACACAATAGCATAGTGTTTTCCAAACTTGCGTCTCCTGCTGTTTCTGGACTACAACTCCCATCATCCCTAGCAAGCAGGACCAGTGGTCAAGGATGATGGGAATTATAGTGCAAAAACAGCTGGAGACCCAAGTTTGGGAAACACTGCAATAGCAGAACAAATGATTTTTCTTCCTCTTTGGTGGCTATGTGCATCTCATTTCCAAATCCCTAAGAAATACACTGATTATCTCCCATCTGGTTAAAAATAAAAGAACTAAAGCAAATTCATTAAGTGGATGGATCAGCTGGATAGTACCAGAGCTCCCAGAGCGAGCCTGTATGGAACTAATGGAAGAAAAAGGGAAATCTCCACATACTAACTCAACATAATAAAGTCAATACGTTGAACCATAATTTATTCTCCTATGTTCATGCAGCTGCATAAAATAGGCTTGCAACTGTATATGGTCAGCATGAAGGTAAACATGTAAATATCGCCTCCAAGATCAAAGGATGTAATGCAATTTTAATCACTAGAGGTCCCTATGACACAGCGATAAAATACAGTGCTGAAGCAGGTGGAAAGAAAGAAACAGCGTTTAAGCTGCTTCTTTCCTAAGGAAAAGAACAATTAAACTTAATATCGATTTATCCTAGTTTGATAAGCATACGAGCTTTACATGACTAAATGCCTTGTATGTATACATCAAACCTTTGTTTCCTTTCTCCCATCTAATGTTACAGAGGAGCAAGGGACATCACCTTGCTTTAGAGCTAGCAGAGCACCTTGCCAGCATTTAGAACAGGGTTTCCCAAACTCGTCAGGTTCTCAACGTCAAGATGTCTCACCAGCCAAACACTGTGATCTGGCGACACTACACGATGTTGAAACAAGAAGCTGCATTGGCCCCAGCTTGCGAGGCGATAACTCAGCTTGTTTGCACTGCTCTGCTTGGGGGTGGGAAGGCTCCCACCCCCCACCTCGGTATCCCATCCCTGCTCATGAACAAGCAGCAGAGACCTTGGGGCTCTTTGCAGGGGTCTGGCCCTCATACCATAGATACTTCGCCCGGGCCTAGTACACAGACTGTACACTCACTGAACATTACATGTGAATAACTGTAACAGCTCAAACATGTGTGCGCACAGATGGCGCACTTGTTGAATGTAACTTGTACCGAATGAACTTGAGTAATTTATTTATTTATTTATGTTAATACATTTCTGAATCTTTAAGCCACTTAAAACTCTACTGCGAACGGAAACTGATAAGTTCCAGAGGGATAGCTGCATTAGTTTGTTTGTTTTTTGCTTCAAAGAGTCTATTGGCTCCCTAAGGACTAAAATTCATGTACACACATAGGGAAATACTGGGAACAGTGGGGGCAAAGGGCCATGGAACATGATGGTCTTGTGATGTTTCTATGCAGAAACCAGATGCACCAAACATATGAAAGCAGCAGCTCATTCACAAAAGCAACTTCTGCGATAATGCTAATGGTCAATTCTAATCATAGGAGATAAACGGCAGGGATGAAATTTCTGGATGTTTTTGAACTAACCTCCCCCCCCCCCCCCCATAATTGTGTAAAACTTCCTTCAACATACTGTTTTCGCAGATAACTGCCTAGCTACAAAAGATGGTGGCAGGCTTTCTGGGCTGTTCAGAGAAACCACTTGCGCATGCAGTGGTTATAGAAGAAAGTCTATCTATATTGAGGATGGTGAGCTGCCATGTTAGGTTTTCCAATCCAGCTGAAAGCCAAATTCTTTACGTGACTTTGTATGTAAAAACATGCTACCATTTACTGAATGTTTTGTACGAGCAAAAGGTTGTGTATCCGATGTTCTTCCTACTCAGAGTAGACTTGCTGAAAATAATGGACTCGATTAAGTTAGGTCCATTAATTTCAGTGAGTCTACTCCTGAGCATAACTGGATACGACCCAGAGTTCTGGAGCAAAATCAACCAATACTTTTTTTCCAGCACAGCTTACAGTGGAAATTGTTGAATGGCTTGAAGAAGCCAGGAAGACAACAGCTGTGCGAAAACAGCAAATGAACAATGCATGCATTACTGAGACTCTTTGGGATAATTCACAGACTAATGTTCCGGAAATGAAATGAAATTCACAATATCGTGAAAATAAACATCCCTGTAGTTTTGGAAAGACAGGCCAACTAAGCGGTTAGATGAATAAAACTAAAAACCAGCAGGAAGCAGCAAGGGTGAGTCTCAGCCTTGCCCCTTATATCATAGAACAAACAAGTGTGTGTGTCTGTATTTGTTGTTCATGCTCTGACAAGCAGGTACTAGACATGACCAGGCAGTGACGTCTTGTTTTCCTCTGCCAGTTATTTCATCTAAAAGATTTCTTCCCACTTAACCCTATTTTTAGAAGCCAAAACATTTCTTGGTGCCAAAATAGTTGCTCTAATTTGCTTCTCTTATCTGCATTGAAATAATGGATGCTGCTATTGGCACCCAAGTGGAGTGAGGTTGGCGTAGCTGCTGGATCCTAACCTCACTCATTCTTGTGAATCTAGTATTAGGACGGTGCCCTTAAATAACTGGGATTAAAGAATATGGAAACAAACATAAGCTTCTTTTATGCAAAAAAATTTCATGAAGGGGTCTTCATGCAGTTAGACTGGAAGAAGACTGTGGTTTTGGACCCCTAGTAGCAGCTCCTGTATTGTCTACATGTTGGAGCTAGCAACTGCACTATCTAAGCTTACATGCTCCCATGTAAACAGGCTCTGGGAGTCCACTGGGTAGGGTAGCAATGTGGCCCTGCTCTCCAGCAACTGAGCGGAAGCATCTATCTGCATGGGTAATTGCAATTAACATATGAAGGGGGCTATAGCTTTGATGAGTTTTGGAAAAGTTACACTCACTGCAGTATTCTAATCCTGTTGCCGGTCCAGTTATCCACCCCAAAGTGGCATTTTTAAGGGACATTAATGAAACCCATCTCATTGGGTTTTCCTCTAGGTGATTGTGCCAGAAGCTGAACTCTGTGGTCCCTGTTGCTAGGATGGAGCCAGACACAACAGCCAACCACAGTGGGGGAAGCACTTTACCTATCAGCTCACTCAAAAGGAACACACATGGAAAGAGAGATAAGGACATTCCATGCTGCTATTTTTCTAACTGGGTCAAAGGAGCAGATGCTTCTTCTTGAAATCTGTTTCATGCTCAAAATTGACTTGTGATGTTGATGATGATTTTAATATAAATATGTATCTATTCCACGTTTCACATCTGGGACCTTCAGGGGAGTCAACAAACTCCACAGTACCAGATTGAAAACAACCAGACAAAATCAAAACAAAACCCCAAACCACAGTGAAACCTAAATCGAAGAGTGCATGAACAGAACGTGCACCTCAACCTGAACATACACCAGCATATGGAGGACATGACCACATCCCAGGTTGCTGAGGAACCACTTTCAGCTGCTTTATGTCAATGTTTCTCAGGGACTGGCAGGACTCCACTGTGTGGAGGAGGCAGGGGACCAGAAGAGTGACCCAGGAGCAAGGACCAGTGGTCTATGGAGATGGGCACCACCCACAAGGTAGGAGCCAGGGGAGGGGGAGAGTCAGGGCAGCCCGAGAAGGAGGAAGGTTCACAGGATGTGGCTGAAGGAGAAGCTGTTCTGGAATAGACAGGTCAGTAGACTCCCACCCTAATGTCTCCTGGAAGCAGGAGAGGCTGGAAACGAGAAGAGCAGCTACAACTTCAGTGCAGAAGTCTCAGGTTACAGGCCCACAACCCGTCAAGGGAGGGTATATAAGTTTGGCAAGTAGGTGGGCCTAGAACTGTGGACAGCTGCCTAGAGACATATGTGCCTGTGTATCCAGAGCACTGTGAAAGCTGCTGTAAGCGCTTTTCTTCTCATTGAAGAGTCAACTACCTGGTGTGTGGAGAGGACCAGGACAATGTTGAAGAGAAGGGGGGGGGGGGGCAAATGGAACCCTGCAGAACTTCAAGAGGCCACCAAGAGGCCCCCATCCCTACCTTCTAAGACAACTCCCAAATAAATTATCAGAATCACTGTAGCAGAACCACCAAATTTCAACTGAAACGGATTTCATAGTTTTAACTGTTTTTTTAATACCTTTTCTGAATTGTATTTCTTGTATTGCATTTAGAGACAATTGCAGCTCAATAGTGTGTACACACACACACACACACACACACACAGCAAGATGCCCCCCAAACCTCATCCCCATCTGGTGGCTCAGAAGGTACAATACTGAATTGCATATGTAGGTGGGTTTGTCTTTAAAAGATAATATGAATGAACGAAGGATGATAAACGAAAGAACACTATATTTCAGAAAAATATCTGCAAGATAATGTGTCTATATGTGCATGTCTCTGAATGCAAGAGTATGAATGCACAGACTTCATTTTCTCTCTGATGCTGTCTAGTGGCTATGGGCTCCCCAGACCAGCATGCAAAACAGGCATTAAGTACAGTCTGCGAAACTAGTATCCATTTCCCATTCATTAGGGATTTAGCATCTCTCTGTCTCTGTCTCTCTATTTCTCTTTTTCTAGATACACCGAAGAAGAAAATAAGAAAAAGCAGCCTTCTACTTTTTGCAAGGCAAAATTGTTATTAAAAAAAATATTAAAACCAACTGAAGGGAGATCCCTTTATAATCCGTCACTAGTGGGGAGTATTTCGAATCTTTAGCAGAAGTAGCAGTTGGCACAGAGCAGCACAGAGGCTCTTAGCTGCTAATGATCAAGCACAAGATGTACGAAAATGTACTTGAACACACACATTTTAAGAAACCCCACTTGCTTCGCCACGTGTCACCCGCCCAGCCAATTCCCACAAACAAAAATGTGTTCTACGAAAACCAGACATTATCCAATCGTTTTAAGAGATGTAATCATTATGCTTAATGATAACATTTAAAGGGAGGGGGAGATGAGGCATTCTACATCTTAGGTGCGAAAAATCGACAAATATAAAACTCCTAAGTTATACAAAATTTAAAACTCCTAAGTTAGAGAAACTGCAAACGATAAGGATGGTTTGTCTTTAAACTCCCAAACAAATCAGAATGGCCTTGCATTAAACACAAGTATGCAGTTCTGATATTCCCTAACTCCCTGCTTAATAAATTCAATATAGAACTTACATTAAATAAAAACATGTTTAAACTAAATTTTTAATAATGCACTAAAAGCATTTTTATTCTCTGTAGAGCAAGATGCACTGCTGAAACAAGCCATTTTATATGTCCAAACAGGAGGGGGGGGGAGTGTTGGACAGATTCTGCTTTAGCCACTATTGCTAACTACCGGACCATTTAAGGCTTTTTCATCACCCTTCTCTGGCATTGCTCTGAGCTTCCAGCATTCCATTTCTCTGAGCTACAGCATGCCAAGTTATGCAGCCATAAAAGCAACTGCTGCTGTCCAGATTACTTGCCAAGATTAAGTAAGGGCAAAGCAGCTTCTGCTCCATTCTACCTAGAAAATCTTATTGTTTACCACTACAGCTGTCTCCTCCCCCCCACACATTTTTGAGGGGGGCACAATACAATGGTACATTCTACGAGATACTATGGTTCCATATAAGAGGTGGTGGAGAAACCTCTGTTTCTTTATCCTCTCTGGACCCCGTAATATTGGGTAATTTCCTGCCACTCTCCAATATTCTGTTCTGCATAAAGCAGCTGTTACAGATTCATGCTTTGATTAATAAGACCTAAGCTGGCACCTAAATGGCACTGACGTAGGGCCCCTCCCTCATTTCCTTGGAGAGGGCATTAAGCAGGGAGCCACCACCAAAAAGACCCTCAAACTCATCACCTGAACCTCTGAAGGTGGAGGCTCCAGAACAGAAGCCTCTGCGGAAATTCTTAATTAGGTACATATGGAAGAAGGCAGTCCCAGGAATACCAGTTGCTGCAACATTCAGTAGTGGTGGTGGGGAGGCTTTTGCCTTCATGCCTTGCTCAAAGACTTGCTGGAGGCACTTGTGAGTCCTGGAATACCTGCTCCCTGCATTGCAGGCCTTTCCCCACCTGGCCTGGGAGGGCAGTGCCCTTACTGACTCGGTCTACAAAAGCTGAGGCTGCTGAAAAGACTCTTGGGCTGTGGTACTGTTTCGGGGGGGGGGGGTTGTTGCTGTTATTTATTTTTTGTATCTTTATTTTAGATGTTATGGTTGATGTGGAAAGTTGTCTGGTAGTGTGCTTTTTGATGTTTCATTTATTTTTTTATGACTACTTTTGTTATGTTTGTAATTATGTACTTACCGGTATTTCATGTTGCAAATATACAAATAAAATAATGTATGTATTATACATAAAAGGTAAAGGCAAAGGGACCCCTGACCATTAGGTCCAGTCGGGGCCGACTCTGGGGTTGCGGCGCTCATCTCGCTTTATTGGCCGAGGGAGCCGACGTACAGCTTCCGGGTCATGTGGCCAGCATGACTAAGCCGCTTCTGGCGAACCAGAGCAGCACACAGAAATGCCGTTTACCTTCCCGTTGGAGCGGTGCCTATTCATCTACTTGCACTTTGACTTGCTTTCAAACTGCTAGGTTGGCAGGAGCAGGGACCGAGCAACGGGAGCTCACCCTGTTGCGGGGATTCGAACCGCCGACCTTCTGATTGGCAAGTCCTAGGCTCTGTGGTTTAACCCACAGCGCCACCCGTGTCCTGTATTATACATACTTCTGAAGGAAAAAAAGGAGCACTGTTTATATCAGAGTAGGGTAGACTCTGCTCACAGTCCTAAGTCAGGCTGGCCCATGAGGCCATTTCCCCAAGCCATGCCCACCTGAAGTCCTATGTGATGTCAGGTGAAGGGCAGGTGGAGGTGCAACTGCCAGGTACCATCAATATTCTTAAAGTGTGCTCCCTGCTGTGCACTGCAAGCAAGGCTTGCTGACACCACCAATCAGCTGATGAAACTGATAGCCAATAAGGTAACTGGCAGTGAGAGCAACTCAGCTATTACTGGTTGTGCTACGGAATTCCCCATGGGATAGCCAGCCTATCCTAGCAGGTAAACAAGCTCCCTAGGCTGTCACAGTCTCCTCCATGGGGACTCCATTAGGCTCTCATATGTACAATGTAGCTCTCATGCTTGTCACAAGTCACTCACAGTTTTCATTAAGTGTCCTGGTTGAAAAAGTACCACGAAGGAGTAAAAGAGGCCTGGATATTTATTTTTATTTTAAAAGATAAACAAGCAAAAACTCATCATGATATTAACACTGCGCACAAAATACAGAGGTACCTCAGGTTAAGAACTTAATCCGTTCTGGAGGTCCGTTCTTACCCTGAAACTGTTCTTAACCTGAGGTACCACTTAAGCTAATGGGGCCTCCCGCTGCCACGCAATTTCTGTTCTCACCCTGAAGCAAAGTTCTTAACCTGAGGTACTATTTCTGTGTCAGCGGAGTCTGTAACCTGAAGTGTCTGTAACTAGAGGTACCATGTATTTCAGATGACTGATCACACCTTTGCTGATAGCCAAGTAATCATAAGTGGACAAAACCATCCACCAAATAATGTTTCAGAATAATTGATGATTTGTAGTTCAGTATACACCGCACCTCAGGAAGTAATATATATGTATCATCTTTGTCACATGCCACCATCGCATGCAAATTGACTCTAACCTTCCTGCTTATGATAAATTTGCAAAGGGACTTCACCCCCTGCTCTTCTCCCTACCGTCAAGAGAAGAGATGAGGTACAGTGTCAGTCTGCTGATTTAAAATTAGGCATGCATCACTGCAAGGACCCCAGAGCAGGAAGGTAATCTAGGAGGAGAGCCTACTCTCTCTCCATTGCAAGCAATTCACATAAGAAGTGAAAGTACTCATGTCTGACTGCTGACTGGCAATTGTCTGTGCAAACCAAGAAGAGTGAGTGCCCAGCTAGATCTTTTTGTCACACATTAACCCTTGAATTTTGAGTACATTTATTGAACCAGACAAGAGAAGTTGCCACTATATTCTGGTGCAGACATACTCTGCAGCCGACTGTAGCCCATCCTGCCTCCTAAAGGAGACCAGGGAAGCAAACAGATCCACAACAAAACATAAAAGGGACTCTAAAACAGTTACCATTATAAACTTTCAAAAAACAGTTTTAAACATTATCTCATCCTACAACCTCAGAGTTAAAAGTAACAGTGTCCTTTAGACAATCAAATGCCTTGGTTATAAACAAATACTTCTTCTGAAAAAGCTGTTCAGCTTTAGTGAATGATAGAACACCCAAAAATTCAGATGTGGACTTGCCATAGCATCACATTATGGGATTACATTATTTCCTGAGGAGGTACCCAACAAACGCCATGGTGCATCTGCAGCAGCACAACCGGACGCCTTCACCTGCCCCAACTGCAACAAAACATGTCTCTCCTGATTCAATCTCTACAGCCACAGCAGGTTCTACAACCTTCCAACAGCTTGACCTCACCCCCAAAGGCAAATTCCTCCATTGTCTCCCAAGACAGAAGGATGCCAACCAAACCCAACACAGCTGTCTCAGGGTTTGGCAACTATAATAAGACTTGCACCAGCAGCTGGAAGTTCCATCAGGTTGAAGCTAGAGTGCTCGCCAACACTGCCCATGCCAGCAATTCCCTTTATATGCTGTTAGTATCCTCTGGGGTAGCCTTTCGCAACCTGTGGGTCCCCAGATGTTGTTGGACTACAACTCCCATCATCCCTGACCTCTGGCCTTGCTAGCTAGGGGTGATGGGAGTTGTAGTTCAACAACATCTGGGGACCCACAGGTTGAAAACCGCTGCTGGAGGGTAGACAAGGGAGCCAGCTGCAAGCCATCTAACTTGATGAGAAGATCACTCCCCTCTGATCTGTATTTAAAACCAGGCTGCCAGCACCAGCAGCTTGAACTTATTATGTCAACTTTCTTTTTGCCTTGTACTTCTTGGATTTAATCCTAGATTATTTCTTATACAATATTGAATTCATTCTACGCTTGCTAAATTGTTTTGTAAGCTGCTTTCTCTCCCGTTCTCTACCCCCCCCCCCCCCAATGTTTTGCATTTCATAATAGGTGGGTGTTTGTTTTCAGCCACTCTGGGCACAGCTCACTATGGAAAGGAGGCATATAAATGACCTAAACCAAATCAACCAAATTATGAATCCCAGTCTGAAATATCAACACAAGCATGTATTGGATAGCTTGGCTTGGTAGAGCGTGGTGCTGATAATGCCAGGGTTGCATGTTCGATCCTCGTATGGGACAGCTGCATACAGTGGTACCTCGGGTTATATACACTTCCGGTTACATACGCTTCAGGTTACAGACTCCGCTAACCCAGAAATAGTGCTTCAGGTTAAGAACTTTGCTTCAGGATGAGAACAGAAATCGTGCTCCGGCAGCGTGGCGGCAGCAGGAGGCCCCATTAGCTAAAGTGGTGCTTCAGGTTAAGAACAGTTTCAGGTTAAGAACGGACCTCCAGAACGAATTAAGTACTTAACCCAAAGTACCACTGTATTCCTGCATTGCGGGGGGTTGGACTTCACTAGATGATCCTCAGGGTCCCTTCCAACTCTACAATTCAGTGATTCTATGTCTGGAAAGTTACGTTAGGAAAGCCCAGCCAACAAACCTAGCCTTCACTACAAAAGTATACATGGTAGTTTTTAATTACTGGGCTCCCATAAAATACACCTTGACAGGCCAAGTGCGAGTCTGCAATCATGCACTGTAGCCTTCGAGATGTCTGGAAGTTGCTTTGGGATGCTTTTTGTATGAAAAAAGGTAAAAGGTAAAGGTACCCCTGCCCGTACGGGCCAGTCTTGCCAGACTCTAGGGTTGTGCGCTCATCTCACTCTATAGGCCGGGAGCCAGCGCTGTCCGCAGACACTTCCGGGTCACGTGGCCAGCGTGGCAAGCTGCATCTGGCAAGCCAGCGCAGCACACGGAACGCCGTTTACCTTCCTGCTGGTAAGCGGTCCCTATTTATCTACTTGCACCTGAAGGTGCTTTCGAACTGCTAGGTTGGCAGGCGCTGGGACCGAGCGACAGGAGCGCACCCCGCCACGGGGATTCGAACCGCCGACCTTTCGATCGGCAAGTCCTAGGCGCTGAGGCTTTTACCCACAGCGCCACCCGTGTCCCTTTGTATGAAAAGTGGTAGATAAATAGCCAAATGCCTGCTAAGCAGCCAAAACACAACAGCAAGAGGTTGAGCCCCTCTTGGTGGGCCACTGCAGATAGCTGTTGGGTTCCATTCGGTTTGGTGTTCACAAGGCAGCCAGGTCTAGAATTAGTAATATATACCTGCAATGTCTTTATGGAGCTGACACTCATAATAAAAAAGCAATTATATTGAAGAAATGTTCATCATAATACAAGGCATAAACCAAATTATATGGAGATCAAAATTTTAAACACAATTACTGGAAGACTCCAGATAGATGCTCAAATGATGTATCATGTGGCTGATCTTTGCACGATTCCATTTTTCTAGAAGGAAGAGTTCATAACAGTACCATGTATCCATAGTAACTCAGCGCTTACAGCAACAAATGTCGCGAAGCACTAACGCAGCAGGGCAAGTTTAAATAGTTTGTTTTTATAAAACCAGAAAACACCATTTTAGGGAGCAATCCTATGCAAAAGAAGCTGGGACAAAGCAAGCTTGCACAAAAGATACAGCAGATCCAAACCCCATTCAGCAGTGGGGCTGCTGCGTTGCCTAGGCCTGGCACAAGGAAAACAAGCCTTTAAAATAGTGTTCTATGTCAGGTTTCCAGGTCACATGACCAAGGTGAATGGGCTCAGGATCCAGCCTAAATCCTGCCCCCCCCCCTGCTCCTACTCCTGCCACACTTCCAGATTGTCTCTTGTGGGGAGACTTATACCAGCCGTGGTCCAGCTGCCTGAGTCCCAGCTGAGTTGGGATGAGCAAGTTACATTGGCATATCTTTGGCTGGGCTGTGGTTGGGGACGTAATGATGGCTGAGCCCTGCTGAGTCATGAATCAGCCAGCTGTCTTCGACCTGCTGCATCCTAAGGATCCAGGTCTTTCTCAGGATCCGTGAATAGCAACCACTTAACATACCACATTTTCATGACTGATTAAAAATATTCGCAGAGCTGCATAAATATGCATCATGGATATTGTCGTGTGACATTAATTATAGAAATCACTACCAACTATCAAAACCTTGGAGGCGGCAGCAACCTAGTTTCCATCGCACTATATCAGGAGAGCAAATTATAACATCTTTAAGTAATTGTGTTCAGAGCAAAGATCCAACATTGTCTGCAAAGGCAGGCAAGTTTAGAGAAAGGCAGAAAAGAGGGGGGAAGATACTCTGCAGAATTATAATAAGTGTGCAGTCTTGGAGAGCACTCGTGAGAACATGTGATACAGCAACACTGATGGAGATCTTAGAGCTCTGGGTGCTACAGGAACTGTAGTCAGAAAACTGGCTTCAACCACTTAAATGAGGGGTAACCAACATGGCAGCCTCTAGCTCTTGAACTCCAGTTCCCATCAGCCCCAGCTAGCATGACCAATGGTCATGGATGATGAAAGTTGTAGTCCAATGATTTCTGGAGGGCATTATGCAGACTACCCCTGATTTAAATCAACCTTTCAACATGGATAATAACTTTTTTTCCCCTTCCCAAGAAGGAGGCACTGGGCATTAGCAAAATAAAAATGCAGCTCCACAGAAGTAAGGTTTTCATGTCTAAAACCAAACTTTGTGACAATTTAGCTCAACTCTAGTTAATGTGAACAGAATCAATTTTACTGTCATATCCAAAGGTCTTTGAAGTTCAGGAATAAAATCTACCCCACAAGAAAGGGGTTTCTCCCCTTGAATGTAGCAAAAAGTCAAACCAAGTTCGTGGAAGAATCCGTTCACACAGGCTCAACTGATGCCAGTTATTCCATTTGGATCACTGGGCTACTGGTTTAAAGGTTAAAAGACTGAAGTTCATCATGCTTTATTTTGAGACTTTAACTTTTGTCAACTGCCTGTGGCAGAAATGCATTAAATAAAGATGCTGGTCCACAATTAAGCAAATGCTGAAATACCATGCATCAACATAATTTGCTTCTTTTGTTTTGATACAACAGTTTTAAAAGCCACTGATTTTATTTTTAGAAGCTGTTCATTTTTTGCCTCTGGTATGAGGAAAAGGGCAACGTCTAGACAAGAAGATTCACAACATACCTTCTTAAAGGTAAGACATATAAACCATTTCATTTTTCCTCTTTCTACAGTTCCAAAGGGGGAAAGGTAGACATGAGACCTGTAAAAGAGAATCTTGTGAACTGCCCTGAGATTTTTGGATGAAGAACATTACTATTACTATTACTATTACTATTACTATTACTATTACTACTACTATGTATTCCTGACATAGGTAATGGTCTTTGGAATCTTTACCAATTTTAGCTAACAAATATTGCAGAATTCTAGTGCAAAAAGCTGCTTTCCATCAGGTCTACCAAAGCTAACAAAAAGCATTAAATTTGCCACAAGGGAAGTTCCACATTTTATTGAACGGAAACATATATTGATGTATAGATGCACATATGCAATGTAATATGTGCCTCTAGGCTGATCAATGAAGTACTAAAGAAGATAATAATTTCCACTCAGATTGTTAATGTGTGGTTGTGACCAGTTAAATTACATCAGATCTAGTATGGTATACTGGATAATGCTGCTTTGGCAAAGAGTTCACTCGGGTGTGAAAATCTGGTCCAGGCACTATCTCTCAGCCTAAACTACCCTACAAGGTTGTTGTAGAATAAAATGAAGGTGGGTGGGTTCCTGAGCATATCCAGTGTCCACTGGTTCTAGAACAAAATGTTGTCTGTATGCAGACCCAGAGTTTCTTAAAATGTTATTATTTGGCACAAAGTTCTGCTTCATTTTTACAACTTTATTTTTTAAAAATAAACTTTATTGAACAGTTTAAAAACAACTGCGAAACAGAAAGTTCTGCTTCACTACAGCTCCCTGATAATCCTAACTTTTCTGACTACATCTCTAAATAACATTTTATATTTTACAAGGGAAGAGTGGGGAAAGAATGCCTTTAAAGCAGAGGTTCTTGGAAGTGCAGGAATTCAAAGAACATGTGATTCTTGAGTTCATTTAATGAGTAGCATTAACATATGGTTGATGGAGCGATTACCCAAAGACACAGAACAAGAAAGATATATGTTCGTATGACCAACTGCCTCTTTCTGTATTTTGATGACTAAAGCCTGTTTCAACAGATTTCTTAACTAAGCAAAGAAAAGCACTCCAGATTGCTTCAAAACTCTGGCCTGATGTTCCCTCAGGTAACAAACCGGTGATTGGCTTGTACTACTTAAAAACAGATAGCGTTTGACATGATTGAATGCACCTCAATACAAAATAATTAGGGGTTATGATACAAACAGAAGGAAATTTGCAGAAGGAAAGCTTCTTGTGCCCTCTTCCCTTTTGTAGCAACCTGGAACTTGGCAAAAAGAGAGAGCATCTCTTGTGGTCAGGGAGCCCTGCTGAACAATGTAGGTATAGGCATTACTCACATTTAACTTTATCTTAGTTCTACATGAATCACCCTAAAAGCCTGCAGAACATCTCCCCACCCCTGAGCTCAACCCTAGACAGAAAAAGTGTGCATGCATGTCAGGGCCACAATGCCTCTATCAGGCATCTTAAAATGTAACATCTGTCATTATCCTTTTATTTGTGGTTTAGCAGTTTTGAAAGGGGGAAGGGGGAAAAAAAACAACCTTTCTCCAGCTGTATGTGGGCCATGCTGCTTTCCTGCTTGTAATATTTATTTTATCATGTTGTGTTAGGTACCCTAAGGACTTTGGGCATGGTGAATCATATTTATTATTTACAAGCTTTGTCAGCAGCAGTTAACCTGTTTACTCCGGACATGCAATTATTCCCAATACAAGACCGGCCTGGCATTTTCAATGATGATTGCTACATATGGAAGACGCTTCATGCTTCGCTGAAACTACATTTTCATTAAACTACTTCCAGCTTATAAATGATTGTTAAAAAGGATTTACTGCGCAGTTTTTATACTATGGCAGGTGGTGTTTGTGCTATTCTGCTGTTGCAAGACTGAAAGTTACTACTTTCCTTTCATAACCCATTTCCTTTCATAACCCCCTTTTCATTCAACAGTAAAAATAATAATAATAGCAACCCAATAGCTGTCTGCTATGTATCACAGCTTAAAGTATTCTAATTCATTATCATGTTACAGTTATAGAATTTTCTCCCAGGACATTACATGTTATTTCTCCACCCCTTTACTCAAAATCCCTCCTACAACCCCCCCCCCCACAATTCCTGCAAAATCCTTCCTTAATCCAATGTATTAATTGCATTATTTATTCTGTACACGACTAAGCCATAATTTTATCCAAAAATACATTCCAAGTGATATATTATGATATCATATACGATATAAAAAACAGTAAAAACCAAACTGATACCCCAAAGAGCCTCATTTGAATGTCTGGCACAACTACTCATCATTCACCTGAAGACCAAGACCACAGCCAGACTTAGTGACTGAAACATCAGTCAACAATTTCTCTCTCCCCTTTTTCCTTCTCCTCTCCTGTTCTACATTCACATTATTCTGTTTCTTGTCACTCATGATTAAGAGTTCTTGGAAGGTTGCACAGTATTTTGTGATTTTTTTTGTTCAGCCTAAAAAGGGAACTGTCCTAATATGGATTTTTGGAATCTTTCTTATGGGCCATTTAAAGACAACAACAGCAATGAAAACCTAATAAAACCTGTGTGACCAAAGAGCATGAACCTTTTCCAGGATTCAACTGATGAGTCCCACTAACGGAAGCCAGTGGAAGGCCTTCTGCTAACACAATGCGGTTTTTCATCTACTCTCCTCCCCCCAACTTGCTCAGGGGTTCAGGGGAACCTCCAGAATAGTGGGGAGGGGAGAAGAGAGGACAGAATTCCTTCAATGCAAGCATGTCTGATATCATTCCAGCTTCCAGAGGTATCTCTTCTCTACTCCCCTGCACTATCGGCCACGATGGCTGAGGATGACAGGAGCTGGAGAGCAGAAACATATTGGGGGTCACTGGTTTCCCTTACCTGATGTAAAAAAAATACTTACAGTCTGCTCTCAGAAAACAGACTGAAGATTAATCACATTTTGCTTGCAAAATATCTCCCAGTATTAATGCAATGCACAGCTACTTTTCTTTCAGTTATTTCAACGATAAGTGCAACCGTTTTCCCTATCGCAAACTATATTTAGATGACATTTATTGTAGATGCATCTTGAATAGTTTTATCAAGCCGTCCCTCAGTACACAATCTTTCATTATGTACTATATGAAATTGTCACTTATCAAGCGATGATGAAGTGCAGTCAACTGATTTGCTGCCACACTGCATAGTCAATACACAATTTGCAAAGGATGCTTATGTGGCCATGCACGTCCATTTCTAATAAGTGCTTAGTTCACACAGAATCCAACATCACCTGGAAGGCCACAATTTGCCCACCTCTGCCCTAGTTTGTGGCTACAGCAACTTGTGCACAAACTTATATGGAGTAAAAGACCATATAATTATTCCAACTTCTTCATTTTTACAAGTCCCTGCAGAGTTTTTCATACATGCATCATTTTCTGAAAATATATCTATTGATTATCATTATGAGTCACAGAGAAATGATGAAAAGAATGAAGCTAACCCTATTAGAGCTAGTGTTGATTTTGTAAGAAATATTATTGATGATGAGAATATAAGAGGGTTATTTCCTATTCACTCAAGATGATCTTATTACACATGCTACTAAGTATAATAAATCATGCAATGACATTTTTGCTATTATTTCTAATGCAAGCTAAAAACGTGGAGTTGATGATAAAAAAAAATAATGGCAGCAGTTTGCTATTACTTAGAATCATAGAATAATAGAATCTTAGAGCTGGAAGGGACCCCAAGGGTCATCTAGTCCAACCCCCTGCAATGCAGGAATCTCAGCTAAAGCATCCATGACAGATGGCCATCCAATCTCTGTTTAAAAACCTCCAAGGAAGGAGAGTCCACCACCTCTTGTAGGAGTCTGTTCCACTGCTGAACAGTTCAAGTTTTTTCTGAATGTTTAGTCAGAATCTCCTTTCTTGCAACTTGAAGCCATTGGTTCAAGTCCTATCCTCCAGATCAGGAGAAAACAAGCATGCTCCATCCTCCATGTGACAGCCCTTAAGATATCTGAAGATGGCTATCATATCTCCTCTCAAGTCTCCTCTTTTCCAGGCTAAACATACCTGGCTCCTTCAAGCGCTCCTGATAAGGCTTAGTTTCCAGACCCCTGATCATCTTGGTTGCCCTCCTCTGCACACACTCCAACTTGTCAACATCCTTCTTAAATTGTGGTACCCAGAATTGGACACAGTATTCCAAGTGTGGTCGGAGTACGGCAGAATAGAGTAGTACAATTACTTCCCTTGATCTGGACACTATACTTCTGTTGCTACAGCCTAGAATAGCACTAGCCTTTTTTGCTGCTGCATCACACTGTTGACTCATGTTAAGTTTGTGGTCCACCAAGACCCCTAGATCCTTTTCACATGTACTGCTAGTAAGCCAGGTGTCCCCCATCCTATATTTGTGCATCTGGTTCTTCCTGCCTAAGTGCAGAACCTTACATTTGTCCCTATTGAAATTCATTTTGTTAGCTTGCGCCCACTTCACCTTCATTTTCATGAACCATTAGGAATAAGGTTGGGGTGGGGTTGACAGAAATGAACTTGATATTCAATAAGTGATTAGCTATCCATTATGTTTAGGCACCTAAGACCTGTTTGGAAGGTTTGTGTTTTGACACTATCTGGGGTCAAGTGACTTCTAAGGACCAAAATAGAAGTGACAGGGCAGCCACGAGTATTTCATCCATATTTCTCTCCAGTTCTGTAAAAAGAAAGGGGCCGAAGCTATTATTTAGTAGAGAGTGCAAGATCTGGGTAGGAAGGAGCTGCATCCCTGGCACTACTCACAAGGTTATCACATACAAACTTTTGCAGAATGACATGGGCAGAAGCTCTTCGATCACTTCAATAAGTTACTAGTCCTTACACACTATACATTTAAAGCAGTATCATGACTCCTCTCAAAGAATCCTGGGAACTGTTGTTTGTTACAAGTGCTAAAAGTCATTAGGAGACCCCTCTTCCCTTCACAAAACTACAATTCTCAGAATTTGCTGAGGAGAGAGATTGGCTGTTCTGAGAACTGCAGCTTTGGCAGGGAAAGACGGGTCTCCTAATGACTTTTAGCACCCTTAACAAACTACAGCTTCCATAATTTTTTTAAAAGTGGTATGATAGTGCTTTAAATGTGCAGTGCAGATTGGGCCTATAATACGAGGAAAGGTGAGGGGAAACTTTTGCAATTCAAATAGTGGGTAGATGGCTTTACAGCGTCAAAGATCAATAGCAAATATGATGGTTGCTGCAAATTAGCAGATCTAAACCTTGTTGACCTGGGAAAGCTTTTTTTTTTATGAGAGCAGCCCAGAGGTTATGCAGAAGCCCCCACTTTGCCTCATGAATATTCAAGTTAAATTAACATAACATTGAAATGAATGATCAATAACATAGCCATGCAGACATTCGGTTCCCTCAGATTTGGTTACTGTAGACTTTCTGATGAGCCAGCAGACTTCTTCCTGCACAGAACCTATTATTTCAAAGATTTAGTAGAAGGCAGCAGCAGTCCCATGATTAAATTCACCAGAAGTAACACCTGACCTGCTGCAAATGCAAAATTTTTCAGTCAGCAAAGCCACTAAACCTCATCCCATGAAACATCTGATAGCTGGACAGTAGGATCAATAGAGGTTTACTACCAAGTATTAACCATGCTATGCTGCCTATCTCCAAGATATGCATTTTCTTCATGCATTTTCTAAAAAGGTTACTTCCTCTTCCAGTTTACTTGGGAAATGGCAGTGCCTCAATAGCTTGGGTTCAAAGCTAGCTTCAGATTTAAAGTGCCAATGGCAGAATGACTTATGGTGGGCCCCCTCATACGCTAAAGGGCCTGCCCCCCCTCCACAGACAAGCCTGACAGCAAGGGTGCCCCCTGTCAATGACCTGGTGCTACAGTGGCACCAGGTGACCCATTATTGCCACTCCAAGTATTGGAACTGTGGGGGGAACAGGGGTCTCCTAACAACTCTCAGCACGATTCACAAACTACACTTCCCAGGATTCTTTGGGAGACACCGTGGCGGTTTAAACGGGATTGTGCTTCTTGGCTGTGAGTCCTGGAAGATCTGCTCCCTGTCTTGCAGACCTTTTCACACCCGGCCTGGCCTGGCGCCCGACTGACTCCAGCTACAAAAGCTGAAGCTGCTGAATAGACGGGCTGGGGTGTGGTGTGTTTTTGATATACAGTCATACCTTGGGTTACAGACGCTTCAGGTTGCGTTTTTTCGGGTTACGGACCGCCCAAACCTGGAAGTACCGGAACAGGTTATTTCCTGGTTTCGGCGGTCGCGCATGCGCAGAAGCGCTAAATTGCACTTTGCGCATGCGCAGAAGCACTGACTCACAACCCGCGCATGCGCAGGCGCGGGTTGCGAACATGCATCCCGCACGGATCACGTTCGCAACCTGAGCGTCCACTGTATATACATATTTGTATCTTTCTTTTAGTTCTTTGATGTGGAAATTGTTTTAATTTGGTAGTGTGATTTTTGATGCCTTAGTTATCCTTGCTGTGTTGTTAGGCTTGTAACTGTGTGACTTTTTTCATGTTGTAAGCTGCCTTGAGCATGGTTTGAACTATGGAAAGGAGGCATACAAATAATATTATGGAATGCATGGTGCAGATAAGGGCCTAAGACTGAGGAAACAAGGTTCATATCCCCACTCAGCCACGCAGCTCAGTAGCTAACCTTGAGCTCGCTACAATCTCTCTGCCTAACCTGCCTCACAGTGTTGTTCTGAAGATAAAATGACACGGGGGCAGGGGGAGGACCGTGCATGCATTCTGGGACAAAAGGTGAGACAGACATGAAATGAGCAAATGGAATAGCAACCTCATGCGGCCAGTGCTTGGCTGAGGTTCACAGATGCATCGTTTAAAACTCTATCCAGAAGAAAAACTGGCAAGACTCTTCCCTAGTCACATTGAATCATGTTTTAAAGATGCTTTTATTTATGAGAGCTTGTTATGATTAGTTTTAATCTAGATGTGCTGGCATGAATTTAAACTGAGATGTTTTATATTATTTCATTATATGACAGTGTTATTTTATTTTTATTATTATTGATTAGTCAATGTTTTAACATCCCAGTTTCTGTAAGCCACTTCTGTCAGGAGTAATCCTAAAAGATAAGGTATAAATATAAATGAGTATCATACAAAAGATAAAATGTGTTAGGTTGAGGGTCATGTGGTGCAGTGATCAGTGGTCCAGTGGTCAGGACCAGTGGTCAGGGATGATGGGAATTGTAGTCCCAAACATCTGGAGGGCTGGACTTTGCCTATGCCTGGGTTAGGGTATCAGACTAGGACCTGGGAGGCCAGGTTTCAAATCTCCACTCAGCCATGAAGCTCACTGGGTGACTTTGGGGCAGTCTCTGCCTCTCAGCCTAACCTACCTCACAGAGTTGTTGCAAATATAAAATGAATCATAGAATCATAGAGTTGGAAGAGACCACAAGGACCATCGAGTCCAACCCCCTGCCAAGCAGGAAACACCATCAGAGCACTCCTGACATATGGTTGTCAAGCCTCTGCTTAAAGACCTCCAAAGAAGGAGACTCCACCACACTCCTTGGCAGCAAATTCCACTGTCGAACAGCTCTTACTGTCAGGAAGTTCTTCCTAATGTTTAGGTGGAATCTTCTTTCTTGTAGTTTGGATCCATTGCTCCGTGTCCGCTTCTCTGGAGCAGCAGAAAACAACCTTTCTCCCTCCTCTATGTGACATCCTTTTATATATTTGAACATGGCTATCATATCACCCCTTAACCTCCTCTTCTCCAGGCTAAACATGCCCAGCTCCCTTAGCCGTTCCTCATAAGGCATCGTTTCCAGGCCTTTGACCATTTTGGTTGCCCTCCTCTGGACACGTTCCAGTTTGTCAGTGTCCTTCTTGAACTGTGGTGCCCAGAACTGGACACAGTACTCCAGGTGAGGTCTGACCAGAGCAGAATACAGTGGCACTATTACTTCCCTTGATCTAGATGCTATACTTCTATTGATGAGGCCCAGAATTGCATTGGCTTTTTTAGCTGCCGCGTCAAATGGGAAGGAGGAGAACTCTGTACGCCACCTTGAGTTCCTTGAAGGAAAGGTGGAATATAAATACAATACAATAAATAAAAATAAATTTGACTGTGCACAAAGATCTTACATCTTTTCTTTACAGAATGAAATACATGCTGCAGCGCAAAGCCTATCAGAGAAGTGTGCAATGCATCAAATCAATATGCACCAAGAATGCATCAGACCTTTTAGTCTAATTGCAGAACTTGATAGTTCTTATACTGCAACATCTGTTCCTATGCCATTTACAGTTTTCCTGTTGTAAATATTTACAGTTTCCTTTTTAACTTGACATGTATATTGTAAGCTGCCAGTCCTGTTTATTTATGCTATTGTCATTTTGAAGTAGCAGAGAGGCTCCAATCTGATGTACATGCCCCTATGAGTCAGCCCTACTGGACCTGGTAAACATACAAAGGATTGCATTGCACTGAAAGTCAGTTATCATTTATTCCAGCAAATATTCTTATGGTAACCATTGCTATCTAGCACACATTCAGTACATGTCCTTCTGCCTTATATGCATTTTCTCTTCATACTTTCTGGAATTCTGCATCTATGTACAACTTGTGTGTGTGTGTGTTTGTATGTATGTATGTATATGTGTGTGTGTGAGGGAGAGAGAGAGAGAGAGAGAGAGAGAGAAAGAGAAAGAGAGAGAATGTTTATATATCTTCCTATATACATTTGTGTAAGGCTGTCATCAGGCTTTTAGTTGGTTACTTTTATTAATGTTTTTTCCAGCTTAAAAAACCAAGGGTTTTATTGTATTTGATTATATTTTATTTTATTGTATTTGCTCTATTGTTTGTAAGCTATCTTGAGCACCATTTAGTGGAAATGTGAGATACAAATTTAACAAATAAATATGACTGGTCATGCCAGAAGTTTTATAGGTCAGCTTAAGGATTCAAATGAACTAGTTTAAGCAGATTTAAACACTTGTTAAAGGTTCTGGACACAGTTAGAACCAATGTGTCAACAGTCCAACATGATTATTGAATCAACATTGCAAGCCAGTGCATGCCTACTCAGAAGTAACCCCCACTGAGTTCAAAAGGATTTACTTCCAGGTAAGCGTGTACAGGACTGAAGGCTAAAGAAACTCAAATTATTTACACCACACACTGAAACATGTATAAGCAGAAAAGAAATACAAGTCTGTTCCATTCTGACAAATCTACCATTCATAAATTCCTCCTCCAGGTGATTTATATGTTGCAGCTGAACAAAAAGGAATTGCTTGTGCTCCAGACTGGAGCCAGGATGCTACAATTGTTGCAGGAGAAACACATTAAAGTGGTAAAAGGAATCTTGCCAAAAGGATATGAAGAACTGTAATCTCCTTCCAGCACAGGCAGTGGAGCTGGGAAGAGAAGGGTATCCAATTCACTTGAATAATATAAGAGGAAATAACAGGCATATCTGAGGAATGCTTGATTTGCTGTTTTTTGAGCCTCCAATCAGTACTTCTTCCATTTAAGTTGGATGTAACCAATGGAATCGCTTCTAGATGATTTGGACTATGACACCCATCACCCCTAGCTATTCACCATGCTGGCTAGGACTGATGGGAGTTGAAGTACAACAATATCTGGAGGGTGGCACATTGTCTATCCTAGGTTTAAGTACTCCTATTATTTACATATTTTGAGGGGTGTGCATCAAATTTACATGTCAACATCTCAAACAAGTGGCATGCAACTAGAAGGAATGGTATTTTATTTGAATTCAGCACCTGACAGCAACTTGGAATTTATGTAAGCACATTTTTGATTGTTTAAAATTGCTTCAAATTCATTATCTCAGCGATCCTTACAACAGTCCTATATCTCCAGCCAGTATTATGATGCCCATAGTACTAACAGATACAAATCTGAACCAGGGACTTCGCAGCTCACACCTCCTGGATAATGGTGGGGGCATTTACAGGGTGCATTAACCCAGTCACTATACCACCAAATCATCGGCGCAGTTGCAGTTCCACACATTCCTTCAGATGACCATATCTGCAAACTACAGTGTTTCCTAAGCGGGTGACAGAGCTCAGAAGTATCAAGAAGCCACGCAGTCCAAAATGCCACCTGGTTATCAGAGTGGGGGAAATGCTTTGCATCATTTTACGTTCCTGGACTACAAGAAACAAAAGCCTTTAATGCCTCAACCCACATGTCCCAAGGGCAGCTGGTGAAAACAACAACAAAAACAGCCAGCTGGCAACCCACAGCCCAATTAACATATTTGTGAAATGCCATGGGTGCTGATATCCCGTTGTTTAATCCTACGCAGCTCTGGCAAGCATCTATGAGAAGAACCACATGGGCACCACTGAATGGCTTGGTTCATTCCTACACCATTATGCTTCTGGTGTGGGGAGGAACTATGTCACTCACCTGCCTTGTGTGGTCCTTCTTCTAGACACTGCCAAACTAACCTGAAACGGGACCTTTACAATCTTCAGCTGAGGTCCCTTTGTGTGTTCCAAGTTCATGTTCAGGACACATATAGTTAGAAGCCAGTTAACCTGCTGAATTGCCCTGCCATATGCTGCATATACCCATTCAATCATTTCCTGGTACAGCTTTGGTGCTGTTAACACAGTGGTTTGACTTCACTCCCGGAGGTGCACTCCAATGTCTCCCAAGACAGATGGATGCCAATAATAATAATAATAATATGCTCAACCAAACCAAGGGTCAAGTCTAACTCTCTTCTCCAGGAGCAGCCAACCCAAGATGTGCAACAGAGCTTCAGGCTGTGATAAGTCAGATAGCATCAAAGGCATGTGTCATCTCACCCACCCTCCTCACTGTGCACTAAGCCAGAACACAGTTCCCAGAGACTTCCTTGTGTGCCATCCGAACCCCCCACGCCCACTATGCCCATGGGCTTCATGCAGGTTTCATCAGTTTGATGTGAAATGTGGAGCGGTGAGTCAATGGAGAAGTCTCCCTCAGGAGGTCGTGGACTCTCCTTCCTTGGAGGTTTTTAAGCAGAGGTTGGATGGCTATCTGTCATGGGTGCTTTAGCTGAGATTCCTGCATTGCTACTCTACAATTCCATGATTCTATGTGTTAATTCCCCCCCCCCCCCCGAAAGATTCAGGGCAGACAAAACAAAGCACCTCTTCACACAGTGCACAGTTAAACTGTGGAATTCGTTGTCATAAGGTGTAGTGAAAGCCACTAACATGGATTGGTTTAAAGCAGGATTGAGCTAATTCATGGCGGGTCAATTGCTACTAGCCACAATGGCTATATTCTGCCTCTACCAACAGAGGCAATGTGTCTATGAATATCAGTTGCAGGGCATCCCAAGTAGAAGACTTAGTAGAAGACTGTTGCACTCAAGATTCTGCTTCTCAGTTTTCCACAGACATCTGGACAGCCACTGTGAGAACAGGAAGGTGGCCTAGATGGGCCTTTGGCCTTATTCTGAAGAACATAATCCTTCTTGGAAAGGGGGTTTAATCCTAAATAAATGGGGTTAGGATTGCAGCCTTTGCAAGGAGTAACTCCAACCAAATTCAGCTTGGTTTAGTTCTGAGTAGACATGCACAGGATTTCACCTTTTGCGTAACAATCCATGAACATTAATAAAAGCAAATAATCAACTAGCTGAAATAAGAATAATAGAATTGTAGATTCTATTCAGTGGTGCCCATGTGGATGATCTATTCTAGCGCAACCCCCTGCAATGCAGGAATATGCAGCTGTTCCATATGGGGGAATGGGGATCAAACCTGCAACCTTGGTGTTTTGAGCACCACACTCTAACCAGCTGAGCTATCAGGAAGGAGATCTATGAGAACAGAGGAAGCCCAGCAGATTTCCACAGGAAGGTACTGTTATTATTTCAATTTACATCCTGCCCTTCCTTCCTAAGGGAGTCCAAGGCAGCCAACACAACAATAACAATAAAATTAAAACATTCTAAAACCAGTTGCACACCATCACATTCTCTTAATACAGTGATTTCGGGATTGCCAGGAACCACATCTTTCTCCCACCAAACTAGGCCATTTTGGCCCTACCAACGAAAAGGCCTTGTCTCTTTACATCTGATCTCATGTAAAGAGAAGATGGAAAGCACAGTGTCAGGTGCTATCTTGAATCTCAATAAGGTGTGTACGCAAGGCGGCTGTTCTTGAGGCAATTAAAGGCTGCCTCAAAAGTTACTGAATCCCTTCCTCTGCAATCTCAGAGGCTGAGCATCTTCCAGAAGTGCTGTACAAGTGAGTTTACATGTGCATATTTATCCTTGGTGCTTGCAACATCAGGAAAGAAATTGCACGTCTCAATGACTATCACAGAAGATCTACCTCAGATGGCACTTTCCTTCCGCCCCCCACTGAAGCTTTTCAACAGGGGAATCTCACACCTTCTCACTGAGTGATAACAAGCGATGCCTTAATTTTGCATGTGCAAATGAACCTTTGAATATTCTAGTTTCGGGGCTAGGAACTGACCCCAATTCTACCACATTAGAGGCGACAGTATAAAATGGGTTTTCATGATAAAAAGTGCAGCATGACCACAGAGAGGGGGTGGCGACCCACAACCCTAGGGCTGACTGTTGCCCTTGGCCAAATTTTATGCCGCCTTTGGCTTACTTTCAAAAATAATCACTTCAGACCTAAGGCAAGGGTGATTTCTCCTACCCTGGCAATCTCCTGGAGGGGAGAGGCAAATTGAGGTGGCAGAAAGAGAGAGGGGAAAGGAGTAGCTCCACTCACTGCTGGTTTGGGCCCTGCTCACAATCAGCATACAGTCCTACCCTGAGGGAATGTAGCTCTCAAAAATATTGCCCACTCCTGACTTCTACAAGTCTAGGCCAAGGGGTCCTCATACCAAGTGGGCCACAAGAGTACTTCCACACAGAACCCAAGGGGCACACACTGCCTTGTGGGGGGGGGGGCATGAGGCCAAAATCTGACATCCCCCCCAGCCCTCATGAGGAGCTGGGCTTTGCAAAGGAGGCATAAGGCTCTGGCTGGGTCCTAGAGCTCTTCCACCATCTTCCCAAAGCTGGAAAAGTGCTAAATAGGCTTCGGCAAGGAGAGGAATCTAGGACCCTGTCAGAGCCCTCACTCCTCCTTCCCAAAGCCTTACCTGGCTTGGGAAGGCAGCGTCATGGGCGTAACCAGGATTTTTCTGGGGGGGGGGCAGCCAAAGTTGTTGAGCTTCTTTTAGGAGATCGCCCTAAATTACTGAATTTTCTTGGGGAAATCATGGGTAAAAATACCCCCATTGCAGGGAGCAAGCTTTCATAGGGGGGTAGGCATCTGCTGGGGGGGGGGGCAGAACCTCAGTTAATTGAGTACTTTCAATGCTTTCCAATAATTTTGGGATGGGCTACACTCATGGGCAGCATAAGGGCTGTGGGGGTGTCAATTGTAGCTGAGGGCCACAAAAAAGGCCGCATGTGTTGGTCTAGTCCTGGTCTAGTCTGCCTCTGGAGGTACTTAATTTTTTCCACAATATCTCCAGTTTGGGGGCCAGAGTGGGGAGTGCTTTCAAATAAGAATTCACCGACATGAAATCTATACTTGCCTGCACCCTAACACTTTCTGAACTTCTGAATCAGCCAGCACCAAGCACAGTTAAACTTGGAAGTTAGGTCAGGAGAAGACAATATAATTGGGGTGTTAAACCTTGCTGGTATTTCATGGAGCTTCTCTTTCAAATATTTATCCTGACTTGTCGTCCCCCCCTCAACCAACTTGTTTAGCACCTCCCTTTTAACACTGGCTCCCTTACAACACAAGCCTCAAACTGATATGTTTTGGTGAATGTGTTCACATGCAGGGATTCCATAAAAAGGACAACAAATTGATGCTTCTAGACAGATAATGTGGGGCCTTTTTGCTGATGGAACCCTGAATCAGGATATCCATCCAATTCTGACTCAGGATACTCAAATTCGAAGTCAGGATAGCTGCCAATATGAATTTATACATTCCTCCCTTCCAATTATCAAGCACCTGCTTAACTTAAAGACTGGCTGAAGGGGTGGGGGGAATCAAACACGAAATCAACCACTCCAGATCAGGCCACATGGCATCTGTCCAAAAGACTTCCCAAGCCTCCAAATCTGAATAATATTTTTGGTTGGTTGGAAGTAGTCTGTTTGCAGAACAACATAGGAAAATCTTGTCCCAGCAGCAAACAAAGCAAGACATTTGAGTCCTGCAGTTCTCTCTGCAGGCAAAACAGTCTCCCTCAAAGCGCATGCAATCTCCAAAACTACAAGGTACTTAAAATGCAGTGTCATCAGCACTGCTGAATCGAAACCTCGCAGTATTTATCATTACAGTGGCAAATGCAAATATATACAGCTGCATGATTTGACTTTATACTCGATCTGCTTTTTAAAAAAAGGTTTTAAAATACAACACAGGAGCCCAAAAGGACATGTTTTCTCCCCTGGAATCTAGTAGATATTATTTTCTCCCTCCCCCCTCCCCTTCCAATTAAAAGAAATACACAGGGTATCCAGAAAAAGGACAAGCAAGTAGCAGCTATTAAGAGCAGTGAGGGGGGGATCTTTCCCAGCAGTTCCATTATATTAAGGGGAAAGGAAGACAACCCCCTCTTTAGTGCCCCCCTCTTACTGAAAGCAGACAATTACGTTGCAACCCCCTGTCCCCTCCCAATAACCCTGAAGTTACTTATGCCCATGCCCTAAAGTCAAAATGCATTGCACCCAATTTCCAGAAGGCTATGGATTCTCAAGTCACACCCCAAGGCATATTGTGATGTTAGCATATTCATTAGCTAGACTCAGCAAAGCATCCTTAATAGGCCAAGGTGCACTTAAAGGGGGGGGGGGGGACAACAACCAGCCAATACCACAAACAACTGCAACTTACTGCTATTTGAAAGGCAGCATAGGAAACGAAACAACAACAATGCATCTAAATAGTACAAACCCTTCTCACTGGGGCAAATCCACACTGGGACATGTACCAGCTTGGCAAGGGTTCCTTCTTATGTTCCACCCCCCCTTTTTTTTCTTCGTTCCTCTCCTTCTCTCTGGATGCCACCCACACTGTCTGGCAGTCTCTGAATGCAGCCAGGTGTCCTTCTGATAAGAAACAGGAAGTAGCGCCAAGCCCCCCCCCCCTTGCCACACAGAGGGTCACCTGCCTAACTCCTTCCTATTCCTTAAATCTTCTCTCGGCCAGGTCAGGTCAGAGACTCAAGCAACTCCTTCCCTTGCTGGAACAAAGAGGCAAGAGGCAATTCCAAGCCCTTCTTCCAAAATAAAATAGCTGAGTAAGAAAGCTGGTCTCTCTCTCTCTCATGCGCAACACACACATCATGCAGCTTCTCTACAAGCACCAGTGGTGACATATTTGGGAGGAGGGGGCCAGGACATGCATCCCAAACCCAGGAGAGCCACAGCTGTCCCTTTTGCAGCAACTGTGTGCAAATTGCCTTCTATGGGAAAGAAGGGGAAAAAAGCCAAATCCATCCCTCTCCCAGCGAGGGAAGTGACTCACCGCCTGCTCGACCTAACTAATAATTCCCATTGAAATTAACACTTCCCTTGCCATTCTTCTCCGCAAAGACAGAGCCGGGAAGATATAAGGAGGGGGGGGCGCCAACTTACGGAAGTGTAGTTGCTCTTCTGGCTCCGGATCTCCTGCTCCTGGAACTGCAGCCCCGCCAGGTGCTTCTCCAGGGCTTCCCAGTCCATGGTGGGCAGCGGGGGCTCCTGCTCTTGCCAAGCCGTGCCCCCTCCTCCTCCTCCCCCCAAGGAGTTCTCCAAGGGGTGGAAGGCTACCAGCGAGCCCCCGTTGCTCAGCCTGCCCATGCCGCCCGCGGGCTGCCCTTTCTGGATGCGGGAGGCTTTGCCGTAGCCGCCGCCGCCCCCTTTGTGCCCAGTCCTGCGGCTAGAGGGCACCACGTTGGCATTGTGCCGGAGGTCCAGCGGGTGGTGCGGCTGGCGGTGCTGGCGCTGGGGATGCTGAGGAGCCGGGTGGCCGTGGGGAGCCGGGGGTGGCATAGCAGGGGTGGCGGTGGCGGTGATGGTGGGGAGGGCGAGGCGGGCGCTCCTCGCCTCCTCCAGCTCTTGCGCTAAACTCCTCCTGGCAGGGGCGGTTCGGGCACAGCGGCGGGCATCGTCCCTGTCCTCCGCCCACGCATCAGTCACCTTCCTCTGGTACACCTGGAAGTCCTCCGCCTCCTCTTCTTCCTCCTCCTCCTCTTCCTCGTCTTCCTCCTCCTCCTCCTCCGAGTCCTCCAAAGCAGCCAAGTCCAGGCTGGTGGGCGAGGGGGAAGATTTGCATTCCGAGCAAGGGGTCACTTTGCTGGAACTCGATTCCGAGCTGGAGCGGCTGCTGCAAGGGTCGCTGCCTAGATCCATGCCATCCTAGAGGACAGAGAAAGAGAGAGCGTTAGAAAAAGACCTATAGCCTAGCCCTCCTTTCCTGCCTTGGCTGCTGCTGTTGGAAGAACATCCCCGCCAGGCACAGAAAGAACCAGACAGCCGGTTTCCCTCTCTCCAGATGCTGCCAGACTCTTAAAGGGAAAAGCGGGCGAAGGAAGGGAAGGGGGGAGAGAAGCCAAGGGGGTGGGTGGGGAGGGGAGATCTCCGGCACTTCCCCGAAGTTTCCCACCCCACCTAGGCAGGGCATCCGCTTTGCGAGGAGAGGGCAGGGAGAGGTCTCCCAGGCAGGGGCGGTCCCTCTTGAGCCCCACCTAACGAGGAGGAAGGGGGCGCGCAGCAGCACCGGCAGCGCTCCGCCTGGAGAGCTCAGGCGCCGCCGCCGCCAACAGTTTCCTCTCCAGCACCGGCCGGGAGTCCCTCCTTGCCCTGCGACGGCTCCGGAAAGTTCCCGGCTCCCTCGCGCGCCCACTTGCGAATACAGAGCGCGAGGGAAGGAGGGAGTCTGGGAGCCCCACGCAGCCGGCGTAAAACTGGGGGAAAAAGTGAATGAGACAATGCCGGCCCCACACCGCCCCCTACGGTACAGCCGGAGAGATCCTGGGGGCCGAAAAGGAGCCAAAAGCGTGGCCCCGGCAGGAGCTGAGCCACCTCTTCCCCCGAATTCTTTTCTGGGGGGTGCCGCGCAGTTATGTCTCCTCCTTCACACAGGGTTTTATTGGAGGGGAGAGGGAGATTGCCACTTCGCAGGAGAAGCATGAGTTTGAATTTGAAAAGTGGTGCAGCAGAGCAGAATTGCCAGATGCGATTGGCACGTGGCACCATCATCCTCCACGGCATCTTCATGGATTGGGGTTTGAGTGGGGTGGCCGTGGGGGGGACGGGACACACATGACCCATTGGGCTGCAACGTGTAAAAGAGGCTGAGAAGCCGGACCCTGTTCTATTTCCCACTCTTGAGCGAATGGTGGATTGAGATTAACTGGGTGCTTGTTTCCACATGATGATGATGATGATGATGATGATAATAATAATAATAATAATAATAATAATAATAATAATAATAATTTATTATTTGTACCCCGCCCATCTGGCTGGGTTTCCCCAGCCACTCTGGGCGGCTTCCAACAAAAATTAAAAATACATTAAAATGTCACACATTAAAAACTTCCCTGAACAGGGCTGCCTTCAGATGTCTCCTAAATGTCATGTTAAGCACTTAATTTGTTCCGGAGGTCTGTTCTTAACCTGAAACTGTTCTTAACCTGAAGCACCACTTCAGCTAATGGGGCCTCCTGCTGCTGCCGGAGCACAATTTCTGTTCTCATCCTGAAGCAAAGTTCTTAATCTGAGGTACTATTTCTGGGTTAGCGGAGTCTGTAACCTGAAGTGTATGTAAATTGAAGCGTATGCAACCCGAGGTACCACTGTAGTTGTTTATCTCTTTGACATCTGATGGGAGGGCGTTCCACAGGGTGGGTGTCACTACTGAGAAGGCCCTCTGCCTGGTTCCCTGTAGGTTTGCTTCTCGCAATGAGGGAACCGCCAGAAAGCCCTCGGCGCTGAACCTCAGCCTCCGGGCAGAACAGACATGAGGGGTAAAAGTGTCCCCTCCTAGCAAGACCTTTAAGCTTCCTCTGAGAGCTGCAACCTCAGCACAATGGCTGTTCATCTGAGTTTCTAAAATAATTTACAACACAATCTAAGGCACATTTACTCAGAAATGATGGAGCAATCCTATAGCAAGATCTACTGGAATGAGCAGCTTTAGGATGTAGTGGATCTTCAGCTAAGTTTGCTTAAACCTTCTGCTTGAACATCTATTCAAAAGCAGTTCCATTGAATTCAATGGGGCTTTCTCTTGAACAAATGGACCGCAGTCTTCTACATAGAAGTAAGCCTCCAGTTCAGTAGGGCTTCCTCCCATTACATTTTATTTTTTCATGTTGATATTTTTTCATTAGAATTTTTTATAATACAAGAAAGTCCAGGGTTTGTACATTTTAGTGAAAATGCCAAATTATTTTTGCGCTTCCTTGGTCAAGATTTTAGCAAGCCACAGAGAGCCCTCCACGCTTCACAGGTGTTAGCTCCTCATTGCAAAGATAAATGGGAAAAAGTAGCCTGCGAAGGTTGTTTTTAAATATACAAATCAATTTTTAACACACCTATCCAGAACTCTAGGCATCCTGCCAGGTTTTTTTTTTTTTTTAAAGTAAATCCATAGCATAAGAAAAATGCCACCATATAACCTGGCACTCATAATAATAAAGCACTTCAAACAAGTCAATACAGTGGAAACATTTCAACCGCTTCCAAAATAACGATAACAGTGGATAAATAAATAAATAAAATCCCAGGAAGGGGAAAAAATGTCACATTCATATATTCTCACAATGAAGCCAAAGTTCTTCCCCTCTCCACAATCCCTCTTTCCTTGCAAAACAGCCTGAGGAAATGGATGAGCTTTGCAACATGCCCAGAAGGTCAACAGATTCAGACTTCTTATAAATCAAGAAAAGTCGCATCAAAGACATCTTTGTTGATTCACAAAACAGCTGTATAACTCAGAAACAAGTCCCAACAGGTAGACAAACTTGTAACATTCAGGAGCGTACAGATAAAATCTAACACTTTGATCTCCATCAGAAACTAGCTAGTAGTCACTAGACTATTTTCACAAACTCAGTAAGAGGAGGTCATGGTAAGCAACAGAAATGCGATACAGCTTCTATAGACCATGATGGTCAATGCAATGCACGACCTTAGCATCAAAATTTACTTAAAAAAAAAAAAATAGTATATTTTTCAGTATACAGTGGTACCTCGGTTTAAGAACAGTCCTGTTTACGAACAATTTGGTTTAAGAACTCTGCAAAATCAGAAATAGTGTCTTGGTTTGCAAACTTTACCTCGGTCTAAGAATGGAATCCGAATGGTAGAAGGGCACCAGGAGCAGGAGGCCTCATTAGGGAAAGTGCGCCTCAGTTTAAGAACAGTTTTGGTTTAAGAATTGACTTCCAGAAAGGATTAAGTTCGTAAACCGAGGTACTATTGTACTGACATAAAAATGTTGCTCCCAAATAGTAATACTGTTTTGCTTGGAATTTAAAACCTCAGTATGCACAGACATAGTCATGGGCAGGGTATAAATAATAAACTTCTACTTCTTCTTCTTCTTCTTCTTCTTCTTCTTCTTCTTGTTAAATAGCAGCATTTTGTACTCAGATGGGGACATCTACTAGGGTGCAATTCTACAGATCTTTACTTAGGAGTAATCCCACATTGAATACAGTAGGACTGACTTTTTAGTAAACATACTAGATTGCATTGTTTGCTTCAAAAATAAGTGTACTCAATTTATTTTATGTGTATCTTGCCTTTTTACAATCAGGGAAATGAAGGGGGTGTATAGGTAAATTTCCCAGGTGATTCCCCTTTCTAAGCATTGGCCAGAACTAGATTTGCCTGGCTTTTGCAAAGTTGCCTTATCTTGTACCTTCAGCCCATGCCCAACTTAAATAGTGGAGAGATATAGATTAGCATCTTCAAAAGCAACAAACCAACTAGTTATATCTTAAATGGTTAGCTAAAACGTATAAAGCAAAATCGAATGCATGCTAGAAATGTAAAGAGAAAGAGGGCACCTTCTACCATATGTGGTGGTAGTAAAAGAATTTTAGGAGATGATATATAATGAATTGGGGGAAAATGTTTAAAATAACCTTTTCTAAGAAACCAGAAGCTTTTCTTTTAGGAATTGTAGGTGTCAAAATTCCAAGTGACCAGAAAAGACTATTTCTGTATGTGACTACTGCTGCCCGGACACTATTAGCTCAGAGAGGGAAAGAAGGTACAGTCCCTACCAGAGAAGAATGGCAGATTAAACTGATGGACTATGCAGAAATGGCAAAACTGACCAGAAGAATTAGGAATCAGGAAGACCAAAATTTCAATAAGGAATGGGGAAAATATATAATTTATTAAAAACAACATCACTGTAAACAATTAAAATTGTTGGTAGGATTGGAAGGATACTTGTAGTTAAAAGTTGGACTATGGTTTTATTGAAGATTTAATAGAATTGGATTAACAGAGAAGATGCAGGAGAAAAAGTTAACATAAGGACCCACAAAAGGGGAGGCAAGAAGTCCAAGGGGAATTATGGATATTGTCTTATTGGCTCTCTTTGTGGTTGTTTGTAAATCAGAAAACCCAAAAATAAACTTATTGTTGTTTTTTTTAAAAAAAATCTTAAATGGTTGCCAGACTTGCATCTTGATTATACCTACCATCAAAATATTGGCTATAAATATTTATAGCTGAATGGTGCACCACATCCTGGAAATACAGCTGATACTTTCTGACAAGTCCATCAGAGAGAGCTTCTGCTTTGCACTTCTTTAGCCCCACTCATGAACACAGTTTGGATTTGGTGTACTCTACACTGGCTTAACTTAACTTCCCATAATTAGGACTGCTCCTTTAACTTACTTTCAGGAAAATATTTATAGGGCTGCTGCCTAAACGGAGCTGCTTTAAAGGCTGGTTTAGCATAATGGCTAACAGCATATATCAGTGCTTGTTTACTCAGAAGGAAGTAGCCCAAACAAGCATTTGGGAACACACTTTTTAAATTTTACAACATATATCTTTGCACTGATAGTGTTGCTGCTGCATCCCCCTTAAGGCAGGCCATGACCAGTTCTCTCGTAAATGTGCTTAGGACTGCATGGTGGTTTGAAAATGGCGGCAAAAGGTTCTCATACACTCACAGCCACACCAGAGGAAGAGAGGGAAGGTGGGAATGTATGAGCAGAGGCTTCTTCACATAACGCTAAACCCAGACCCTCCAAGTGTCCCTATTTTCCAGGGACATCCCTGATTTAGAGAAGCCGCCCCGGTTTCTGATTTGATCCCGAAACACCCCACTTTCCCTCAAAGGTAAAGGTAAAGGGACCCCTGACCATTAGGTCCAGTCGTGGCTCTGGGGTTGCGGTGCTCATCTTGCTTTATTGGCCGAGGGAGCGGGCGTACAGCTTCCGGGTCATGTGGCCAGCATGACTAAGCTGCTTCTGGCAAACCAGAGCAGCGCACGAAAACGCCGTTTACCTTCCCGCCGGAGCAGTACCTATTTATCTACTTGCACTTTGACGTGCTTTCAAACTGCTAGGTGGGCAGGAGCTGGGACCGAACAATGGGAGCTCACCCCGTTGCAGGGATTCGAACCGCCAACCTTCTGATCGGCAAGCCCTAGGCTCTGTGGTTTAACCCACAGCATCACCCACGTCCCTTTCACTTTTCCTTAGAATGTCCCTATTTTCATTGGATAAATGTTTGAGGGTATGGAGTTACATGACTCCTGAGCCGTCTGAAGACAATCCTGTATAGGGAAGGTTTTTTTAAAATGTTTAATGTTTTATTGTGGTTTTTATATATGTTGGAAGGTGCCCAGAGTGGCTGGGGCAACCCAGTAAGATGTGTGGGGTATAAATAGTAAAATTATCACTATGGAATGGGATGTCCCTGTTTTCATTGGAGAAATGTCAGAGGGTATGTAAACCATTACTTAGCATTACATACAAACCAATGTGAAGTGGTTTGAACACTTCAAATGTACAATATGAGGACTAAATGTTAATATTATTGCTATTAAACATTTCTGAGAAATATATTCATGGTTTTGAAAAACCAATTAAAATACAAAGAATTAACCCACTCCTCAATTTCCCATGCTACAACGTTTATTGGTTTTTTTAAAACGCAGACTCCCTTCACAAGGGAGTGTGATAGTGTCTTTAGATCACCTGTAGTTTTCAAGAGTAGGCTTTGAAGGAATT